GGAACAACTCCCTCTGTCGGTCCAAAATCGGAAGCATGAGACGTGCAAGGACTTCATTGATGTACCGATTCACTGTCAGATTCCCGTGAACCACCACTAAATCAGATCTTTATGTGCTGGATATCTCACCCTACACAATGACACTGTCTCCACCGAATCCGTCGACCTGTCGAATACAATTAGGGGCAAAACGTTCATTTCTCCGACGGTAAACACGCTGGCTTCCATCTCGCCGGTGAAGAAGAAGAAATCGCGATTCATCACTGAACCAGACTGGCCTCCAGTTTCTAAGGTTCTAGGTCCGGACACTACGACATCACCGCAAGCGACTGCGCCGATGGAAGTCTCTCAAAAGTAGGGTTGTGTATTGGCAAATAAATTGTATTGCAATATATTGTGATTCTGGTACCCGTATTCCGATATGTATTGCGATGTTTTGGGAACCTATAGGTTTGACAGTGAGTAACATCGATTGTATATATGCAAAGAATATTTTCTACATACTATAAAGCCATAAAAATAAGCTTAATGGTTGTGATAACAGAAATTTCGAACTTAGATTTGATTTTGAAGGATTGTATTTTTTAAAAAGTATTGAATGTAAAGTATGGTATTTTGTCAATCAATTACAATTTAAAACATCAGCGTGAATGAAAGTCTGTATGGATTTGAACTTAAACCATAAAGATAATCACAAAATGGCGTATTGCGATATACCGGTAATACCGAGCAGTCCTACTCAAAACAGGGGCGATAACTGCCTTCTTGGTCGAATCCCAACTTCACGCAATCGATTCCTGACAATTTGGTCGGAAATTCTCAAACCAGGGATACGTTGTGCAGTCTCCACGGCTGTGGCAAGACGATGACGCAAGTGAGCAACCCGGATGTAGCGGTCCTGGGCTTGGGTGGTAACTCTTTGACGGCCGCTTCTTGGGCGGAATTGGTCTGCAAGAAACGATCCCAAAGGCGAGATATGGTGCTCTGATGAACATTGAAATGTCGGGCGAGTGCACGACTCCCCAGCTTCAAGGCGGCCTATGGCGATGTTTCGATCGGCGGCACTCAGTCGTGGCGTGATGATTTCCTCTTTTCCAGGCGAAAACGAATGAGAATTGAAGACAACGTTTGCCTTTTTATAGTGATCGATACCGCATGATTTTCCGCTCACTTGCCGCATTTAGCTTTGAATGTTTTCTTGATGACGTTTTGGCGAATATTTCTTCAAACACTTCTAAAACAAGGGAAAAAGTTAAAATTGCTGTTTTGGCGCTGAAGCACAAAATGACGTTTTGGAAAGAAATAGTATATTTGTGTTGTTTATGCCGCGGCTACAGGAGTCCAATATTCTCAAAATCACCTTATGCGGTTTTTTTTTTTGAAGAGTGTAGATTATGAATTGATGAATGAGACCGCATTTTCACGGTCACACGGGGTGAGTATGTGTCTCGTTTAATGAACCGTCCAAGGTAATTCCACTCACTTCTAGTATCTCCATCTGCAAATGTTTTGCGACTGATATGATCATGTTGAAACAATAGTTAAGAATACAAACCACTGCCACTTTTACTCAGTTATAGAAGTTTGGTCTTTCGAGGATGAAAGCTCGAAAACGGCACAACACTAAGCATTCATATTTGACGCAAAGATAGTTCGATAATCACTCTAAATATTGGTGTATTTTCTTTTTCGATTATACAGCAATGATACCTTAAACTTTGGTACGTTTATGCATCTTAACGGAAACGTAGCCGAAGCTGGACATTGTTTTACAGGCTCATGGGCTTGTATAATGACGGAATGGAAAGATATTTGGTGGAATTACGCATATGTGTCTTCAATTTTACAGCTTGAATTTTGGGGACAATGTGGCCTATACAAATACAGATATTGACAATTTTCCTACAGCTAAAAACTAAAACCTGTTCACCTCTCGCGTGATGAATCGTTCACTTCCTGCTATGAAATATTTCCTGCCGTTCACCGCCCCCTGTGGATTCGGGAGATAAAGTACCTGTGCGACAAAGTGACGACGAAGTGTGTGGCCGGCCGCGGTGACTAGGCTCTCTGTCGGCGATGTCAATCACTGGATTATCTGGTGCAGACACGATTACTGACATATCTCCGTTATATACTTGCATAGAATGTTGCTGAGTTTGGTGTTAAACAATGAACAAAACCATATTTGAGAAGTATGTTTGAACACAATGTTCAGACTCAAATATTTACCGACTTCCTCATACAGTTGGAATGTTGGAAACTTATGAATCATGCTTTAACATATTTTTACTCCGTACCTTTACAATTGAAAACTGGCCCAACTTAATGTCTAATGTCACTGCTTTTATCTCTCACTGCACGGCTGGTATCAAGTAGTTCATAAACTGTGCCTCTTGAGAGTAGAATCAGTTAATATACTCTCCCAAAAAAGAAACGCATATAGGAATTTCAACTGTATTTTTAGGTTTATTTTGAAACATCTTGAAGGCTTTATGAGTCAATGGAATATAGCGAAATTGCACACTGGGAATGCAGACTTATCTGTCTTTGGCACCAACTCGAAGAAAGTCAGTTTGAGTGTCACATGGAGACGTGTGGTGGCGCTGAAGTCAATACCTCGTGTGACCACCGTGGGCATCCAGAACTGCACGGCATCGCCTCGGCATCGAACGAATATGTCTCAGAATCTCGTGTTGCCCAATCGTTGCCCACTCTGCCTGTAGTGCCTGTGCGAGTTGCTGAAGTGTCTGGGGCTGAGGGTTACGGCGTCGCACCCGTCTGTCCAGGGCATCCCACAGATGTTCGATCGGGTTTAAGTCCGGTGATCTTGAGGGCCAGGGGAACACATTGATGTTGTGGTTCTGGAGGAAGTCTCTAGTGTGACGTGCTGTGTGGGGCCTGGCATTGTCCTGTTGAAACAACTCCCTCTGGCGATCAATGATTGGAAGGGGATGTGGGCGTGGGATTTCGTCACAGTACCGTTGAGCTGTCCTGTATCATCACCAAATCACTTCTCCTACGGCAGGTGCTCTCTCCCCACATCATAACACTGCCCCGGCCGAATCTGTCCACCTGGGGAACGCAAGAGTCGGCGAAACGTTCACGTCGACGTCTGTACACCCGCATTCTTCCATCGCGTCGTTCCAATAGAAATCGTGATTCATCACTAAACCAGATTCTACGCCAATTCGGTAGGTTCCAGGCCTGAACGTTGGTGCACCATTGAACTCGATGTCGACGATGTTGTTGTCGAAGCACAGGGCCAAAATAAGGTCTTCTGGCACGTAAACCAGCCTCTCTCAACCTGTTCCTGACGGTCTGTGCAGAAAGCCTCCTCAATCCAGGTATTTGTCGAGCGGTACTGGTTGCCGTAGCTGTTCGATGACGCAGGTGATGTACCCGGATGTAACGATCCTGCGCCGCAGTGGTCGCTCGAGGTTGCCCACTACGAGGGGCATCTGCTACCGCATTCTGCCGGCGATATCTCTCCCAGAGCCGTGAAATGGTGCTTTGGTGAACATTCATGCGTCTGGCAACTGCACGTTGAGACTGGCCAGCTTCAAGCAAACCAATGGCGATATGACGGTTGGCTTCACTTAGACGTGGCATTTTGCGTTCGTCAACAATATTCCAAATACAGTGAATAATCGACAGACAGCGATCAACCTTTTATACCCATCATTGAGACTATCTGATCCCCAACTTTCACGTGCTTTGCATGTGAATTGTGTATTCTGTGACACTACACGCCGAAATTGAAAATCATGCTGTTAAATACGGGTATTTTACGGATGGTGCGTTTTGTTGTGATGTTTCAAAACATAAGTACCATAGGACTCATAAACAGAGCAAAACCTTTTGTAAAATGATTCACGTTTTAATTCATTGCTACATGAAATTGCTATTTTCATGATGCGTTTCTTTTTTGGGAGAGTATATTACCGATAGGGTCACCACTTAATACAAATTACCCAAATATAAGATCCAGTTTTCTGTACATAAGATGTGCGCAGAAAGACGCACAGATGAAAACAAGCAGTTTACAAATTGTGCCAGTTGAGAGCACAGTCAAACTTCAGTTCCAAGTTGAACCCGAGGTCGGCCCTTGAGATGATATTTCTTCCGTCAGATCCACACGTTACATACATGAGATGAGTGTAGAGAGACGCACGGGTGATGTCGAACAGTTTACAATTGTGCCTGTGGAGAGGAACTTTAGTTCCAAGTTAAACCCGAGGTCGGCCCTTGAGATGCGTTTTTTTCCTCAGATCCACACGTTACATACATAAAATGTCCGCAACTTGTGTCTGTGGAGAGAATAATCAAACTTCTGTTCCAGGTTCATCCCGAGGTCGACCTTTCAGATATATTGTCCCGTCAGATCCACATATTACATACATAAGATGAGCGTAGAGAGAAGCTGCTGTCCCCGACATCACCTGAGAGACAGAAACGAGTGAAAGTACAGGTCTGGACCTGTTTAAGAGCAGGGATAGTCAACGAAGAAAAGTCTTACTGTTCTGTTATACACACCTGTTTTCACGTATATACCTTTTATATATACCTGAGAGATTTTGTTGTTGGAAGTTTCACCTGAATGACATTGACATGTCGGTAAGAAGTTCACCTCGATGTAATATATGCTGCACGTACAAACAATGACAATCTCGACAGTGCTCATTTATATTCCAGACACGAACAAATATGACCCCGTGCACAACTCAGGGGAGGGAACTGCTGTTGAATACTGGCAATATATGCAAGATTGTTTTTACGTTGTGTATATTGCTGACAAAAAACTAATGCGTCATCTGCCATCTAAAGTTTATCCCAGTGATATTCAAACAAACTTGTTTGCTGCAGACATCCAATGCCTGCCTTGTTATCTGTGTCGTCTGCTCAGTGTTCGCGTTAATGCAAATGTCAAGGTGAAGGAGACTAAGTATTGCGAACCAACCCCTGGGTTGAACATTTCCAGTCCGCTCTTGTCATGCAACAGAAGCGGTGAGTGTCTGACAACCTTGGGTGGAAGACGTGGTGGTTGAGAATCAATGTACCTGTGAATATAGAGATGGCGCAGTAGTTACACTGCACAGACAACACAGCAGCTCCACAAGCAGACGACACTAAAACTGGATTTCTTTGCTTAATCATCGCAGCAGTCCCAGACCAGAGACATTCGTTGTAATAACGGACACCTTTGCACATCGTTCACAAGTTCGTGTTTGTGCTCTCTGTCTGCTGGCACTGAGCTCAAAACTGTATCTTTACTGATTACATATTGTAATCATTGTATGATAGAAAACGTTATATAGTTTTTTTTTATAAATCGTGTATAATCGTGAATCTTGGAAATACCAACCATGGCGCAGGAACTTTTCGTGGAGGATCTGGTCGTCATCGTTGTGTATTTCATACTGGTCATGGCTGTTGGAATGTGGGTAAGAACTGAACTGTGATAAAATTATTATTATATCTCTTGGGTATATATAATGTTTATATATGTCCCTAGTGAACAAGATGGCCATTCGCCACTGATTTCTGTCACATCACGCCGTCAGTTTCAGGAAAGGTATAACTGCAAATGAAAACTGCTGATTTTTAAAGAAAGGTTGATGAAATATGTAAAATCTAATACGCTTGTGTGATGACGTGTTTTTGTTTGTTGTTTAATGGCGAACTAAGCAAAGTTCCAGCCCTTTAACGATGGCAGGTAAACTATCGAGTCTAGACCAGACGAACCACCGATGTTTTGAACGTCTTACGCCGTCGACGGCCGATGCCACACAGTCAAACGAGTCACCGGGCTTGACCATCCGACTCAGTCGCTTCGTAGATTAATACGGGGACCTACCTCGCCCCGCTTGCCATTCAACATTGTCATCATGGAGAGAACTTCAGAGAAGATCAATTGTGTTGCGAGGTCACGGCCACAAGAAGAGCATTTTCCCCCGTCAAATTCACAACATCTACGACCTTAACACTGAATTCGCTGAATGTTAGATGAGTTTCATATACATTATGAATGTATCATACCTGGGATTCGTCACCATAGCTTCGTAAAGGAAACGACGTCACCACCTCCATCTGTCGTTTCGGTCACTTTGCACATAATGCATCTCTCTTGCTCATAAGTGCATTTGGATTTGATGATCTTTTTCATCGGAGCTTATATCTTATCTGGCTGACTACGAAGCTGTTGCAGCACCAAGGTATTACTCAATGTAGAATGGGGTATGATGACAAGGATGAAGTCGAGGATGATGGCGTATTCTGTATATGAATCCAGGCGTGGCTTGACCTTATATACTTGCTCTGCCAGTGGATGAGGTGGATGAGGTTACCTTTTTATTGAACTCTGCTACTTCTCCAGCCTATATCTTCAACAGTAGTTAGGCAGCTGAGTTGTAACAAGAAATAAAGAAATATGAAATTTAAATTTGAAAATATAAATGTCTCGTTCTAAAAAAATGAAATAAAACCATACAATCCGAATACTTACATGTCCTAATATATATGTTTGGTTTCAGTCATCATGCACCACAAACACCGGCAGCGTCAAAGGTTACTTCATGGCGGGAAGGGACATGATATGGCTTCCCGTAAGTTTGTATCTAAGTATAGAAGTACACATCACCCAAACGTTTACCTTAGTGATGTGTACATGGTCATTCCTTCCTCAGTGTCTTGTCTGTTGAAGACATATTTTTCTAGATAGGTAGATAACGTTGATTACACTACGAGGTCACGGTGACATTGTATATAAGAGTTAACAAGGGTGGATTTCTTTTTGACATAGTTTGATATATGAACAACGAACGAACGTTACGTGTTATCATGCGTTTTGGCAAGTAAACTGATCTCTATTTGGGTGTACAGTCGAACTTGGGATTCTCGGACGGTGTTGTAACTTCGAAATATCCAGATATTCGCGATAACGAGGCATGAACATACATACAGATCGCATATACAAGAAATTTAGAACGCAACACGAGTATGCGAGGACAAACTGAAATATATATTTTTTGTTCTTTGCGGTTATGTTATTATGCTTCAGTATATTAGCAGCAAACTAACTGATATCTATCTTCAACCGTGTTGAGAGAAGAAATGTGTACGGGGCGGTGGGGTGGCCTAGTGGCTAAAGCGTTCGCCCATCACGCTGAAGACCCGGGTTCGATTCCCCATTTGGGTACAGAGTGTGAAGCCTATTTCTGCTGTCCACCACCGTGATATTGCTGGAATATTGCTAAAAGCGGCGAAAACTAAACTCATACACTCACTCACTCACAATGTGTCTATAATGTTACAATACCTGACTTGATCTGTGGAGCTTTATGTGCCCTGTGCCAAAGACACATTCCACTTTTTTGTTCAACTGGTTTTTCAGGTGGGCGCCTCCATCTATGCCACCAACTTCGGTAGCCACTTCTTCGTGGGAATGGCGGGATCGGCGGCCGCTGGGGGAATCGCTGTTACCATATACGAGTGGCACGTAAGTACACGAACACACACATGAAACTTTCACAAGCATTAACATGACTTCTTTCTTCCTTTTTTGCTGAACGTTTTATGATGATACTCCTATGCAACAAATATAGGTTGTGTGAAATATTTTGAGCGTGAGCTTTAAAAGAAGAAGACCCCCCGCCCTGGTCGATCCACTCCCGCACCACCAAATACAACTCTTGGTGTCCACAATAGGCGCATGGCACTCAAACGGTGTTTGGTCTCCCTGCACGAAACTGATTATTTTTGTAAAATTGTGAAAACACACAATCCAAAATGCTGCTGATGGGTATAACGACCACTTCAGCCAAAATGCTAGTTCCAGAAGCTAATGCATTTCCGGCAAAGACAGGAAGTAGGCCATACAACGAAAACATATACTTGTATTAAAGGGACATCATTCCACACCCTCAACACACTAATACGGAAGCTGGTAAATGTTGACTGTTTTAGAGAACGGTAACGTCCGGATGAACGAGGTTTTGACGGGTATATTTTTTCCACTTTCAGGCTGTGTTTATGCTGTGTCTACTGGGGTGGCTCTTCGTTCCGGTGTATGTCGCCTCGGGGGTAAGGCCTTATCAGGGCGATAGGATGATGGCCCTATTCAGTCGTGATACTTCCTGTGCATCATGTGCAGGATTCCTTAGACGTTGATGTTACATGCAACAGTCAGAGAACCATGAAACATGTTCTCAATATCTATATTGTCACAATATAAAAATACAAACTTTCGAAAGTTATTGAATCTTGACTTTCTTGAAAGCGTGAACATCAGCGGACTTGATGATGTTGAATATCTATTTCAATAATGGTTATAACAGAATAGTTAGATTACGGTTATCTCCCTTTACAGGCGTACACGATGCCGCAATACTTGAAGAAAAGGTTTGGAGGACGTCGACTACGTATCTACCTGTCCTGCCTCGCCATCTTTCTTCTCATCGTACAAAAAATATCAGTAAGAAACTTTAAATTCCTCCGCCAGTAATTGTGCCTCGTGCTTTCCTGTTGTCTGTTGCTCAACGCTGTACGTTTGTATCGCTGTAGTCGAACCTGAGTGCCGCTGTACGAAGTGATCTTAGCGTTAAGGTGCATGGCCGCAACTTCCGTTGTTTTATTCAACGGCGCCCGAGACGGTTCCTTAGTGAATCAGGAATGTATCAATGATTCTTTAGTAAGTTCCCAAGACATGCAGTTTGGGTGTCAAAACAGTATTTAAATCACGATTGGGATTTTCGACATTATTTCTTGAATTCATAGGTATTTAAACATTGTAGTACACAATTAATGAAATATTATACAACCTACAAAAACCTCTTGCACTTTACTGGTCTTTTTATAAGTGAAATACAGGTTAGTTCCTCCCAAGCTGTATAAATTTAGTTAATTCAGAAAAACTGGGAGATGTATAATTCCTATTTGGAGGAATTTTTGCTGACATCATTGGTGGATTTTCGGCCAATGAGCAGGCCCGGGTTTGATTCTACAAATGAACTAGTGCTCGCTCTACCTGTCAGGTGGCCATGTATGCTGGCGCCGTGTTCATTCAGCAGTCTGTGGGCTGGGACATGTACTCGTCAATCGTCAGCGTTACCCTGGTAACAGCTGTCTATACCATCATAGGTACGTAGACAAGTTCTCTGGGCGGTAAATACAAATTGTACGATGTTGCATTATTCCGTACGAGCGATTTTACTTTCGGGTTCTGCACAAGGAAATCGGTAATTGTAAGATATCCTTCCACAGACTTACAACTGTCCCTGGCAGTGCTTTCTGCACAAGTCATTTACAGGTCAAAAGTCAAAGTTAATAATTCTCAACATCTATGCATGAGCATCGTTTGCCATATGTTCGCCCCGGGCCCTTCGTTGGAAATAACAAGTCAGAACAGTCGGGAATTTATCTATGACCAAATTATTTCAATCACATGGCGACCAAGACGTTATATAGATACCAAGAGCTGCAAATGCAAATAGTTTAGGAGTACATGTATAGACTCTAACGAGAGGGAAATAAACACGACGATATATTTCTGTATAATATAATATTTTTTCTTCACAGGTGGTCTTTCGGCGGTCATATGGACGGATGCTTTACAGACTGTTATCATGGTGTTTGGCTCGTTATGGCTGGTCGTAGCAGGTAGGTCTGAGTAAAACTGTTATCATGGTGTTTGGCTCGTTATGACTGGTCGTAGCAGGTAGGTCTAAGTAAAGACTGTTATCATGGTGTTTGGCTCGTTATGGCTGGTCGTAGCAGGTAGGTCCGAGTAAAACTGTTATCATGGTGTTTGGCTCGTTATGGCTGGTCGTAGCAGGTAGGTCTAAGTAAAGACTGTTATCATGGTGTTTGGATCGTTTGGCTCGTTATGGCTGGTCGTAGCAGGTAGGTCCGAGTAAAACTGTTATCATGGTGTTTGGCTCGTTATGGCTGGTCGTAGCAGGTAGGTCCGAGTAAAACTGTTATCATGGTGTTTGGCTCGTTATGGCTGGTCGTAGCAGGTAGGTCCGAGTAAAACTGTTATCATGGTGTTTGGCTCGTTATGGCTGGTCGTAGCAGGTAGGTCTAAGTAAAGACTGTTATCATGGTGTTTGGCTCGTTATGGCTGGTCGTAGCAGGTAGGTCTAAGTAAAGACTGTTATCATGGTGTTTGGCTCGTTATGGCTGGTCGTAGCAGGTAGGTCCGAGTAAAGACTGTTATCATGGTGTTTGGCTCGTTATGGCTGGTCGTAGCAGGTGCGTCCGAGTAAAGACTGTTATCATGGTGTTTGGCTCGTTATGGCTGGTCGTAGCAGGTGCGTCCGAGTAAAGACTGTTATCATGGTGTTTGGCTCGTTATGGCTGGTCGTAGCAGGTGCGTCCGAGTAAAGACTGTTATCATGGTGTTTGGCTCGTTATGGCTGGTCGTAGCAGGTGCGTCCGAGTAAAGACTGTTATCATGGTGTTTGGCTCGTTATGGCTGGTCGTAGCAGGCAGGTGCGTCATGGTGTTTGGTTCGTTATGGCTGGTCGTAATGGTGTTATCATGGTGTTTGGCTCGTTATGGCTGGTCGTAGCAGGTAGGTCCGAGTAAAACTGTTATCATGGTGTTTGGCTCGTTATGGCTGGTCGTAGCAGGTAGGTCCGAGTAAAACTGTTATCATGGTGTTTGGCTCGTTATGGCTGGTCGTAGCAGGTTGGCTCGTTATGGGTCGTAGCAGGTAGGAGTAAAGACTGTTATCATGGTGTTTGGTTATGGCTTTGGCTCGTTATGGCTGGTCGTAGCAGGTCAGGTCCGTTATGGCTGGTCGTAGTAAAGACTGTTATCATGTCCAGTGTTTGGCTCGTTTGGCTGGTCGTAGCAGGTAGGTCTGGAGTTATGGTGTTTGGTCGTTATGGCTGGTCGTAGCAGGTGCGTCCGAGTAAAGACTGTTATCATGGTGTTTGGCTCGTTATGGCTGGTCGTAGCAGGTATGGCTGGTCGTAGCAGGTGCGTCCGAGTAAAGACTGTTATCATGGTGTTTGGCTCGTTATGGCTGGTCGTAGCAGGTGCGTCCGAGTAAAGACTGTTATCATGGTGTTTGGCTCGTTATGGCTGGTCGTAGCAGGTATGGTGTTTGGTCCGAGTAAAGACTGTTATCATGGTGTTTGGCTCGTTATGGCTGGTCGTAGCAGGTGGCTCGTTATGGCGTAGCCGAGTAAAGACTGTCAAAGTTACTGGTTGTCGAGTAAAGACTGTTATCATGGTGTTTGGCTCGTTATGGCTGGTCGTAGCAGGTGCGTCCGCAGGTGCGTCGAGTAAAGACTGTTATCATGGTGTTTGGCTCGTTATGGCTGGTCGTAGCAGGTGCGTCCGTCCAGTAAAGACTGTTATCATGGCTCGTTATGGCTGGTCGTAGCAGGTGCGTCCGGAGTAAAGACTGTTATCATGGTGTTTGGCTCGTTATGGCTGGTCGTAGCAGGTAGGTCCGAGTAAAGACTGTTATCATGGTGTTTGGCTCGTTATGGCTGGTCGTAGCAGGTGCGTCCGAGTAAAGACTGTTATCATGGTGTTTGGCTCGTTATGGCTGGTCGTAGCAGGTGCGTCCGAGTAAAGACTGCTCGTTATTGGTCATGGTGTCGATAAGACTGTTATCATGGTGCTTGGCTCGTTATGGCTGGTCGTAGCAGGTGCGTCCGAGTAAAGACTGTTATCATGGTGTTTGGCTCGTTATGGCTGGTCGTAGCAGGTGCGTCCGAGTAAAGACTGTTATCATGGTGTTTGGCTCGTTATGGCTGGTCGTAGCAGGTGCGTCCGAGTAAAGACTGTTATTATGGTGTTTGGACTGTTATCATGGTGTAGCAGGTGCGCGGAGTAAAGACTGTTCATGGTGTTTGGCTCGTTATGGCTGGTCGTAGCAGGTGCGTCCGAGTAAAGACTGTTATCATGGTGTTTGGCTCGTTATGGCTGGTCGTAGCAGGTAGGTCCGAGTAAAGACTGTTATCATGGTGTTTGGCTCGTTATGGCTGGTCGTAGCAGGTGCGTCCGAGTAAAGACTGTTATCATGGTGTTTGGCTCGTTATGGCTGGTCGTAGCAGGTGCGTCCGAGTAAAGACTGTTATCATGGTGTTTGGCTCGTTATGGCTGGTCGTAGCAGGTGCGTCCGAGTAAAGACTGTTATCATGGTGTTTGGCTCGTTATGGCTGGTCGTAGCAGGTGCGTCCGAGTAAAGACTGTTATCATGGTGTTTGGCTCGTTATGATGGCTGGTCGTAGCAGGTGCGTCTGAGTAAAGACTGTTGTTATGGTGTTTGGCTCGTTATGGCTGGTCGTAGCAGGTGCGCCCGAGTAAAGACTGTTATCATGGTGTTTGGCTCGTTATGACTGGTCGTAGCAGGTAGGTCCGAGTAAAGACTGTTATCATGGTGTTTGGATCGTCATGGCTGCTCGTAGCAGGTGCGTCCGAGTAAAGACTGTTATCATGGTGTTTGGCTCGTTATGGCTGGTCGTAGCAGGTAGGTCCGAGTAAAGACTGTTATCATGGTGCTTGGCTCGTTATGGCTGGTCGTATGGCTGGTCGTAGCAGGTGCGTCCGAGTAAAGACTGTTATCATGGTGTTTGGCTCGTTATGGCTGGTCGTAGCAGGTGCGTCCGAGTAAAGCCTGTTATCATGGTGTTTTTTATCAGTGTGGCTGGTCGTAGCAGGTGCGTCCGAGTAAAGCCTGTTATCATGGTGTTTTTTATCAGTGTGGCTGGTCGTAGCAGGTGCGTCCGAGTAAAGACTGTTATCATGGTGCTCTGGTCGGTATGGCTGGTCGCGGCGTGGATGTGCCTATGGCACCAGATGTAGATTATGCATTGTTTCCCTTTTGGCTTACCCGATTAGATGTCAGCAATATTTAAATGTGTCCCGCGGGACAATGTGCAAGTCATGACAACAGGTAACATGTATTGGTCGAGATAGATTCAGAGAATACTGGCCCAGATAAAGTACGTGATTTAGGTAATCCAAACAAAGAACTCGTGTACCGGAAAGACACGAAGTGTCCACGCAAGGCACATGTACTGTATATGTTAACACATAACGAACACAATATGGCCGGATACTACAAAGGGAGGTGTTATCTTTCGAGAAGGTAAATGTTTATCCACGATGACAAGGCAAATCGAGGCAACCTAAAACGTGTGTAAATATCCCCTCCATCACTGAGACCATGCCTGTTGTATTCTCATTACTGTTTATGTATTACAGTCTTGTAAAAAAAAACGTGATCTGCTTTTTGTTGTACTTTTAGCTGTGTCTGATTGTGTATGAACGTGGCCAGCTATTGAGAAGAAGTACACAATCTTTATTTCAATACATAATACGGCCACAGGCCTAAAGTACATTACAATACAAAATATACAATCAAACATTAGGCCAGACCAGTTTTATTTCTTGTTTTACGGATTTTTGTCCTCAAAACCTAAAGGCAGGAGGGAAAAAATTACCAGTCAAAGCAAAAACCCACATGAGTTTCCAAGTTAACTCTTTTGGTTTGTTTATATCAACTAAAAATAAGTTTTATGAGTTTAAGTTTCACGCTGATTTCAAGAGTAGTTCACTTATGTCACATTAATTTAGGATTTTATTTTTTGAGCGGGGAAATTGTTTTTCTTATTCTTGAAAACATATTACTGGCGGATGAGTCAAACAAGAAATATTATTGGTTTAGCCTAATATAAAAATATAAATATAACTGTAAAAGGTCACTCAACTTTATGTTATTTCTGTACATGGAAGCATGATAAATGAACATAGCTAAATCTTGCAGAACTTTACAATTTGTATTCGATAACAGTAAATAAAATGTAGTTAAATTTGGGTATGTAAAGTAATAGGATTGCAAACATCCTTCTCTAAGTTGTGAGTACACTGGGCATACAGGTAGAAAATGATACTCATCTTCACCTAATGTTTATATAACGTCCCGTTTCAATAAATACATCATGAGTGTGCCGCACACAGAAATACAACAGCATTATCATTAAAAGTTTGACAAAATTACTATTTGTTACGAGGGAGGATTACAAAGAGAGGAACAGCCAGGTGTACGTGGAGCACGTGCACAAGTGCCGACAAGTCATTTACCTGTGCTGTCTCCATCCCTTCTAGCACACCTGGTTGTTCCTCTCTTTGCACCCCTTCCTCGTAACAAATAGTGAACTGTCTCAAATTTTTAATGATAGTTTGTTAAACAACATTTTTATTTTTAGGACATAAATTCGGCAAAAAAATCACAGAGTTGGTCTGATGTTTTGATTATGATCATGATCAGTGTTTCATCGAGTAGTATATGTTAAGTAGTTTTCGAGTTGATTGCAATTCATCGGTCCGATTTTGAGCCAAACGGACTATAGTTGGTTTATAAGGAAAGTCTGTCTCCCCGAACCCTTTAAAGTCACAAGTCTTAAATTTAAACTTTCGGCTCCATTTGGATTTTATTTATACCTTTATAATCCTTTATTCTATTTTATAAAAAATCTTTATACAATGGGATATGTCATGTACAGACGTGTCTGTGTATTGTTTGTGTGTAGTACAGGCGTGCAAGAGCAAAGAAAGAAAGCACATGTATAACCAACATTACCGGTTATCTCTACCGTATCATGTTACAGCAATTACAATATTGAACAACAGCGACCGGTACTCGACCAGAAAATCCAGTGATTGATACTATCAGCAATGGTCCACTCCGTCTATGTACAATGACGTCATCCATTGAGCCTTATCAGCTGATCTAGTACATCGCCTGTTCTATAGGTTTCTGGGGATCCGTCTAAACCCGGAGTACCCACTGAGCCATGTTGCTGCTATATGCACGTGTATTTGATCTGTATAAATGTCCAGGGTTTCTCAACGTGGGCGGCATGGACTCGTTGTTCGAGAAGTACATGCACTCCGTCCCTAACGTCACCACATGCGGTAACACTACCAGCGGCCTTCCCCGAGCGGACTCCCTCCACATCTTTCGCGACCCCATCGACGGAGACATCCCATGGCCCGGCGCTATCCTCGGCCTCACCCCTATGGCCATCCTGGCGTGGTGCACGGACCAGGTGCAGTAACGTTATCTCTAGCCTGTGTTTTAGGTTTACGCCTTGAAGGTATTTCAGTTACGTACTGAGGGAAATAAATATGGGAACACCACTTCATCGCAGTGTTCCTCTATTTATTCTCAGATTTGCACCCACAGTACGTTAAGGTACGAAGCTTGTGAAGAAACCTGGAACAAAGTAAAGGAACACTTGTGAATCGTGTGTTCCCTTATTTGTTTCTTCAGTATACCACGGCGTGTTAGCCTGATGCTGGAGAAGTGTTACACATTGAGTACATCAAAACAACAGTCGAGGATTACCTCAAGCACGCTTGAACTGTCACTCAGTCTCAAACACGCAACTAAAGCAGTGAGGGAGCAAGAATATTTTGGAAGATATTTTTGTTGTGAGGTTTGATGAAATAATACATACATATATATATATTCTGTCAAATATTTAAGATCACCAATCGCTTAGTACATTAAAAGTTGGCAATTTGGCATCGTCCACCCAGGTCCTAAGTAAGCACCTGCCAGTTTGACGAGTATTAGTGCGATCTATCGTTAGTCAAACAAGTACAGGACTTGGTGAGCAGATACTTCAACCACTATGTCACTCCATGTACCTTGGGTAAAACATTCAATCAGGTCAATAAGGCCAAACAGGACTGGCAACTGACACACGTCTGTCCAACCTCTTCCTCTTATGGCAACCCCCGATTATCCAGTGTAGTATTCTCAATCTTGGATGATACATACCGTATTTCCTGAATTACTAATAAGCGCCTGGTCGCTTATTTTCAACGGGTTTTCAGACACGGCGCTTTTGCGCTTACTGGGTGTAATTACCGTAATTGTTAGTGAGCTGCTTTACCACCGGCGCTTGAGAGACCCCTGGTACCCTGAACCAGTGTGAGAGCAACGCTCCCTTTCGGAAGTGACTCCACTATGTCCATCTCGTTTTTAAGTAACTCTCTTTGGCGACGTCACTTTCGAACACGGTTCCAACCGAAGCTAGTGTAACCAATGGATCCATCCTCGTTTTCGGAACAGATCTGACATATATGACACTGGATAATCGACGGTGCCTCGTGGCCACTATCGTCTATTTGACCCTGCCTGTTCCTGCTTCAGGTGATGGTACAGCGAGTTCTATCCGCCAAGAGCCACTCTCACGCCAAGGGCGGGGTGCTTCTGGCCGGCTGGCTCAAACTCCTCAGTTTCTTCATTGTCATCCTGCCGGGAATGATGGGACGGGTCCTGTTTCCGGGTAGGTACAATCGGAACACACCTATATGTCTAGAACCACTGTTTCGGTCATATCGGGGAAAACGTTTCTAATGGATTTGGACCATTCGGAACAAAACCCACAGCGTACATGGTCTAATATTAATTAATGTTCGTGATTTTCGTTTACCTATGTTGAAATGTCGCCTTCAGATGAAGTTGGCTGCGTGGACCCCGACATCTGCGAGAGCGTCTGTGAGAATCGCAATGGCTGCTCCAACATCGCATATGCAAAACTGGTCGTCAACATTTTGCCAATAGGTAAGAAAACAACAACGAGAATCGAGAAATACAATCAATTCATAACATAACAGCAAACTACACAAAAACACAAACATGTTTCACATATTCACAAGTAAGGACTCGACTACTACCACTGCTCCATTGGATGGTGGAGAAAAACACACACTGTTTTTCACATACAAGTAGTATATTAATGTCAAATGTAGGGCTTTGGTGTTTTTTCCAGCACTATGTGTATATATGGAGGATATTTCCAAATTTGACCCACCAGCGACCAATGCAATTCCCTCTACTGATCTGTACCATGTTGTTTCGTCTTTGTTCAGGTATATGTTGTATCATTGCATAACCCTAGTAGTCGAGTCAAATTTCTAAGAAATGTGGATTTTAAGGATGCATGAGGCATTTTTGAGTAAAAGCAAGCAAACAACATTTTCTAGGGTAGTTTTTCGTGCTCAATAAGAATCTTTTGTTTGCTAAGCTCAAAAATGCCTGATTAGGTCACAAATTGGGGTCAAAGGTCAATGAGTGCAAAATTCAATTTTTTTAAAAAGTGTTTTATTTATCATTCTCCATCCATACAATGAACTAATTTTACAATATATTGATGAATAATGTTACCACAGGATTTCAAAATGTTGATTTCATGGAAATGCTGAAGGAAAAATTTCGTATTTTTTGCAAATGTCTGCCTCATGGAGCGACTTTTAGCTTTTGAGTGAAGAGTACTTTTTACAAGCATTTTTGCTCAAAAATGCAAAGCAAGGCTGAATCTTTTCCTTTTGTTGACAGAATTATATTCCAGGCAAACTGTTTAGATCACAAAATTTGCATTTAAAGCGCATAATTACTTCAAAGGTTAATGAGTGTGACAGGATGCGATAGGCGTTTTTACATGTATGCCACACGAATGCTTTTATGCTGCTTCACATGCATGTCAAATGAAACTGCTTTCATTCATGCAGTGAGTTTAATTAATGATTTTAGCAACATAATTACCCACAGAACAGTTCAGGAAATCACAGAAACAGGTGGGAACCCTATCCGACAATGTGTCAAATACATAGTATGAAGATGAAGGCGAAAGTGGAAAATAAGTGCATACAAGCCATGTGCTATGACTGAAGGATCGGGGCTGTACTAAAACACTTTGCTATCACATGTATGGTTTCAGGAATCTTTGTGCCAGAGGATTTTGTTAGTTGATGCACCAGTAACCAAGAGTTCCCCTTTAAGGCTATAATATTTCGTACAGGCGTTCGTGGTCTGATGTTGGCGTGCATGCTGTCGGCACTGATGAGCACACTGACGTCGGTGTTCAACAGCGCGAGTAGCCTCTTCACACTTGATCTGTGGACAAGATGTCGCCCCAAGTCATCAGAGAGGGAGCTTATGATTGTGGGAAGGTAAAATTGTGATTAGGTTTCGCTGTCTTTGTGGTGTCCCCCGCCGTGATGTTGCTGGAATATTGCTAAAGCAGTGTAAAACCATACTCACCTGTTCACATGGTGATAACGCTTTACTTTCAAACGTTCATCTAAATTATTCTTATACTTGCATAAATATTCAAAGAATGAACATATCGCTCTCTTCTTCCCAGGTTGTTCATCTTAGTGCTGGTAGGTATCAGCATTGCGTGGATCCCCATCCTGAACGTCGCCCAGGGGGGACAACTCTGGTCCTACGTGCAGGCCATGCAGGCGTACCTGTCCCCGCCCTGGGTCGTGGTGTTCATCATGGGTATAGCTTGGAAGAGGACCACTGAGAAGGTGAGCTACATAACTGGCTTATCGACTAATTTCAGAATACAGTGAGATTTTAGTAGAGTATGATTCACCACAAGTGTATCAGTATTCACGAACATTGGCTTGTAAGGCAAACCTCCGGCAACAAGGTATGTATTGTCACTGACTGGGTCAGAACACCCTTGTACATGTATATAGACACCCCTGAAGACCTGGGTTAGAATTGATCTTCAGTAACCCATGCTTGTCGTAAGAGCCGACTAACGGGATTGAGAGGCCAGGCTCGCTGACTTGGTTGACACATGGCATCGTATCGATGCTCATGCTGATGATCACTGGATTGTCCGGTTCGTTCATGAATCTGATCACTGGATTTACAGACCGCCGCCAGGTAGCTGGGAAAGTGCTTAACGCAGCGTTAAACAACAAGCAAACCAAACCAAAACCATGTACATAGTGCTAACACCCCGCCAGGGACAGTGTATGTCTTCATGCCAGTTGGACCCCAGAAGATCCGGGGTAGAATAGGTCTTCAGCAACCCATACTTGCCACAAAAGGCGACTATGCTTGTCGTAAGAGGCGACTAACGGGATCGGGTGGTCAGGCTCGCTGACTTGGTTGACACATGTCATCGGTTCCCAATTGCGCAGATCGATGCTCATGCTGTTGATCACTGGATTGTCTGGTCCAGATTCGATTATTTACAGACCGCCGCCATATAGCTGGAATATTGCTGAGTGCGGCGTAAAACTGAACTCACTCACTCACTCATGCCAGTTGCGTTGCAAGTCCTGTGTATTCAAGCACTGCGACAATGTCCAATGTGTTCGATTGAGAATTGACGCCCAACATCCTATGTATGTGAGAGGATCGAGTGGTACTGGAGTCGGACGTTGCTTATATCAAGCATTTGTTTGTATGGTTCAGGGTCTTTTATTGCAAGCCGCCATAATCTAATTGGAATATTGCTGAGTGCAGCCCTTGCGTTAAACAGCAATAGTGATAATCTCGCAGACTGGACGACGTTGAGAAAAGGGTCCTGATCTAGACACGTAACGGACTTTTATAAAGTAACTGTAATATTTTTACTATGGCTTAAATACAATGTATTACCAGAATCAGTTGATTTCATTGTGTTCTCGACAATCGTCCTGTCACCAGGGGGCGTTCTGGAGCTTGATGGCTGGACTTGCTGTCGGATTGAGCCGGATGATCATGGATCTGGCCTACCCTAAACCTGCGTGCGGCGAGGACGAGACGAGACCGGAACTCCTTTACAAAGTGGACTTTCTGTACTTCGCAGTTATCCTGTCCATCATAGTGTTTGTCGTCTGCATCGTTGTCAGTCTCATGACCGAGAAGAGACCGGAAGTTAAGGTAAACTAAGCACTTATACAAATAATGGACATTTGGAAGTATGTTAATTATCATTAATCTTCTGCATTATCAGCCCAAATCTTTGTTTAGTAGCTTTAAAAAAATAGATGTCCTGTCAAATTACAATGTTCTTTCAAGATTGAACATATCTCTTGCATTTCTGCCATGGCAAATACAACCTGAACGTCATGGGGAATAGTGACCTCCACCCTTATTGTACTCAATATCTTCCCAAGCTCATATCATTGTGGTACCCCAGTTTTGAAGTTGTGCCAGTGCCTGACCCGGGTTCAGTGGAGTTATTTGGATAGGTTGTTGAATGCCAGAAGTGAGATAAACTCTGTACAAAGTTATTGACGGTGGGGTGAAATAAACTTTAGGTCACAGTCAAGAATAAGTGATAAGAAGAAAGGTGTATCTGGACATACATCTGCCAACACGAAGCTTTGAATGTGCCTCGATCCAGTGTATTGATCATAAAATGGTAGATATAATACCTTGATACAGGAGGATGACTCCCCCTAGCCTGGCCACCCTAGGCTGTAAGCTTGTGAACTTGTTGAGTGAGTGAATAGGACTTTACGCCGCTTTAAGCAATATTCCAGCAATGTTGCGGCGGGGGACACTAGAAATGGGCTTCACATATTGTACCCATGTGAGGAATCGAACCCGGGTCTTAGGCGTGACGAGCGAACACTTTAACCACTAGGCTACCCAACCGCCCCACTTTTGAGTGAGTGAGTGGTTTTGATTTCAGCAATATCATGACAGGGAGCACCACACGGGTTCCACACGTTGAACTCATATAGGGCATTGCATCCGGGTGCTGGCGTCTTTAACTATCGATGTATTGTTTTAGCTTCTGCATTTACTAACATGAATTAACTATGGACTGTTTTGAGAGGCAAGCTGGTGTTAATCGAATATAAACTGAACATTATTTAATTCCATTTTATTGGTTAGCATTTAACTAACGCCTTCCTTTAGCTCCGACGCTGCACCTGGAGCACTCGCTACTCCGCGCCACGTGAGGACACAGACGAGGAAGAGGACTACGACAATGAGGCTGCCAGGAACGCCACCGTACACCCTGACAACGACCGCGACGAGAAATCAGGTATGTTTTGAAAGGGTCAGAGAGTGTGTGAAGGTAACACACTTTTATGTTGTAGCAATCTTTGTGTTCATCTAATTTGTTTACTTGATGACAAATACATTAATCAATTACCTCGTCGTTAGTGACCACGTAATGGGATATACAACCTCGTCGTTAGTGACCACGTAATGGGATATACAAAAAGCTTACGGTATCTAAGGAGAAAAGAAAATTTTAGTATTTCTAAAGAGTGATAGAAACCATTAGTCATTTTTAATTGGTCCATGTCGGACTAAAGGTTTATGTAAAAAAGAACAAGATTTGGGGAGCAAACATCGAGTCTATGGAAGTTCCATTGTCTCTGACTCAGGTGGACATCCACTTTAAGAAGGGGTAGAACTTGCCCAGAAACGTCGTGAAACATATAAACAAGTTGTCTTGTATCAGACTCGTTATTTTGGGAAAGAGTGGTATGTATGTCTAAGGCTCCGCGACTTACTGTTTTCGACTTGGTTTCCACATTCATATCACATCTCCGATTCCTCAATATCAAAAACGAACGTAACCAGGCAGTTTCAAATGGTTAATAATAAAGTCCGATCTCTCTATGGGTTGGATAAACTAGATGTTATAAGTTCCATAGCTCACAGCCGAAAGGGTTAACAATAAGGCGGTTTTGTTTGTGTGGGTTTTCTTGTGGTAAGATTGAAATGTTAGAACAGAAATGATAAATGAAACCAAATAGTAGTAAAAAACGCACAGTCTGATTGGCGAACAACCTACACATCTTCATTATGATCGGTAGGAACATGGAGACCGAACTGATAATGTGTGTGTACGGGTGGTGTTACATACTTGCACCACACTTCCTGTCAATGGACCCTTCGGTTCTAAATTGGATTAGATAGCGACGGAAGATTTCACTATACCGGTCCAGCAGTATCCTTGAAACTGCCAGCCGCCTACCTGGTCTAGTAAACAGAACTGCTGCCCCAGAAGATTGGGGCGTATCCTCGGTGGCGTCACAGCAAATGATATTATAAAATGATACTTGTTACACCGCCTGACTCTCAGCATCAAGGGAAAATAGTCAGCTTGGAGTGGGAGTATTTTTGTAAAATTTTCGCCGCTTTTATTAATACTCCAGCAATATCACGACGGTGGGACACCACCTTCACATATTGTGCCCATGTGGGGAATCGAACCTGGGTATTCGGCGTTACGAGCTAACGCTTTAACCACTATGCTACCCCACCACCCCATTCGTAACTACTCGCCTCTTTCCGTGACCTACAATGCCGGAATGACACGAGTAGTTACGAATGCCCCACCACCCTAGTATAGTTGTGAACCAGTGTTGTCAAACCAGCGTTAGTCGGGTATGGGACAAGCACAAAGCACAAGCACACGTAAATACATGACCTACGTGTTAAATGGGGATGTTTAATTCTATTCCAGATGGAAAGTTTTCTCTGAAAGAGAAAGCATACAACATGCTGTGCTGCTACTCCAGCTTCAAACCCAAACCGGTAACCAAGGCGATGGAGGAGGCGGACGCCAGGCGCTACAGAGGCGAGGGCGAGCCTCCCTGGATCAGCAAGTTCCTCGACTTCAACGCCATCCTTGTGATGGCTGTAACAGTGTTTCTTCTGGGCTTGTTCGCTTAGGAATTATTGAATCACATGATCAAGATATACTCGGAATCGTACAATCGACGATACTTTAAAACAATTTAGCACAGATTTGTTACGAACATTTTTGGGTCGTTTTTATAGCATTGTCTCAAAGAAGATTATTATAGTATCTGTTGTGTTTTTCCACATCATGATAAAAAACATATCGGGACAGTGACCCATGTCGGTAACTGACCGCCATTTTATTAGAGTGCCCAACTATGTTGATTGATGTTGCCGAGCCTGGTCTCCCAATGACGGCCCCATCTGGTGCGGTCCTTGTTCGTCATCAGCCAGAATTCATGTTTAGGTCACTGACCATATGAATATATGCATTCATATGCAGCAAAACAATTCCCTTTGGCGTTTACCTCGAGGCATCAGTCCTTTTCATAATTATATTTTCTTACGTTTCCATGGAAACAGTTTTCACTTGGTCTCAAACGAGGCTATAGTTTGTTTCCGGTCTTTCTACATGTTCCAACTTTGCACATGCATTCCATGTGCATATGCTGATCAGCTTTATTGGTGCCTTTCGATATTTTCAAATTGATTTAGATTCCTGACAATCCACTGAAACCCTTTTAACTTGGTCTGTACATTGCTTATCAGCTTTACTGATATTTTGAACTTGTGTTTTGTTAAATACACTAGGAAGCAGTTTCGACTTAGGATTCATTTCCGAGCCTAAAGCTCAAACTAACGAATATGTTTTGGTTGAAACTTAACATACGAGCGGACCACGTACTCAAACTACTTCCTTCTGTATTTCTATATATATAGATATATATATATTAATTTCCTGGGACTCAGGGACACCATATAGAAAGTCTTTCTGTTGGGTATATGGTATATATACTTGTACAATCTATCATCCAGACAGCTGCTACAAGAGTAAGGAGTAGACATGATATCCAGTAACGCCGCTTCAGTAATTCATTAATCAGAATCTGTATCAGAATTCTGCTGCTGTTCCTGTTTTGCGGATTTACAAACACATTTATTGTGACAATTTTATTTATGTATAAAAAGGTGCGTGGAGACGTATTTTGATAGTATAAACTCTTCTAGTGTTCATTTTGTTTCCGTTAAACAGATAACGCTTTGTGGATTAACTGGAAATATCTCAATGTTTTATGTGAATCATTATGGACTGTTCAGTTCTGATCTTGCTATAATACTTTTGTACAAGATAGATATACAGAAACATGTTGGTAGTCACACTGTACCCGTGTTGTGTCGTGTATGGGTCGTGTGAGGGAGTGAGTTTAGTTTTACGCCGCACTCAGCAATATTCCAGCTATTTGGCAGCGGTCTGTAAATAATCGAGTCCGGACCAGACAATCCAGTGATCAACAGCATCAACATCGATCTGCGCAATTGGGAACCGATGACATGTGTCAACCAAGCCAGCGAGCCTGACCACCCGATCCCGTTAGTCGCCTCTTACAACAAGCATGGGTTACTGAAGGTTCATTCTAACCCGGACCTTCACGGGTGGGTCGTGTGATCATGCAATACTTCCATTCGTGATGTGTTGTTGATATCAGAGACCATATAATATGGTCTCTGTTGATATTAGCATTAGTTTCAAATCTCATTGCCCCACGTGGGTACAATATTTGAAGCCCATTTGTGGTGTTCCCCGCCGTGATATTGCTGGAATATTGCTAATACCGGCGTAAAACCCAACTCGCTAAAATCTCATAGATACGTGAGTGAGTATGATTTTACGCCGCTTTTAGCAATACTCCAGCAATATCACGGCGAGGGACACCAGAAATGGGCTTGGCACATTGTGCCCATATAGGGACTCGAACCCAGGTCTTCAGCGTAACGAGCGGTCGCTCTAACCATCAGGCTACCCCACCGCCCCAGTTGATAAGTATGAGCAGATGTCTGACCGCACTCTGCAATATATCAGCTCTATGGTTGCGGCTGTAAGTTGGTAATTGAACAAGTCTGGACCCAGTCCAATGGTCAGTATTCAGTCACGCTAAAGCCCTATATGAAGCAAATGTAGAGTTCTGAATCTCTGGTCTCCGTGGGGCTCCTTTTCAATTTAATTGGTTTATTTGTTATATATATTATATATATTCAGAGACTAAGCGTTAGTCTAGGGTACATTGTGCGAAACCCATTTCTGGAGTCCCCGGCGTAATATTGCTTGGACATTGCTAAAAGCGGCATAAAACCATATTCACTCACCATTGGCCACGTCGTCGGGGCACCACGACAGGCAGTCAACCATGTCACCAAGCATGACCACCTCCTACGACCAGAACGATGCCCTTGATGTTGATCACTGGGATGTCTGGTCCAGACTCGATATTTAACAGACAGCCGCCATATTGGAATATTGCTGGGTGCGGCGTTACACAACAGTCAACCAGTCAGCGTAGGTTGCCGGGAACCTAGTCTTGCATGCAATTACTACATGGGATGTTCGTGTGTACAAACGGTAGACATTTATAGGTTGATTTGTCTTCTTCGCAATGTTACATGAACTCCACCATCATATCTAAGATCGACCTTGCCTTTAGCAAACTGCAATCTCATTACAATCTGGTCTTGATTCTCACTAACGCTAAACAAAGCCCTTAGCAGAAGCTATATGGTATCTGGTGGAAGCGAGAACTGAGATCCGATTCTTATGAGATTGGACACACCCTAAGTCAACAATGACTCATGTGGGTGCAATGACAATGAAGAACTCACGTGGGAAGAAGAAACATACAACCACACACAGATTTGGAAGTACAGTACATAACGGAACACACGTATAAGGAACTGGCGAACATAACGAACTGATTTCTGTCCGGACCAGTCACTCAGAGCAGAGACCATGTACCGGTATATGGTATGTGACGTTAGGTACGTGTTCCCCACCAGAACTCATCCGACCCAACCTGCTGTTTGTGCCTGCACCAACTTTATGTGAATGAGTATTGTTTTACGCCGCTTTTAGCAATACTCCAGCAATATCACGGCGGGGGACACCAGCAATGGGCTTCACACATTGTACCACCCATGTGGGGAATCGAAGCCAGGTCTTCATCGTGACGAGCGAACGCTTTAACCACTATAGGCTACTCGTTATTTTAGGTATGCATATGCGGATCCAGCAGCGGATCCGGGTCTTCGGCGTGATGTGCCAACGCTTTAACCACTAGGAACCCTACCGCCCCAACTTTGTGTTTCATGAAATGTTTTCACAGAGGAAACAAAAATGGTACCGACAAAATGAATCCGATTTCACGTTTTTTAAACTGAGTCGGTAATTAGATAAAAACTAGCAGTCCTAAGGATTTGTAGATGTTCTTGAACACAGTGTCAGTATATTACAGTATATCTTAAACTCAGAGGGATGTTTTCGGCGCCAACAAGCACGTGCATGGTGCTGACATACAAAGTGTCATTATCAAAGCAATTCGTACAGTAATGTGCTGTGACCGATGGGTACTTTCATGCAGGAACATCCATTTAAAAGTGGCAGATAATTCGTAAATTTTAAAAATGCGCATGTAAAATATCCGAGTCTGGGACCCGATCCACAAAGCTTTCGTAAAGTTACGACCTGTGGTAACTCTACAGTTTATCGCAGGCTTACGAACGTTTTATGATCGGGACCCAGGGGTGGGCCAGTGAGCTAACCTCAGTATTCCTGCCACATAATCACACCTGGACCAGGTACACCAGTAAGCAAGGATCTACCTATAAGGTTTAGTGGCACCGAATCCGCAGAGACCGTGCGATACCCATATCCTCCCTACCCGGATTCACCACCAGTGAGCGTCAGACATGTGAACGTTCACTCCGTTATAACGAAGGTCACTGTTCAGAAGATGTTTCTCAATTTACAAGTTGTCCTATGCAGACAATCTGACAACAATAATTAAATCTGGGTCCCTATTCCGACCACGAGGAGCACAGGTGATGGTTCCTGGAATTATGTCTGTGGCAACTGCTGATGTTCCAACGGAATCCAATGATGACTTGATTGTTGTTTAACGCTTCACTCTGTTCCAACACAGACGGTGTCCTGTAAATAATACAGTCTATAACAGACTATCCAGTGATTGACAACACGAGCATCGATCTATACGTACCTGGGATTCGATGATACACGTCAACCTGGGCCCGATTTCACAAAGCGATCGTAGCGCTAAGGTGATCGTAACTCCCATGCTTTAATCAGCGTTCGAAATACCTGCCTGCCCGACCGCCCGGGATGGGTTATTTTCAACACGGGACTGCCAGATTCTCAAATTCACTTGCCCAAAGGTCGGGTTAAAATTTAGACATGTAAGATATTTTGTGGGCAGGTAAGTTTTGGTCAGGGCTTGCAAGTTTTACATCTAACCAGCCCTGTGGTCTAGCTAAAAAAAATTGGGAGTTTCATAACCTGCTTTAACATAGACTTACGACAGGGGTAGCGCTACGGTGGCTTTGTTAAACCGGTTCCTGCAGGGAACAAGATTTCCGAAGCTCTCTTAGCGTAAAGATTGCCGTAAGTGCTATACATTTGCATTAACTTCCGACTATTTAAGCGCTCAGAGAGCTTCGAAAATCTTGGCCCAGATCCACAAAGCGTTAGTAACGTTACGACCAATCGTAACTCTATTATACATCATTGGCTTACGAATGGCATAATGCCACAAACTCCTTGTGGATAGGGTCCCAGGTCAGCTAATCCGACATGGTTCACCCGATACCGTTAGTCATGCACCTCTTACGACAAGCATGAGTTACTGAAGACCTATTCGCAGTCCAAACCAGGACTTACAGCTGTAATACTGCTGAATACAGCTGAATACTGCTGTAATACTGCTGAATATAGCTTGAATACTGCTGAATACGGCGTCACACACATACTCATCAGTCACAATTGTACAATCGACTCTGCTGAAAATAAGACACATGCTCATTTTTTATAGTAGTCAGTTTTTCCGATTTCATAAAAGCATCCTTTCGCTGTGACACCGAAATAAATAACATGTCATTCAACTGCCAATCATTGTCTCCTAAGTAGCCCATAGCCGCTGTGGGGTCCTCTCGCAAACTATCAACATGCTCAGGCCTGTTGACACTTGTTCCCATATGGTCATGGTTTGTCATCCTACATACAGGGGAGACCCTTGAATAAAGCTGCAAAAACGAAATGCTGGTTAGAGTGATATTTTGAAAACATTCGAAAGGACACCGTTTCCATTTTATCCTCGACAGCTGCTTGTCTATATAAAGGGTAGGTAACTCTGATTTAAGTGTCTTGCTTTGGATTACCTCCCTTACTATCTTCGTGCGCTACTTCCGGTAACAATATTTGTAAATGTCGTAATCTACGACATCTGTTTACAACGCATAACGGTGTGTTTTGTATTTTCTGGGTGTATTTAATACGTATTAATTGTTCGTGACGTCTTAGATGTGAGTACAAACATTTTGTTTTGGTTATGTATGGACCCTTGTTGTGAGTTGTTTTGAACCATTATTACATTAAACATGTCAGATTTATCATATTGGCAACCATCGACTCGCCTTGGTGCTTTCATTTTAACAGCAGACCATGCGAGCTTCTGTCATTGTTAAAAATGTTTTCATAAATATATTTAAAGTAGAAATACGATCTTCCAGAATACCATGTAGCCACAGAAGCTGTGTACTGAAGCTGAACACACCTACGTTCGTTTTCAAAAGTCATTTTTCAAGTTGGAACACAAAGTGTTGTACTGCTACACATGTTAAATTGGTCATTACTTCACCAACCGTAAACGTAATGCCGTCTTCTTTTTGTTTGTAAAGCATATTGTGGTGTTCAGGTAATACGGTGCTCTCCTAGGTATAATACTTGACAGTTCCCCATCATAGCTTTATTTGGACTAAAATTCAAATGGCAACTGTCCAGTCAAATTTCCCTCCTTTACAAGAAACATTCTGTGGGAAGTTCTTAAAAAAGAGATACAGGGACAGTGATGCCATTTCTTATACAAAGCTACTAGTGAGTGAGTTTAGTTTTACGCCGCACTCGGCAACTTTCATGATATATGGCGGCAGTCTGTAGTGTAAATAATCGAGTCTGGACCAGACAATCCAGTGATCAACAGCATGAGCATCGATCTGCGCAATTGGGAACCGATGACATGTGTCAACCAAGCCAGTGAGTCTGACCACCCGATCCCGTTGGTCACCTGTTACTGTTACGACAAGCATGGGTTACTGCAGGTTCATTCTAACCCGGACCTTCACGGATGATACAGAGCTACTAAATCCAGGATATTTATCATAGATTCATAATGGAATGGCGATGTTATACTGTCAAAGGTGAGAACAATGACTTGTGACTTCAGGTGGATGATGGACTGAAGGATCCATGTCGATTGAGGTGAAAATGCCACTCTTCAGGAAGCAAAGTGAAAAAGGAAAGAAGCGTCAGGAGAGACAGGAGTATTTGGTGAGACTAGTAGCCTGATAGTTGTAGCAACTGTACTCATCATTTTTGAACTGATCTAGAAATTCTGTCTGACTCATTGTAACAAATGTACACATTTTTTAGGTTTACTCTCGTAGCAACTAGTAGAGTTTGTTGGGGACATTCAGGCTAGCATTGTAATCTCTTTAATCACTGGCTTAGACTTCAGAGCACAGGGCTCGATTTAATGCTTTGTTACTTGCACTGGTGCCATCCAATATTATAAAGTGCAGCTTAGTTATTAGTCTAACTTACACCAGGTGCAGGTCAATTTTTAAGTGGGTAAACTTCTAAATAAAGCATCTAAATAATTCAATAGCTTATTTCTTTCATTACATATTGCAATAAAAGCAGCAACTTAAAATTTGGCTGGTGCAACTAGGTTCTTTCCTTAGGTTGCACTTGTGCAAGTAGATTAACATCTCTTAAATCGAGCCCTGGAGCATGTGCTCTGATATCACATCGATATTGTTAACAGTGATTCACTGTGCTTAGTGTGCTGATGTTTGAGGATGTATGTTTATTTTTAGGCCCAGGATAATCCAGAGCCGACGTTTGATCTGTCAGCATGTGAGATAAGTCATGTAAGTTTTGTCATTATCAGCATTGTCATCTTTTTCTTATAATTATGTTTTATGTGAATGCCTACAATGCCTAACACTTTGTACCAATTTCATGTAGGGCACAGAAACACACTGTCCCTGTTAAATGCTACTATGTACAATGTTTTCAGGAATAAAAATATGTTATACATTTAAAGATTTATTCATCATAGATTTGCAAAATGCTGTTGTCAGGAGGAGTCTGGAGCCATGGAGATGGCAATGACGAAATATTTTTTATTATACTACTCAAAGCATGTTAAGGACTACCCACATCTTTCATATTGGTGTACTTTAGATAATCTGTCATGCAAATAGGCAGTTGTGAAAAGCAGGTGTTAACTTTTTTTAGAGAGTTTGAGTTTTATTGAGAGTTTGTCTTGTTTTACATTGTAGATTCCTTCAGGAGTGTTTGCAAGATGCAAGATTCTGCAGAAAGAAGTAAGTCACAGACACTGCCTGAATCCACAAGTGTTCGTTGTATACATCAGTAAGACCATCACGGAAGGTGTACACACCATACAGCACACTGACTTCGACGGTTAACTATTGTCTACCTAATGTTCATTCATAGCTGTCATCGTATCCCAACTGCGTAGATCGATGCTCATGCTGTTGATCAGTGGATTGTCTGGTCCAGACTTGATTATTTACAAACCACTACCATGTAGCTGGAATATTGCTGAGTGCGGCGTAAAAATAAACTTACTCATTCATTCATAGCTTTAAACATACTGCTGGAAGATTAACTGATTCACCAGCAAGCAAGAATGTTAATCTCAAGACTTAAAATTCCCAGTGTTTTCTTTCATTAAATATTTTATGCATGTAGACTTTGTATATCTTATAATAGGGACTGAATTGGAATTCACTGTACTATGTGTACAGTGTTGAACCCTTTAATAATAAACTGTTTTATAATGTCTCTATTCACCAAAAGGTTGCCCTGTGGTGTTAAAAGACATAAGTTACCTCCCCTTGCTATGTAAGGATTATCAATTCAGGGTAGACTAAATTCACCACGATTGTGATCCTTTGTTCATATTGTCCCATATGCGTGGATTTTACTACAGTGCTAAGCATCAACACCTGCATCGCTTTGAGTTTTACTCCGCCATTATTCCAAGATGCTGTGATAAAACTGTCATATTGTGCAGACAGTTCCGACCCATCTCAGTCACTGGCCTGGTAAGATGTAAAGTTTCCCTGTTCTACCTAGGCCTTGCTGCTGCATGACAACTGGCTGGGTTCCATCTCAGGGGGAAACTTCTCGGATCTGATCACACTCAGGGTATGTACTACGTATATTTTGTCTGTTCACATTTACCTTCTTACTATTTCATAAAGTGGCTAATGAAGAACTGAGTTATGTTTGGGAAAGATCCAATAAAGTTTGACAGTTAATTGTTTTGCCTTTTGTGCAGTCAGCAACAATTTACACCCTATGAGAATGATTAGTTATTCTATGGCCAAAATTAAAGAAATCACCTGGTGCACTGATGAAATTTTATGTCTATCTACCATCAAACACCCAGTCATATAGAAACACAGGGACTGATGCCCTTTCGCAAAATGCTCCACCCCCTATCATGTAGTATTTCACTGAAAGCATTCATTGGTCAGTTATATAGCGGTCTCGGTGTGAAATTGACTTTGCAGCCACTACCAAAATACAGTTGAAATGGTAGTTGATAATCAAGCTAATTGATAGCTGTGAGCTGGGAGGATCTGTCTTTTTTGATGAGTTGTAGGTTGCTATGGATACTTTGTCATCTCGCAGAGACTTGATTCTGTTTTGATTCAATGGCTTTTAATACTGTACATTTCAGGTGTTGGACGTCCACAACAATGAGATTAAGGTTATACCTGAAGATATAGGAATACTTGTAAACTTACAGGTAGGTCAGCTCTCTACAGAATACGTCCATCAGTGTTTGTTATAGACGTATTTAGGGGCGGTGGGGTAGCCTAGTGGTTAAAGCGTTGGCTCGTCACGCCAAAGACCCGTTTTCGATTCCCCACATGGGTACAATGTGTGAAGCCCATTTCAGGTTCCCCCGCCGTGGAATATTGCTAAAAGCGGCGTAAAACTAAACTCAGTCAGTCAGTATAGAAGTATTTAGAAAAATTTACAGGAAAACATATACATATGTATGAGATAATATCTCCTAAATAAATATACATGACCCATAATAATCCCAGACTTCCACCATGGAAGAGTTTAATTCCTTTAGTGTTACTGTTAAAGTACTTAAATTGAGGGAATATTTGAATATGTTAAAATAGGGTCATGACAAAGATCCCATGACAGTCATCCTCACTTAAAGACCTAATAGTCACGATATGGCTGAAATATTGCCGATGTGACATTAAATATTAACTCACTCACTAAAGACCTAATTGTTAAAGGTCACATGTTAAGTAAGGTAGCATTCCCCCAAATGCTACTTTCAAGTTACTCAAGTTATCTTGTAGCAGTCTTAGGCCAGCACACTCATGTGAATTTCAAAGTCTATGGTAGTGTGACACATCTAGACCATTCTCTGAAACATCAAATACTATGGTCTTCTGTGGGGATTCTTGGCAAAATAAGTTGCAGCAGCTTGTGCTAAAAATAAGTAAACTAGATTCATGTTCTGGTGGCCACAATGGCTGACTATAGTGTAGTCAGTGCAGTGGGCTGCATGTTGACAGGCCTATACAATAGACCACCACATCTACAGGAAGCACCTGCTAATACACTGGAACCATGTGATGATCTGGTGGCCACAATGGCTGACTATAGTGTACTCAGTGCAGTGGGCTGCATGTTGACAGGCCTATCCAATAGACCACCACATCTACAGGAAGCACCTGCTAATACACTGGAACCATGTGATGATCTGGTGGCCACAATGGCTGACTATAGTGTACTCAGTGCAGTGGGCTGCATGTTGACAGGCCTATCCAATAGACCACCACATCTACTGGAAGCACCTGCTAATACACTGGAACCATGTGATGATCTGGTGGCCACAATGGCTGACTATAGTGTACTCAATGCAGTGGGCTGCATGTTGACAGGCTCATCCAATAGACCACCACATCTACTGGAAGCACCTGCTAATACACTGGAACCATGTGATGATCTGGTGGCCACAATGGCTGACTATAGTGTACTCAATGCAGTGGGCTGCATGTTGACAGGCCTATCCAATAGACAACCACATCTACTGGAAGCACCTGCTAATACACTGGAACCATGTGATGATCTGGTGGCCACAATGGCTGACTACAGTGTACTCAGTGCAGTGGGCTGCATGTTGACAGGCCTATACAATAGACCACCACATCTACAGGAAGCACCTGCTAATATACTGGAACCATGTGGTGATCTGGTGGCCACAATGGCTGACTATAGTGTACTCAGTGCAGTGGGCTGCATGTTGACAGGCCTATCCAATAGACCACCACATCTACAGGAAGCACCTGCTAATACACTGGAACCATGTGGTGATCTGGTGGCCACAATGGCTGACTATAGTGTAGTTTTAGGCCAGTTTTAAATTGTACCAGGTTTTGTTTTTCATTTTGACATTGAGTATGACTTACCAGGGTAAGGTAAAGAAACCTTAAATTCAGTTCGAGACAACTGAGAAACTAGTATTACATCCAGTTTGATATGGCTGGTTTAAAGTAGTAATATACATAGTAATATCTTACCCAGGGTAATAAGACTTTGACAGGATTGAACTGAGTTTAACATAACACATCCTCGATAATCTCCTGGGTATACATTACGATCACTCTCTACTATACCCTGGATGCATCCACGGCTTGGCCCGATGATTTTATTTCCTGCCTTGGCTGGCTTTTTACCCAATCAGGTGTCTACACTGGGAAGTTGAGCGAACCAATCACAACTCACTTTCGCTTCTTAAATTATCTAACCGTTGAAACTTGGCAACACAATTGATGCAGAGGTAGTCTGAAAGAGGTAGAAGGAGTTCTTTTATATATGTTTCAGATCTGTCAATTTGTCTGTATTATTTCCTAAAAAATCTGAGTGGCACTGCCACAAGCCTTCCGGACTGCGACCGCTATCTTTGTTGACACTGGCACGCTCGGATGTAACGGCGGCTTAGCTGAGGGAGGTAATATAATTATCGGGCCAAGCCGTGGATGCATCCAGGGTATAGTGGAGAGTGATCGTAACGTATACCCTGGAGATTATCGAGGATGAACATAACACAGCTTTCAACCTATCTGAGTTCCAGACAACTAAGAACTGTTCTAATCCAATGTGAGACATCTGGGATTAAAACAGTGATTAATATAGTAAAAGTTCACCAGAATTGAACTGATTTCTGCCTAACAGAGGATTTGACATCTGATTTGAAGACAACTGGACTTCAGTGTAGATGTTGTAGCCAGTTGGTGTGACTGTGTTATAGCAGAATGACTCCACGCCACCACCATTGATCACTGGCTCTATCATCGTCTGTCTTATTCACTCTCTATATCTGCTGTATGATCATTTTCACAGGTGTTGAGTTTGGAGGGCAACAAGTTGAAGAAGATTCCAGATACAATAGGCGACCTCCGTTCACTCCAGACTCTGAACGTTAAAAGTAAGAATAATTTAAATATTTTTTCTTATCCTGACTCATGCTATTTGCTTGTCTTCTTCTTGCGAACACAGTGGAACACTTGTATCTCCCAATTGAAGTTCCCTTCAATGTAAAATCACTAATTAGTACTCACGAGTTATCTGTTCCCTCAAAGGCGCGGGAACGAGGGCGCCACCTCCTGCCATGTGCTTCACTCTCTCCTTCTTCGCCCAGTGAGCAGGACGTGAGAGCGCCTGTGTCTCCCTACACATTATATCCTTTATTTATATTTAGTTGTTTACCTCTTATAATCATCTACAGAGGTGTAACTAGTATCTTTATACATGATGCATTGATATCTATTCGTGTTTCTACTGTTTTATTCACGGTTCGCCGTGTTTGCTCAGTAGATTGCGTTAATGAAAATTTGCACTGTTTGTAAATTACGTTTTCTCTGCTGCTGATCCGCATTTAATATGCCCTAGTTGTATTACGCCATGCTCTACTGTTTCACGTTGCAATCATCGTATTAAATTATCTAATTCTGCCTTTGATAAATATTTATTTTGCATCTTGAGACGCGCAGCAGATAGATTACGGAAACAGTCTTCAGTCATGGCTAATAGATCAGAGTCTGATATACCATGTCAACTGTTGGCGGATGACCCCCTTCCGTCTGGTGTTCCGCTTGAGTTGCCCTCGGGGGAGAAGCGTGGGACGCAGTCCGCTATCTCCAAGAAGCGACCTGCATCCCAGGACATCCCGTCGTCCCAGTCTAAGACCAGGAGAGCTTCTACGTCGTCATAGCGTACGCTCCGCACCCCCAGGGCTACATCTTCGTCGAAAGTGAAACCTACGAAGACTACTAACAGTTTTTCATCTGACATTCTTCCTGTTTTCAGAATTGGGTTTATATGATGACGATCTACCGATCATCATTCCAGATATACGGCAATAAGAAGCGACCACTATTGGCTACCGTCACCTCAGCGCAGATCAACACACAGCTAGAGATGCCTACACTGACGGCAGAGAATCTACCTGAGGGTCCGTCGCTACCATACAGAGGGCAGCGTCTACATCAGCATGAGACCGTCCCAGGGGACCTGGTCAACCAGATTATGATGTTGATGGAAGATCGTCACGGTTTACAGAGGCCTCAGAGCCATGGGCCCCAGAGCCCAACCCACTTACAGTCTTGTAGGGCCCCAGAGCCCGTTTGCTTGACCAGCGTAGGGCCCCAGAGCCCACAGGCAGCGCCTCCCACGAAGGGCAACCCAGCCCAGATCGAAGCCTTCGCGAAGGGCGTCCCAGTCGCCTCCACGAAGGACCCAGATCCTCACCATTCGCGAAGGCTTCACGGAGGAGGAGTGCTTCACCGAGCTCAGACCCTGAAGAACACAGAGGTCGATTCGCTGAAGCAAGCTCCTATCTAATGATTCAGACTCTGACTCGATACCTTCCACGAAGGTTAAGTGGCTCCAAGTCATCTTCATTCAGAAGATCTATAAAGGGATTCACCGAGAGCTTCCACGAAGCCACCATCGTTAAGCCAAGGAAGTCTCCCGCGAAAGTCTCCGTATAGAAGCCACTTTCGTCAGTCCGTTCAAGACATCTTAGATCCTATAGTTTGTCGAGGGATTCATTATGACCTTAAGCGAAACTACAGGTCACCCTACAGTTCGTCGGGGTATTCACCACGTCGATCCCTCGCCCGATTTACACACAAGTATCCAGCAAAGCAGAGACATCGCAGTACTTGTCTATCAACTGTATGCCACATACCGTCTACAAGCCTACGCGAGAATTACCGAGCCTCTTGGCGAAGGTATTCGCACAGACATCCACAAGACAGAGATGTCTCAGTACTTAACTTTTTAACTTGAGCGTTATATAGTTACGCGAAGTACTAATTACAGATGAAGAGCCTAATTAAGGATCTTCAGGCCGACTACCTACATCAAGGGCATCAACGACATTTCACAGATCATCACAGGAATCACCATTTCCGTATATATTGCTAGGTATGCAATCCCGGACTACGATACGATTATCTACATGCAAGGAGCCATAGTCACACCAAGTTGACCACTACGCAGATCTACAGACAATTCATTACAGAAATCACTAATTATCTAAAATCCAAAGTATTCTGTATTCCCACCTCCGTTTCCGTCTGATTCTACAAGCAAATAGCATGAGTCAGGATAAGAAAAAATATGTAGTTTTCTGATTAAAATTGATATTTTATACTTATCCTGACTAAGCCCTCCCGTCCTCCCCACATAACACTTTGGATTTCCCTGAAAATTCTAGTGTTGGGCTCGCTTTATAAGGAGACAGTGAGGCACATGGCAGGAGGTGGCGCCCTCGTTCCCGCGCCTTTGAGGGAACAGATAACTCGTGAGTACTAATTAGTGATTTTACATTGAAGGGAACTTCAATTGGGGGATACAAGTGTTCCACTGTGTTCGCAAGAAGAAGACAAGCAAATAGCATGAGTCAGGATAAGTATAAAGTATCAATTTTAATCAGAAAATTACATTTTTAAACTTATCCTATCTCACGACTTGCACTTCTCTCTTTTGATTCGACCATGAGTGGAAACGAATTAAACTTTGCTCCAGGCCAACCTTGTCCCTGTCCCCGTGCTGTGCATGCCTTCCTGCCTCAGCCATGCTCACTGGTCCATGACAGCACGTGGCATACGCAGTCCTCACCCACGTGATCACGATACTCATTCTCTTTCTTGTCGCTCGACAGAGTGGACATGAAATTTGTTTTTGTCTGAGAATTGCTCAACATGGATAAGCCTGTTCAGGCCAGAAAACAAAAGTTTTGCGCTAAGCGTAATAAAGTTTTTTCAGCTAGGGACCCACACACATCGTGTGTTGATTATGTGGGTTGTTGTGATTGGGACAAAGGTTGTCCTAAGTGTTCAGGACTTGTCTAATGAGGATTTTAAAGCTTACAAACGTGCTTGTGCCAGACGTTTGGCAGATAGGGCCAGGAATGCTTCTGCGGGATTTGGTCCATCTCCCGCTAAAAAAACAATGTTTAGATCTCCCCACCCTAAATGCTCGTCATTCTAATTCTCCCGTCTCTCCTGACAAAGATTTTATGGACGGTTTGTCTGATTCCTATTTGTCTGAGAATGTTAGAAGGCTTTTTGACCTAGCTCAAGTTCTCATGGGCATGCAAGGGGGGTAATGAATGATATTTCCTCTACACAAGACCTGCGATCTACTTTATCTCATAGATCCGTTTCATTGGACCGTTCACAGTCCTCGAAAACTTCTAAATCCAAGCATTTATCATCGAAGCGTGGATCGGCACGGTTGGAACGTAACCGTTCTCCTAATCATACGGTTTCATCCCACCGAAACAATTCACCCACACAAGTTGAGTCACCATCTGGTTCGGAGGTTTGAATTCGTTCTTCTACTGCTGGGAAGTGTCGTTCTAGATCTTGTTCACGCTCGAGCTCTCGTCGTCCTTCCAATGTACCAGTCCGAACCAATTCACCACCTCGATTCATTTCACCAATCAGAATTGGGTTTTATGCCAGTGTTGGTTCACTAGAACGGAACCATTTGCCTAGCCGTGTCATTGCCAAGGGTCGAACGAGTTCACTCAGCCGAGCCCGCTCACCAGACCGAACTGGTTCACTTAATCGAATGGATTCACCAGGACGAACCGGTTCACATTCCTGACTCAATTCTCCTCACCATGTGTTTTGATTCGACTCACCATCTCATAGTCGAATCAATTCACCACAGCGTTTTGATTCACATAGTCGTTCAGTCTCACCTAGTCAAAGTGGTTCGCCATTTTGATCCAGTTCACCTAGCCGTATGGTGTCTTTTTGTCAGAGTGATTCTGGTAGTCGGTCTCATTCACCTCAGGTGAATCAGTATATCCCGTCTAGTCAGTCTAGAGCTAGTGAGTACTTGCGCTCAGCACCTTTACGTGATAGTTCCCCTCATCAACATCGTTCTGTGCAGGTGGTTTCACCTGCTAGGCTGCGTTATGCTTCAGTGGATCGGCGTTCACCTTCACGCCATACCACTTCTACTTTGCCTCGGTCACAGGTTATTGCTGAGTCATGGAATCCTGCAGTTGATTCCTCTCCAGCGCCGGATTTAGACACCATGCCTCGTGCTGTTACATCGGCTTGGAATCAGTGTCATTCGTCCTCTCAAGTTCAACAATTGTTTACCATACCTAGCAATAATGGTCCTGTGGATTCGAGGGATCTGACTCGGTCTCAGACTCCTTTACCTTCACCTGGGCAATCAGACATCTCCACTCCTGGTGGCAGTTTTGATGTTGTTGCACCAGCTCACGTGCTAGCTTGGATAGTTGAAAAACTTCAGCTACCTCTTAGTAAATCTCCAGATGATTTGGCCACGTCTTATGCCATGACAAATAGAGATATTTCCAGTATCACACTACCTTTGCGTCCATGTATTCAACAATTACCTTCTTCTCTTGATGCGGCTTTCAAGAAGCTTAGGAGGACGAATGATGCTTTGTCAGCTCCAAGGTTCCGACCTTCGACGGCACATAGTCATGGTGTTCAACTTTCTAGATGCTGCGATTCGGCATTCTATTCCTTCCATTAGTTGTATTATTTCGGCTGTTGACGCTGTGGCTGCGGCCGTCAATCATGCCTATACGGACCAGGATGCATTCATTAGAGGAAGTATGGCTCTGATATTAGATCAATTCCAGGTGGTTTGGGGGCAACTTTCTCATTTCTTTGGCTATCTACTTGCCATTAGGCATCGGGGCCCTTTGAATTTATCCTCATGGGAAGATAGATTCAAGGCTGAATTGTTTCGTCAACCATGGTCAGGGGATATGGTGTTCAATGGGTCTATTGCAGAAGTTGCATCCAAAGTGGACCGTCTTAATCAGTTTCAAGTATCTGTAGATCTCTTGGAGTTGCAAAAAATTCAAGTTCAAGACTCTATGCGGCACCATTGAACCCCAAACTTTACCCCTTCCAGTCTAGACCTTCGTGACTGTTTGAAAGACAAGGCGTCTTCTCAACCACAAGGCAGGGGCAGGAAGTCTTTTCGTGGTTCCGCGTCACGTCACCCCTTTAGACGCTGGAACCGGAAGTAAAAACTCCAAACAGTGACTTGTGGAAATCAGAGTTCGGATTGGTTCTGTCGGATCCGGTGGTTCCGGTGTTCAATTCCCCTGTAGGCGGGAGGTTAGGTCTGTTTGCTCCCAGCTGGGAGTTTCTAGAGTATCCTTTTGTCACAATGACTCTCATTCACGGCTATCGAATGCCTGTTGTCATTCAACCTGTGCAGTGAACATATCTTCAGGATCAGGCTGCAGTCCTTTCGTCCACAGTATCAACACTACTGGAGAAACATGTGGTAGAACGCCTTGATCCTGTGTGCATAACTCCAGGCTTTTACTCCCCGAGTCTTCTTGTGCCAAAGAAAAACTCAAGCAAGCTGTGTCTCATATTCAATATGAAGGCGTTCAACACTCGTTTCCTTCAACCGCCACCTCATTTTGGAATTGTATCAGTCAGTCTTCTATGTTCAACCCTGAAGAAAGGAGATTTCATCATATCCCTTGACCTTCAAGACGCATACCTTCACATTCCAATTCACCCAGATCATCGGAAGTACCTGAGGTTCACCTTCGAGGGCCATCACTTCCAATGGAAAGTCCTTCCATTTGGAATCTCTACGGCCCCGTGGCTATTTACTCGGGTGACCAAACCCATCAGCAGTTTCCTGCATTCTCGGGGAGTTACCTTCAAAAGCTATATAGACGATTGTATTCAGGCACAACAGGATCCAATCGTTCTTCAAATCCATCGGGAGTTCACCATCAAGCTGCTCAAACAGTTAGGGTGGCTCCTCAATTACGAGAAGTCGGAGTTAACACCGACTCGCAGACTTCAGTTCATAGGAGCAGTTTTCAACACAGAACAAGCCATGTTGTTTGTTCCCCAGGACAGGTGGACCAAAATTCAGCGTCTGGTTCCTCTAGCCTTGGATCTCCCCAGAACTCTACGCCAGTGGCAAGAGTTGCTGGGCTTACTAATGTCAGCTCAGGCTCTGACTTACAGAGGTCAGATGCAGCTTCCCCCGCTTCAGTTATTTCTGCGACCGCATCTTCAAGCCAACAACCCTCAGGAGTTGATTCGGTTACCCAGGGAACTGCGTCCAATGAACAGAATGCTTGCACCGGCGTCTCTTTGGTGACCTTCAGTCCGACCCATCAGTTGTTTGTGGACGCTTCTCTCGAAGGTTGGGGCGCCCACTTCCTTCAGCATCAAGTGGCAGGGCAGTGGTTGTCTGAAGAAAAGTCACTCCACATAAACATTGTGGAGTTCAAGGCAGTATTACTGGCAAATCAGCACTGGGCTGCTCTACTCAAGATGTCTCACCTGCTGATAATTTACCCGCTCTCTCGGCCAAGTGTCGACCTGTTTGCCACTCGGTTCAACTCCCAACTGCCGAGATTCGTATCTCCAATTCCAGATCCACTAGCTTGGGATCACGACGCCCTGGCCATTCCCTGGGAGGGTCTCAACGCTTATGTGTTTCCAACCCCGGCTCTACTTCACAAGGTCATTCAGAAAATTCTGTTAACCAACAAAGTACAACTGCTTTTGGTAGCCCTTTGGGCGGCAAGCAGCTGGTTAGAAGTCGGACTAGTCAGTCGAAGCAGTATTCCTCTTCCCATGCAGGACGACCTACTAGTTCATCCACACTCGGGCGTGTATCACGAGTCACCACAGACGTTCAATCTTCACGTATGGCACATTTGCAGAAATCACTAATGGCCAAAGGTTATTCTCACAGAGTGGCCTCAGCTATCACTGCAGCTCATCGTACGTCTACATGCTCTTTATATAGCAATAAGTGGAAGAAATTTGAATGTTTTTGTCGGGTCAGAGGGATCACTTCCCCTACTACTGCTTCGCCCCAGGTTGTTGCGGAATATTTACAACATTTGCGGGCTACAAGGAAACTCAAGGGTTCCACTTTAGCCACTTACTTGGCAGCTATTAATTCGGTCTTAGCTACACGACTTCTGGTGCGAAGGTTTTGATGGTGCGGAACTGCAGTACTGCCTCGATCTTTTAAGCTAGCCGACCAATCCAGGAAATTTAGATCCACCAGCTTTGGACTTATCCATTGGTTCTTAGCCACTTAGTGTCCGAGCATAATGAACCCCCTTATAGGACAAGCATTTTTGAACAGGTTTAGTTCAAGACCTTTTTCCTGATTGCCTTGGCCACGGCGGCACGAGTATCAGAACTTCATGCTCTAGATGTCAGTCGTGTCCGTTTTGAACAGGGTAGACATGGCAAGGTAATTTGGGGATTTTGTCGCTAAAAACCAGTTGCCAGGTCAACCTGAACGCCTTTTTACAATCTCACCTTTGTCTACTATTTTGGGTCCAGAAGATGTCGAGGATCTGTCTCTCTGTCCAGTTAGAGAGCTTAGCATTTTCCTTAAAGCATCGCAAGAGCGCCGCCGCTTGCGTAAGAGACTGTTTATACCCTTGTCTACTGCTTTCAAGGCGGAAGTCTCTCGCACATCTCTCTCATATTGGCTACGAGCTACAATACTATGAGCCTAAGCCTACCGCCACCTACGGCATCCAACCCTCATGAAACCAGGGCATTGGCTTCTACTATGGCGTTGCATAGTAACTGCTCGTTAATGGCTATAATGGAGGGTTGTTTTTGGCGTTCTGACACTGTATTTTCGTCTCATTACCGGTGTCGGTGATGGATATTCAAGGCCTTCATCAGTTTGGACCACTCATCCTTGCCCAACAGTTGTCAGCGGCACAACATCGCAGATAATGAACTTCCTTGTGCTACGATGCTATAAGGATACCCATTAGCATAGATGATCACCAGTCGCGATCCTTTCTGCTTGTGTACAATCTGAATAAATCTGAAACTTATTTCTGTTTTGTGTCTTTGATTCTTCCGGGATTTAGATTTCTCCTCTTATTTTGTATTGAGACTCTGGAGAATCGCCACCTCACTTACTGTCCTCTGCTCCACGGAGTAGTTACGTCAGTGAAGTGAGTCATTCCCGAAGTGTTACACTTCGTAGCGTTCATGCTCCTAAGTACCTATACACATCTATGTGATCTTACTGTGGTAAGTAGTGGAAGTCATAAGATGATGTTGTGGTACTGAACGTTAAAATTGTGAGTTTTCCCGATTCAATTACCCTTTCACCCTCCATGGGACGGTGTCTGTGGGGGTTGTTTTGAAGCAGGGGCTGGCCCGATACTAGTCGTTAGACTTTTATTATGGGGGTACCTTGGAAATCGTGGCGATGCGACTGATTACACTCGCTAAGCTGCGTCCTTTCACTTTCGTGGAGGTAGTGAACACCACATTGCTCGGGAATCCTGGTCCCTGGGAGCACTTGTGCTTAGTAAGTCAATGGGTTCGAACTAACCATCGCACGTAGTAACTTTGGTAGTTATTGGCCTACCTTGTAGTTGCTTCCTACGGTTGTTTCGGCATAACGCTTAGCTGTTATCGCTTGAACTTCAGGTAATCTATGACCCACCTTCCTACCGTGGGATAAGTGCCAGTCGTGAGATAGGATAAGTTTAAAAATTTGGAAATTTAACTAAAATTGTATATTTATATACTTATCCTCTCTCATGCGATAAAGTCCCACCCTACCTCCCCACTACTTAGATTACCACCGTTCTGGTTTTGTCCTTTTATGGCTTCAAGATCGAGAATGAGTATGTAAGGTGATCACGTGGGTGAGGACTGCGCATGCCACATGCTGGCTAAGGCAGGAAGGCATGCACAGCACGGGGACAGGGACAAGGTAGGCCTGGAGCAAAGTTTAATTCGTTTCCACTCATGGTCGAATGAAGAGAGAGAGGTGCAAGTCGTGAGATAGGATAAGTATATAAATATACAATTTATAGTTAAAATTTCCAATTATTATAATATTGTATATTAATTATTGTATTCAGTTCAAGTCTTTACATTATGTATTAGTTCAGTCATTTTTAGTTACTTTTCATGGGTTCAAAATTTGTTGTATTAGCTAAGGGCTGCTTTTAAGGGGGGTTACCCATTTTGTTGGGGCGGGCATGTCATCAGTTTTGTACATAAAATATTAAAACAACATGCTTAAAAATTATGGGGAGGGGGTATTGATTTTGTACATGACATGCAAGGGGTGGGGTCACTTACTTTGTACATAAATTTTAGGGTTGGTCATTCAAATTGTACATGCTTCTCCATAAATATCATCACACACTCCATACTCTGCTCAGTATACATTTATGTTGCTAGCGACATGCTTACATCATGTTCCTGGGAGATGAAATTCTGTCTGGTTTGTATCTTAATATCAAGAAGTCAATGCAAGAACATAATCATAATTGATTTCTTAAAAAATTTCTTGCAGAGAACAAAATCAGCCATTTGCCCGACACAATGTGTGAACTGCCTTGTTTGCGGCTTCTGGACATCTCAGATAATGAAGTTACCTCCCTTCCTAAGAGGCTGTGTTACATCCGCACCCTGGAAACACTTGTACTCGATGCATCCCGTATGAAATACCCAGATAAAGGTGAGGATTTTTACAAGGATAGATCATTTCATATTCTTTGGCTGGATATTTTATAATAGTCTTTAGGCCAGACCAATTATATTTCTTGTTTTACAGATTTTTGTCCTCAAATAACCTAAAGGCTAGAGGGGAAAAAAAATAAAATAAAATCACCAGTCAAAGTTATATTCCTTCTAAATATTCAAAGTGTTTTACTTTTAGCAGTATATGAAGTGTATATGGGGCAAAAAAACAATCTAAAAAAACATTTTCTTGTAAGTTTACATTTTTGGCCAATAAAAACATTATATTTTTCCTTATCCTGACTTATGCTATTTTGCTTATCTCCTTCTATGCGAATGTTAGTGGAACACTTGAATCCCTTGTAGTTCCCTAAAGCGGATGTAAAGGTTCTCTCACCCACGAGTTACCTCCCTTTTCCCGCGTAAACAGTCATGTGACCTGCCATGCTTGTCACTCTCTCCTTCATCACCCAAGCGGATGGTTGGGCGAACACTGGAGTTCCGTAAAACAAGAAATAAAATTGGTCTGGCCTCGTCAAATATTTCAGACAAAACTGTTTTTGCGTCTGGTTTTATAGTAAAATAACGGGATCAGGTGGTCAGGATCGCTGACTTGGTTGACACATGTCATTGTATCCTAATTGCGTAGAATGATGATTCAATTATTTACAGACTGCCTCCATATAGCTGGAATATTGCAGAGTGTTGCGATAAATAACAATCAGTCAATCACTCAGTTCCCTGAAACTGAATGTAAGGTAGTTTGAAAATGACATTGCATTCATTGTGTGTGTGTTTTGTAATGATGATATTTAATAGTAAGATAAATGACTGACTGAAGTGACAGTTTATTACGTTTATTGCAGAGATCTGTAAGAAGGGTACAGAGGACACCATGAAGTTTCTATGCAGCGGTATGTTGTGCTGTCTTCCATTTACCCTATCACAGTGCTTGATTCTGTTGGGAATCTAGGGTAGATTTGACACCCAGTGTCCGTGCTTGTAGAAGTGTTCATTACAACTGGTCAGATGGCCAGGTGTGTCATCATACCTCCATGGCACTGTGCGTTGTGGCATCACAGGTGGCCTTGTTCATTGTGTCATCATACCTCCATGGCACTGGGCGTGGTGGCATCACAGGTGGCATGTTGGGAACAACTATTAGGGTTGTTGTGTTAAGGGAGATAATTCATGTCAACCAAACAATTGCAGACCACTAAACATTATTGACCTACAAGCTTGTTGAGTGGTTGCTTGTGTTGACTATGACTGTTGTGACTTCCAGCGAATGGACTTGAGTACCAGCCCCCCTCCAACTTCCTGCTCAACATCCTGGAGCCCCCGAAGCCAGTCGCCTCATCCTGGAGTAGCAACTCGCTCAAGGCCTATCAGGAGGAGGCCAAGATGATGGTACCTACTTCAAAGATGTATTGCGGGTTCCAAAATAAGTGCCCTTGGCAGGCAAATCAGGAAAAATACAAATACATTTTTCTGCTAAATTGGGAATTGTTTAAGTCTTTGTTTTCTTCTATTCAAAGGTATTTCACGATTGTGTCCAATACAATACTGCCTCTGCTTCTGTTTTAGTCGTGTTGTCAGTGAAATACAAGTTACCTCCACAGAGCCGTAATATTACTTCCAACTATGTTACTATGGTTAACATGTATGGGAAAGTCTTATTCGAAGTTATGAATTTTAGTGCTATTTGCTGCAGTATGAAAGAGATGATATCAGTAGCTGGTTGTTTACACAGCTCTGTCATTCAGCTGGAATATTGCTGACTTTTGTGTGAGATACTTTTTACATACAATTTGTGATGCCTTTTTTACCCATATTTCAGAAATCATTGGAACAGTATCAAGATGTGGTGGTAAGTTTTTGCCTGCTGTCAACAGACATGTCTGAACCACAACACTGTCTGAACCACAACACTGTCTGAACCACAACACCACACTGTCTGAACCACAACACCACACTGTCTGAACCACCACACTGTCTGAACCACAACACTGTCTGAACCACAACACTGTCTGAACCACAACACGGTCTGAACCACAACACTGTCTGAACCACAACACTGCAGCAGGATAATATTGTCTGAAAGTGATTCTTGAGATAAACAGTTTGTGGTTTAGCATTGTGGTATTACCGTGTTCTTGTCCCCTCTGCTTTATAGTACCAAGGGGCTGTGGGGTAGCCTAGTGGTTAAACAGTTCGCATGTGAAGCCCATTTCTGGTGTCCCCTGCCGTGATATTGCTGGAATATTGCTAAAAAGCGGCGTAAAACTATACTCACTCACTCACTTACAGTACCAAATACAGGAAGTAGACAAATGTATTCTCATGACTCTCTTTATCTGTAGCCTATGGATTATCTATCAGAATACCGGTATATAGTTTGGACACCACATCATATTGGAAGTATTCCCCACATGGGTACAATATGTGAAGCCCATTTCTGGTGTCCCCACCGTGATATTGCTGGAATATTGCTAAAAGCGGTGTAAAACTAAACTCACTCACTCACTCACTCACTCACTCACTCATATTGGAAGTAGTAGTATTTGATCGAACCATTTGAGCGCTAACATTGCACAGAATTTTTCCCACTTTAGTCAATACAGTGAACCGTCACCATATTTACAGTAAATGAATTGGAAGACTGCAGCTACTAGCATGTCAGCTGGAGACGATGTGATCCAGAATGATGACACTAGGAACTGAAGTCATCTTTCTAACAAGTATATAGAAGTTGGCACTAAAAGTATGGCTGATGCTGTCACTCAATCAATTTTATTGGATTGATATAATTAACATAATGGCATGAAACAAAATTGATTGTGATGTCCAAAGGAGTTGAGATATGATACACTCTGTAATCAAGGGGGATATAAGTCTGACGTATCTGTGACTCTGTGCAGGACAAGAAGCGAGAAGACAGGACGTACCTGGAGAAGATGATGCGCGAGGAGCAGGAGGTTCAGGCCATCATGGCCGCCAAGGTCATGTCTCAGAAACAGAACCTTGTAGATGCCATAGCCAAGGTCAGTGTACAATGAATGCTTGCCTTTCAGAATGTGTAATGTCGTGTAACTTGGAGGGGAGTTAGTGAGGATTTATGTCTCTTTGAACAGCATGTCAGTTGTGTCGTGACTCCTTGATGTGGGAGCAAAGGTTGAAGCGATGCAAGTGTTAGACATTTGCAGCTTGAAACTCATGAGTTTATGCTCACAAACCTAGAAAAATAATCAGGTAGAATTGCAGGGCTGAGAATGTTCCATGGGGTTTTGTGGAGTTTTAACATCTCTGGTGACTTTCATGATACATGCTGCCATTGTATGTGCTGAAGTTATATGGTTCTCTAGACCACACATTCCCGTTATTATATGTAAGACTCAAAATATTCTAATCCTTGCATTTATATCTGGAAATCCAAGTTCATTACATCGACCACTGGTTTACCCACTCCAGATGTTTATTGATTATGTAGTTGTTCATGTCATTCACTCACTCACTCAGTTCATCAATTATGTTAGAAATTGTGGCTGTGATCAGATGTTCAGCTGTTCAATAAGGTTGTGATGACACAGTGTTGATTAGATGCTGGAAATGGCTGTCTGTTTGGTCGTGAGTCTTCAGTGACCCAGTTTCCATCTCTTGTTATATGTGACAGGACCAAGAGCGAATCTTAGACGGCTTGAATCAGCTCAGTGAGAAGAAGGGTATGGAAAGAGAAATGATGTTCGGGGAACTCAAAGAAGGTACAATACTCTTTATCTTACCTTCATGTAAAAATTCTTTAATTTCATAAGCCAATGACGGTTTAACAAGTTTCCAGGAGGGTCACAACTGGAAGAAATATTACCAGCTGCCCACGGTAACCGCCAAGCTGAAGCTAACAATCATTATGACGTCATAATATGACGATGCCGTGCCGGAGTTCGAAAACCATTCGATCAGCTGTTTTTGTGTTCACTTTGTACAGATTTATTTTACCGACTTTCACTGCTTTATATAAGTTATTTTATACATTGAGTGGTTTGCCCACTCAGCTTAAAACATATTTAACAATTTTATAGCAGTTTTATGCTTGTCAGAATATGTTTCACTGAGGTTAAAAATCCAGTCGAGAGGCAGACGCCATTTTCTTTGCATGTCAGATAGTCGGTAGCGATCTTTAGCATAAAATATAATGATATTTTGTACATTTAACATGGCGGTAAGATAAATATGTTGTATGCTTCTCCCTCGGGTAATACAGTATGATGTGCGTCTCTTTGTAGCAGTGTCATCCTGGCGAGCATCTTGTTGCTACAAAGAGGTACATCAGACCATATTACCCTCGAGAGAGAAGTATACAACTTATAGTATTGTGTGTATTTCACCTTTAAATTTGCTTGTCTTTTTACTTCATGACTTGGTTGTCATTGGGCTTTGAAAGATTAGGACCATTAGTCATAATAACAGTCATGGCTCTGCCTAGTCACAACTCGAGTTTTGTAGACCAGCACAATATTCAAGAACTATGGGTGAGGCAGCCAGAAATTACCAAACTCTCCCATTGCCTCCAGTGAAGCCCATTTCTGGTGTCCCTCACCATGACATTGCTGGAATATTGCTAAGAGTGGCGTAAAACCATATTCACTCACTGCCATCGCTTCCCGTTGTAGTGGAGAAGAGTGCTGACGAGCTGTTGGTCCACCTGCTGGACATGACAGAGAAGGCCAAGAAGACGGAGGAGCTGCTGGATGAGCTGGAGCAGGAGAGGTGAGGCAGAGGTTCCACAACAACTCTTACTGTACAACAGCCTTTCAGAACCATTCAGTTGGATTTTTGGACAAATTTAGAAAAATGAGACTGGCTGGAATCTTTTCAGGAGAGTGAAAGGTGGTCTGTTTGACTGTAGGATTGAAGGAATGTTTCTTACAGGAGTCTGGATATCTGGTTGATTATAATAGTTTAGTATGAATTCTGTGTGATTCATTGAATGTCTGATACTGGTGTGTGAAGTGAAGGTCTATGTGTTTAATTAATGGAGCAGTTGTTATGGTAATATGACGATTTGTTTGTTTTACTAATGGAGTGTTTGTTACCATTATTACAGGAGTGTGAAGGACGGTCTGTTTGTTATATTAATGGAGAGTTTGTTACCATTATTACAGGAGTGTGAAGGACGGTCTGTTTGTTATATTAATGGAGTGTTTGTTACTATTATTTACAGGAGTGTGAAGGACGGTCTGTTTGTTATATTAATGGAGTGTTTGTTACCATTGTTACAGGAGTGTGAAGGACGGTCTGTTTGTTATATTAATGGAGTGTTTGTTACTATTGTTACAGGAGTGTGAAGGACGGACTGTTTGTTATATTAATGGAGTGTTTGTTACCATTGTTACAGGAGTTTGAAGGGCCGGTCTGTTTGTTATATTAATGGAGTGTTTGTTACCATTATTTACAGGAGCGTGAAGGGCCGGTCTGTTTGTTATATTAATGGAGTGTTTGTTACCATTGTTACAGGAGTGTGAAGGGCGGTCTGTTTGTTATATTAATGGAGTGTTTGTTACCATTGTTACAGGAGCGTGAAGGGCCGGACTGTTTGTTATATTAATGGAGTGTTTGTTATGGGATTATTGTTACAGGAGTGTGAAGGACGGACTGTTTGTTATATTAATGGAGTGTTTGTTACCATTGTTACAGGAGTGTGAAGGACGGACTGTTTGTTATATTAATGGAGTGTTTGTTACCATTGTTACAGGAGTGTGAAGGACGGACTGTTTGTTATATTAATGGAGTGTTTGTTACCATTGTTACAGGAGTGTGAAGGACGGACTGTTTGTTATATTAATGGAGTGTTTGTTACTATTATGTTACAGGAGTGTGAAGGGCCGGTCTGTTTGTTATATTAATGGAGTGTTTGTTACCATTGTTACAGGAGTGTGAAGGGCGGACTGTTTGTTATATTAATGGAGTGTTTGTTACCATTGTTACAGGAGTGTGAAGGGCGGTCTGTTTGTTATATTAATGGAGTGTTTGTTACTATTGTTACAGGAGTGTGAAGGGCCGGTCTGTTTGTTATATTAATGGAGTGTTTGTTACCATTGTTACAGGAGTGTGAAGGACCGTCTGTTTGTTATATTAATGGAGTGTTTGTTACCATTGTTACAGGAGTGTGAAGGGCCGGTCTGTTTGTTATATTAATGGAGTGTTTGTTACCATTATTTACAGGAGTGTGTTACCATTATTTACAGGAGTATGAAACCGGTCTGTTTGTTATATTAATGGAGTGTTTGTTACCATTGTTACAGGAGTGTGAAGGACCGTCTGTTTGTTATATTAATGGAGTGTTTGTTACCATTTATTTACAGGAGTGTGAAGGGCCGGTCTGTTTGTTATATTAATGGAGTGTTTGTTACCATTGTTACAGGAGTGTGAAGAGGGCGGTCTGTTTGTTATATTAATGGAGTGTTTGTTACCATTGTTACAGGAGTGTGAAGGGCGGACTGTTTGTTATATTAATGGAGTGTTTGTTACCATTGTTACAGGAGTGTGAAGGACGGACTGTTTGTTATATTAATGGAGTGTTTGTTACCATTGTTACAGGAGTGTGAAGGACGGACTGTTTGTTATATTAATGGAGTGTTTGTTACCATTGTTACAGGAGTGTGAAGGACGGACTGTTTGTTATATTAATGGAGTGTTTGTTACCATTGTTACAGGAGTGTGAAGGACGGACTGTTTGTTATATTAATGGAGTGTTTGTTACCATTGTTACAGGAGTGTGAAGGACGGACTGTTTGAGGTGAGGTGGGAAGAGTTTCAGACTCTTCGGAAGCAGGAAGTTCTTCGTGAGTAAACACAGTTTGTTTACATCTTACAGTCACCTGTATGCCCCCAGCAACCCATACTTTCTGTGACAGGCGACTAAATGGCAGAGTAGGCAGACTCAGTGAATTGGTTGACTGATCACAATAGGAATCACGACTTTGTCTGATCCATTCTTGGTTCATCACAGACTGCCTTGAAATAGATAGGATATTGCTGAGTCCATGTTAAACAGCAAACATTGCTTACAGCGTTTCTACGGGCCCTGAGATTTGACAACTGTTTACATCCAGTAAAAGTGTTTTTCATAATATTGGTAGCACAACCTTCCTGTCAATACGTCGATCCAGGTCTCACTTAAATCTTACACCGCTGGGTTGTAATGGTGTGGATGTTCCTTCAGGCCATTATCAAAGTTTTGATACAGTTGAAAATGCTTTGTCGAAGCATTTGAGTGAGTGAGTGAGTGAGTTTAGTTTTATGCCGCACTCAGCAATATTCCAGCTATATGATGGCGGTCTGTAAACAATCGAGTCTGGACCAGACAATCCAGTGATCAACAGCATGAGCATCGATCTGTGCAAGTGGGAACTGATGACACATGTCAGCCAAGTCAGCGAGCCTGACCACCCGATCCCGTTAGTCGCCTCTTACGACAAGCACGGACCTTCACGGGTATCGAAATATTTGTAGTACAACTATTTGGGCCAACTCGCACCACTACCCAGGACCCCTGTAGATTCTAATACTGTTATGTGTTGTCGTTGTGGATGTTGCAGGAGCGATGAAGTGGATCCTCCAGGACGACGAGGGGATGGAGAAACTGAGACAAGAGTACACCATCGATAAGGACAACCAGAACAAGAGGAACCTCGAACAGTCAGTTAACAACAACACCAGACTTTCAATCATTTTGTCATAATTAATTCCCAGTCACTAATATGGGACACGTGTAAATGAAAGATATCACTTGGTATATATGATATACTGAGTTTGTTAATGGTGTAACTTGAGCTGCAGAAATACAGATTATCTCCCTTGAGTTAATTATTTGGATCCCAAACCTGGATGAGAGACATTGATTCTCAGTACTTCAGCAGAGAAGAGATAAACTGTATCTTAAGATGGGAAGTGAGTTGTTTCAACTGAGAGACACTTAATTCCCATTTGGCGGACTTTGTTGTTAGTTTTCTGATGTCAAAGAGTCAGAGACGATGAAATATAGGACCACCTCCATGGTCCAGTGGAGAGAGCATTTACCAGGAGAGCAAAGAGTTCAGGGGTTTCATTCCCATCGTCATAGTACTGACAGACATTACAAGATGGTACTTGTTGTTACCTTGCCTGAGACAAGGCAATAAGGGGATAAGGCAGGAACTGAGTCTGTCTTCACAGTCAGTCATAGCAGTCATAGCACTGGTAGTACATTCAGTTTGAAATATACAGCATTCAGTGAAGCATATGCAATGATTTCCAGTGCAGCCTTCCAAATGTAATGAAAAATGATATCAGTTAAGCATAATCCTGTTACTTTTGTTGATTGCATGCCTGTTCTACAGTGTATATAGTATATTTCCTGTCTGTTTTGCCACCAGAGAGACCCTGATAGCTGGTGATCAGGTGGAGAGCTGTCTTTACCACCGGCAGGCCCATCAGAAGGTTGTCATGGAAACGCTAGCTGAGCAGGTGGGCATTTTAATCTTGTTCCTTCATTCAAAATTATCAAATATTTTTGGGGAAATCAGCCTCAGTCGATTACTATTTAAACAAGTAATTGCTGGAATGTTGATTTGAGTGTTACAAAGCTTTTGAAGTATGTGAAGTAGACACTCTCCATACATGGTTTGGATGTGGGGATTGTAGTTTACAACTGGTCCCTAGCTTCTGTTTCTTACTGTAAGAGGCCAGGAAGCTGGAGTAGGTAGAACTGCACAATGTCTTGTTGAATTACTTGTCATCATACCATGAACAAAAATGTACTAAATAAATGTTCTCCCCCCCTTCAGGAGCAACTACAGAAGCAAGCGTTTGAAGCGCTGTTGGTGGCCAAAGATGCCAAGAGCAACCGAATCAACAGCCAGATCAAGCTGATCGAGGAGCAGTTGATACAGCTGACTCTTGTGGAGCAGGAACGGAAGGATGCACGGGCAGAGATGGAGCTGGTACGTAGCTTCAGGTCAATATTGGCCAGTACTCCACTGTGAGCTGGTACGTAGCTTCAGGTCAGTATTGGCCAATACTCCACTGTGAGCTGGTACGTAGCTTCAGGTCAATATTGGCCAGTACTCCACTGTGAGCTGGTACGTAGCTTCAGGTCAATATTGGCCAGTACTCCACTGTGAGCTGGTACGTAGCTTCAGGTCAGGTCAATATTGGCCAGTACTCCACTGTGAGCTGGTGCAGTAGCTTCAGGTCAATATTGGCCAATACTCCACTGTGAGCTGATGCATAGCTTCAGGTCAATATTGGCCAATACTCCACTGTCGAGCTGATACGTAGCTTCCAGGTCAATATTGGCCAGTACTCCACTGTGAGCTGATACGTAGCTTCAGGTCAATATTGGCCAGTACTCCACTGTGAGCTGGCATACGTAGCTTCAGGTCAATATTGGCCAGTACTCCACTGTGAGCTGGTAATAGCTTCAGGTCAATATTGGCCAATAATCCACTGTGAGCTGATGCGTAGCTTCAGGTCAATATTGGCCAGTACTATCACTGTGAGCTGGTATGTAGCTTCAGGTCAATATTGGCCAGTACTCCACTGTGAGCTGATGCACGTAGCTTCAGGTCAGTATTGGCCAGTACTCCACCGTGAGCTGAGTCCACGTGTGGCCAGCTGGTACGTAGCTTCAGGCTTCAGGTCAATATTGGCCAATACTCCACTGAGAGCTGATACGAGCTTCAGGTCAGTATTGGCCATTCTACTGTCAGCTGAGTAGCTTCAATTGGCCAATCCACTGTGAGCTGATGCTTCATTGGCCATTATTACCTACGACAGATTTCAAAATATCGGATCAAGGTCATATTTTTTCATACGATGCCCTAGAGCAAAATATCACTTTGTCATGGTGACATTCCGTCATGAACAATGCTATGATGTCACGCTTCTGTGAATATTCTACATGCAACGCGGCAAGTAGCCAGCCTATGTTTGAAAGTAGATTTGGGTTTATCCTCAATTTGGACTCCACTGTGGCTAATAAACAGAATATTATATTTGTGCTCATATCATACTATGTTTACGAGCTTCAGGTGCCTAAATGTTGGTATTTCCTGAGCCAAAGGCGGTGGGATATACCAACATTTAGGCACTCGTGGTCGCAAAACATGAGCTATCAGTATGTCATGGAGCAGCTTCAGGTCATATGGCCATATTACCCACTCCACTGTGAGCTGGTACGTAGCTTCAGGTCAGTATTGGCCAGTACTCCACTGTGAGCTGGTACGTAGCTTCAGGTCAGTATTGGCCAATACTCCACTGTGAGCTGGTATGTAGCTTCAGGTCAATATTGGCCAGTACTCCACTGTGAGCTGGTATGTAGCTTCAGGTCAGTATTGGCCAGTACTCCACTGTGAGCTGGTACGTAGCTTCAGGTCAATATTGGCCAATACTCCACTGTGAGCTGGTATGTAGCTTCAGGTCAATATTGGCCAGTACTCCACTGTGAGCTGGTATGTGTGAGCTCCACTGTGAGCTGGATGCGTAGCTTCAGGTCAATATTGGCCAATACTCCACTGTGAGCTGGTACGTAGCTTCAGGTCAATATTGGCCAGTACTCCACTGTGAGCTGGTATGTAGCTTCAGGTCAATATTGGCCAATACTCCACAGTGTGCTGGTACGTAGCTTCAGGTCAGTATTGGGCAAAACTCCACTGTGAGCTGGGTGTGAATGTTGGATGGATATCTGTCAAATATATAAACAATACACCTTTATGCCTTTCAAACAAATAATCTTCCTGTGAGAGCTGTTCATGTTCAGAGAAACATTAGAAATTCTTGCTTCTGTTTACAGATAGTATACTCCTATCACACTCTTTCCCTCCATTGTTTATTTCCATGCTATGACTTATACTAGATGTAATGATATTTGATTGTAGAACCTGATAGCTGATAAGCGAATTGCATTGTCGGCGATGTTGGCACAGCTGTTGGAGGAGCGAGACATGAGACAGGTGGAAATCAAGAAGAGGCTGGTATGTTGTCCACTTGTTTGTGTGTGTGTTTCAGCAAGTGTGTTTGTGTTTCAGCAAGTGTCTGTGTGTTTCAGCAAGTGTGTATATGTTTCAGCAAGTGTGTATATGTTTCAGCAAGTGTGTATGTTTGTGTGTCTGTGTTTCAGCAAGTGTGTGTATTTTGTGCATATGTTTCAGCAAGTGTCTCTGTGTGTGTTTCAGCAAGTGTATTTGTGTTTCAGCAAGAGTGTATATGTTTCAGCAAGTGTGTTTGTGTTTCAGCATGAGATGGATGGCAAGTGTGTCTGTGTGTTTCAGAGATTTGGACAGACAGACTACTGGCTGGTGCAGACATACTACTGGCTGGTGCAGTACCAGCGTCTCATGGACAAGAAGCCACAGAGACTCATCGATAGCGTTAGTACTCTGGATATGTTTATTCACAAATATGTTACATTTTCAAACCTGTAGATCCAACAATTGCTGTATCAGCATCATGGAATTTAGCTAAAAGAAAAGAAACCAACTGGATAAGGAACCCCAGTCATCTGTTTTGCTACAAATTGCACTTCAGAGTTGTGTCCCCTTGGAGTGCCAGGAACCTGTGATTGTATATTTGATTCCTTAATTGTTGCTGTTTAATGTTTCTTTACATAATGATAAGCATAATGATTTTGTGAACTTGAACATTTTGTATGATTGTATAAAATGGCTTGAAATATTAAATGGGCTAAGTCATGTCTGTTTAAATGTAACCATGGTAACTGCGTTGTGTGTGTAACCATAGTAACTGTATGTATAGGAGAACGCTCTTGAGGTGGAGGTGGTGAAAATTCTGCGCAAGTCAGGAGCAGATGACTACTTGCCTTTGTTTGCACGACACAAGATCACCATAGAAACCATTGTTCAACTTACAGAGGATGATCTGAAACAGGTGAGAGAAAGAAGGGGAGAGGAATGGGGTGGTGGTGTGTATTGGTAAAAACTCATACAATGTAATTATGTTTAAGATCCATATGGTCATAGCTATGTACCCATCTATTCTCAGGTTGGTGTTCACGAAGTCGGCCTGCGGAAGTCCATCTTGCGCTATACAGAAGAGATGAGAGTGGAGAACAAACTAGGGGGGATAACTCCTACTGTGGAGACACCAGCCAAGCAGGTTGCTGTAAGTCCTGATTATCTGTATACAGAAGAGATGAGAGTGGAGAACAAACTAGGGGGGATAACTCCTACTGTGGAGACCCCAGCCAAGCAGGTTGCTGTAAGTCCTGATTATCTGTATACAGAAGAGATGAGAGTGGAGAACAAACTAGGGGGGATAACTCCTACTGTGGAGACACCAGCCAAGCAGGTTGCTGTAAGTCCTGATTATCTGTATACAGAAGAGATGGAGAACAAACTAGGGGGATAACTCCTACTGTGGATGAGGGTGGAGAACAAACTAGGGGGGATAACTCCTACTGTGGAGACCCCAGCCAAGCAGGTTGCTGTAAGTCCTGATTATCTGTATACAGAAGAGATGAGAGTGGAGAACAAACTAGGGGGGATAACTCCTACTGTGGAGACACCAGCCAAGCTGATTAGATGAAGTCTGTATGGAGACACCAGCCAAGCAGTAATTGTATACAGAAGAGAGTGGAGAACAAACTAGGGGGATTACTCCTACTGTGGATACAGAAGCAGTTGCTGTAAGTCCTGATTATCTGTATACAGAAGAGATGAGAGTGGAGAACAAACTAGGGGGGATAACTCCTACTGTGGAGACACCAGCCAAGCAGGTTGCTGTAAGTCCTGATTATCTGTATACAGAAGAGATGAGAGTGGAGAACAAACTAGGGGGGATAACTCCTACTGTGGATCTGACAACAAACTAGCCACACCAGCCAGGTTGCTGTAAGTCCTGATTATCTGTATACAGAAGAGATGAGAGTGGAGAACAAACTAGGGGGGATAACTCCTACTGTGGAGACACCAGCCAAGCAGGTTGCTGTAAGTCCTGATTATCTGTATACAGAAGAGATGAGAGTGGAGAACAAACTAGGGGGGATAACTCCTACTGTGGAGACCCCAGCCAAGCAGGTTGCTGTAAGTCCTGATTATCTGTATACAGAATTAAACTGGAGTTTTCCAAGTATTCATGGTTTCTTGTAATCTGTCAACTCCTTGTACTGACAGATTAATTATAGCAATATGAAAAAAACATCAGATAGTCCTTATCTTCTTCTGAGTGCAGGTGGTGGGGTAGCCTAATGGTTAAAGTGTTTGCTGGTCAGGTCGAAGACCCGGGTTCGATCCCCACAAGGGTACAATGTGTGAAGCCCATTTCTGGTGTCCCCGCCCTGATATTGCTGGAATATTGCTAAAAGCGGCGTAAAACCATACTCACTCACTCACTCACTCTTGTAAGTGCTATACTTTTTTCTATCAAGACTTGAGAAGGTTGGATCATGTGAACCATGATTGAGCTTTGGCTGCCCCATCTAAATGGAAGATTCTAGAGACGTTGTACTCCTTCTAAAGCAGTTTGTACAACAGAAAGCCTATGCCCTTGATGATACGCCTGTCCTGTCGTACATTTCATGGAAAATAACAAATGTGAAATATTCACAACCATAAATGGCACAACCATAATTATCTATGCACAATTTATAGTTTGTTTTCAAGGTACAGAATTATGTTGGTCTGAATTTTTCTCTCAGTTTTTCTTGAGAATTTAAAAGACTCTTGCTGATTGACTCTATTCAAACTCACTGATATGACCTCATATTGTGCAGAAGTATCATGTTGGAGAAAAACATCGGAAGTAAGGAGAAATATTAAGCCCTAACGGCAGAATTTTAACATTTGTCCGATGTATGAAAGCTTACCACACTGGGGATTGGATGATCCCGAGAGGAGCCATGGCTGATGCTAATGCTGTCACTCAGTACTATGTCTTGCCCAGTTACCCGAGAAGATCCGGGTTAGAATATTAATCTTCAGCAACCCATTGCGCAGATTGATGCTCATGCTATTGATCACTGGATTGTCTGGTCCAGACTCGATTATTTACAGACCGCCGCCATATAGCTGGAATATTGCTGAGTGCAGCGTATAACTAAACTCACTCACTCACTCTTGCCCAGTTGCTGCTGCTGGCTGCTGCCTCATAGTGGCCATATTGCTGGCTAGTCATAGAACCTTTCCTCAAACACACAACAGAAGCACAGCAGAAAGTGTCATGTGTAAATTCAATATCAAAATCATGCAACAAGATGGAATAAACATCCAACCTCCTGCTTGCAGACCTCTATGGAAGAGCCGTCATCGTCAACACATGTCGAGCCATCTGCCCCCGAGGAGCCTGCTGCTGGCGCCATGTTTCAGAGACAGAAGTCCATTATCGCACGGGGGATGAACTCCGAGTGCTCCATTTGTCTGGAGAGAGAGGTAATTACTTCATGCTGGGAGGGGGACTGTGGTAGGATAGCCTAGTGGTTAAAGCGTTCACTCGTCACGCCAAACACCTGGGTTTGATTTCCCATATGGGTACAATGTGTGAAGCTCATGTCTGGTGTGGCCTGCCCACTGTGTTAAACTAGGTCTTGACTATGTGAGTCAGGTCCTCATATGCTGCCATGTGAGTCAGGTCCTCGCACGCTGCCATGTCATTGCTGATAATATCAACCACTGGTTGGTGTGGGCTCGAGTGTTTTATTTATGGACAGCTTCTAATTGGACTGTTAGAGTTAAGCACAGCATTTGAAATAATCGCCAGCCCAACACCGGTTGTTATTGTATCGCGCTGGAAGTTTCAAATATTTGCAGGCCCGTGTGGCCTTCAGTAAATTACCTGTCTTTTTTTCAACTGGAATCTTTCCCTTTTGTTTTTCCCTTATCATTATTCAGGAATCATCCATGTTCCTTCATGTTACGACAACTTACAGTTTCACTTCCTGGTATTTCAGTGCTAAAATAAAGCGCATAGGAATGTCAACACCAGTTTTCAACTATTAAAATGTCTCTCTGCGCCACAGGCTTCGCTAATTGATTTTGTAGAAACAGTGTGAAACTGTATACAGTGTAGTCTATTTTGTTTTTTACTGGTTTGACTTTAACAAAATGGGCCTGCAGATTTCCTTCAGGGCCTGTAGATTTTAAAGCCTGCAGACAGCAGCAGGCCCGGATGGCCAACTGGCAAATTAAAGTATTGCAAACACTGGTTAAGCAACTGACATCTTGTCCTTGCAGTCCCAAGTGATCTTCCTCAACTGCGGACATATTTGCTGCTGTGTCATGTGTTGTGGGCCACTGACCATGTGTCCGCTGTGTCGAGCACCGATCGTACAGAAGATCAAGATTTCACAGCAGACATGAATGACCTTCACCTCAGCAGTTCAGCAAAACCAGTTTCTCTTCCATATACAGGAACTTGTGGAGATGCATTGGAGCTATATTATTTTGTATTGGTGAACTGTAGCTTGTGGCCTTTATGATTGTTCATTAGTAGCTGTGATGAGCGTAGGGACCTAGGACCATGGTAATGGCGAAAAGACGAACTGGCCTCGGTGGTACGTGATTATGGAAGATTTACCCATTCCACGTTGTCTTTGTTATTTAAAGAATAAAAGACATTATTGTTTTGTTTTTGTTTTCACCCTGATGGATTGTAGTCCATCCTTATATGTTTACCTTTCTAAAAAAACAATCTGAGAAATTGTTTTGACATGGATTAAAACTGTACAGTATATTACTAAAGCCCTCTGACAGACTAGGTTTTGGGACTCATTTATTGTGTGTGATTAAACTATTATTGAAAAGCAAGATAATCTTGCTCTACAAAGAATCTTAGCTTAATTTGTTACTACCAGTCCTGAGGTCAAGGTCAGTTGAAGGTTGCCACCTATTGTAATGGCAGGATGATATCATTTGGTATACAAATGTTGCAATAAGTTGAAGCATTTAAATAATAGCTGTTCATTTTGATATAAAGAATGATTAGACATTGTCCTTTTGATACTTGCATGAAATTATGTGTATAGTCGATGTACAGATTTACCCATTTTGAATGTAAATAGTTTTTGTATATGTGTGCATGTTGTAGTGTTGTGTAGTTGACTGCTTGCATGTGGAGTGGGTTCTACTTGGTAGAAGGACCAGAGATTGAAACATTACTAGAATATCTGTGATACAAAATGTTGGCAAAGTTAATAACACCTTTGTCGGAGCCCGTAGTTCCATAAACAATGCCTAGGTGATTACTTACTGATCAAGCCAGTATTTGTTGGATGTCAAAAGTGTGATACAGATGATAGTAAAGTGCTAAATTATTGTGCATGGTTGGACGTTGGTCCAGTGGTCTGTTACACTGACTAACAATTTATTGGCTGCAAATGGAAAGAGTATTTTGGAGACATTCACACTACAAATGGGAACAGACAGAATTACGGTCTCACATAATGTTCCAATACTATCAGAAGTTAGAGATCTGTTACATAGTTTTACTGACACAATAGCGTGAATGTAGAGACGGACATTATTCCTGTACTTTACAATCTGAGGGCTGCAGTAGTAACTATGGCATGTATGAAATAACATAGCCACCATCTGGACCTGGTATCTGCTAGGGTTTTGTTGTGTATATGTTTGTATATATTTACATGTATATATCATAGGATAGATTGTTGAGTTGTAGACACAGCGATGAAATGTACAGTAGTGTTCTCCATCTACTGCAATTGGACACTGATAGGTGTTAAGGTTTGGACTCTGGGACAGAACAAAATGGACAAGGGACCATGTGTCATAAAACCCAGTCAAGACTCAAGTAATTTGGTGACTGTGTGAAGTCTGGTGAATGGAAGGTTTAAGTTATCTCCCCTGGACAGGTACATAAGTCCTTGACATTGGACACAAGTCCATCTTAACCCAACCTGCTCTCAGTTAGCCCTCGGAGCCCAAGTGAAGTTAGATACATTATTCTCTGTGGGGTTGTAGCATTATGAATTAGGACTGCCATTGTTTGTTAAGATGTGGACAAAAGAGGCTAAAATATGCGTTAATGTGTTTGAGAGAAGAATGTTTTCGTTATCAAGATATTAGTTACTGAGTTAATGTCGTACTTTGGAAGAACAATAACATAGATTGCCTCGAAGTCAGAAGGAATTTCAAAACACAGATTGTTGGCAGAGAATAATCATAAAACAAGTAATGATGACTGAAATGCATCTGTATATATCCTGCTGTTTGTTGAGAACATTTCCAACACTGGTCATAGTAGTGTTTGTATCACTGTTGGTCACAGGCTGCTAGATAACCCAGGCTAATATCCAGTGTATGAAAAAATGCCTGTCCGACCACCCGAGACGGGATAGATTTCTGACTGATGGTCTAAATTTACAGCTAGCCAGTCCGATGGTCTGGTAAAATATTTAGATTACATGTTCATAGACTGAGTAATTTTCTTTGGATTGTCTGGTCTGGTTAAATCCATTTTGGGCTGCTAACATTTTGAAGTTACCAGCCCTGATGTCTGGCTTGGATGTTGGCTTATTTCATACACTGCTAATATCCCACCTCAATAATGGCTCTACATTATCCTAGCCAGGTGATCCCAGCGAGTTAAACCCCAGTTACATAATTCCAGTCAGTTACCCTCAGTGGGTAACCTCAGCTACTACTCCAGCCAGATAACCCCAACTACTCACTCCAGCCAGATAACTCTAGCCATATAACCTCAGCTGATTATTCTTGTCACTTTTAGTATTTTCAAAAGTAAATGTTCACAAGATGGTATAGTGGCGATACAATGGTTTGTCTGCCTGCTGCTCACTGTGTGGAGTTACCTCCCTTAGCTCTTTCCACAGATATTAGCTGATTGTGTCATTTCCTCCAATGAAAGTCCTCAGCCTGTGACATTGGGTTGGTTGTGTCCACAGTATATTTCTATTGTCCCCATTGATATTCTTCCAACATTGAGGTGCCATGTTTTGATTTAGCTGAAATATGTCCGAAATCCCACGCACACTTAATATATTCATACAATTGAAAAAATGCATTTGAAAATATAATTATTTTAATCAATCAGCGTAGATGCATGTTGTATTTTGTAGTGAATCAGCTGTTAACTAACCAGTTTTTCTGCCGTGTATAGAATATTTTCATGAAAGTTATTTTCAGAATATTCAACTTGCCCAGCATTACCAAGTTCTGATTTGTTTTGTCAGTGAGGTACACGAGGTACGTGATCTCGGCTACAGTTGTCACATGACTCCTTTGAGAGGCAGTTACAGGTTGGAGCAGTAAGGAAGGTTAACAATGTACGGATGAACACATTCTTCATTATAGTGACAGCAACGTTTCGGTGCCTCACTCTCAGAGTGTGGGTTCATCCCAGATGGGACTGAGCACCCTGTGTACTTTACTGACAAAGCAGGAAAGAGTTCCTTACGTATCCCCTGCCTATTTTTGCGATGAGCAAACACTATAGTTCAGTCTATAGTTTATAGTTAAATTAGGTGGGGGCAAGTAAGGAACTCTTACCACAAAGCATAATCCCAAATGTAACATATGTTCTGAACTGATGCTCATTTCATTCTACTTTCAATGTTTATTATACAATTTTGTATTGGTACTTGACATTATATGTACATGTTGTATATACCCTAAAACCTGCTGCTGTGTTACGGACACTCAATTTGAAATTGGTGTTTTCTAGCGTTTTCTCCCTAAAATTAGAGAATTGTCTGTTTCTGACGTCTACAAACACAGCTTGATCCAGCTAAAACCAATGTAGTTACATATTTTACACAATTGTTTATTAATATAATAATGACTCAATATATTGCAGCATTGTTTCTCTGTTACTATAGTTACTGATGTTTTATACACACCCACAACTTTTGTGTTGATCTCTTTTTGAACATGGTGAAGTCGTGGCTGGTTTGAACGTAAATACGTGCTAATGTGTCAGTATGGCTGTAGAGTGATGGTGACGATGGTTCAGGGATATATGTAAAACACGTAGCTAGATTGGTCTGCCCTTAACAATGATCTGTTTCCTTCAAGACATGTTAGAATAAACACAATTATAACTTGATATTATCAGCATAGAAGAATCATTTTTTAACTCATCTAAGACAGTACTCCATTCAGCGTTTCTGCAGTAGCGGTTTGTCCCTGTATATATATACATGTTGATAAACTGATTTTTTTTTATTATTGTTATCTTAATATGTTAGCTCCTTAATTGTATATAACAGTATTAAAAACATTATCACAGTGCCCATCATTTACACCACTGGGCCAGGTTTCAGGAAGCTGTCTTAGAGCTAAGGCTGCTGCAACCAGGACACAAGAATATCTTATTGCTGAAGCTATCTTGAGCTTATTGGATGATTTAGGAATTATAGCAGTGATCTTAGTACTGTTGTAAATCTGTGTCATAGCATGGAGTTATGATCACATCTTAGCATGAAGATAAATGGGCCAAGGTCTCAGTGGAACTTTAAATTGGTTGTGCATGTACTTTGTAATATTTTTTTTAATATTGTGTTTTATTTAGTGAATGAGTGATGTCACCATTTCTTTGGTTACAATACACTATTTTCCTGTCAACACCAGTGAATATATTTAACTGTTATTTAGTTTTGTCAATGATAGAAAAGATGGGACTGATGTTTTATATAGCATTTGCCCGAGGTGTCCATTATTACAGTGTTTGTCAGCACCTTCGCCTTCAGTAGCGAGGCATACTGTGAGCATTCCTCATCCTTTCAACTGTGATGATGTGAAGAAACTGAAATGTGTCTACTGCTTTTTTTGAAAATTGAAATCCAACTCACTGTCATTCACACACAATGCATCACAGGCCACAATAAATTATTTTATTTACATCCATATTTTTTGGATTAAGGAGTATTTTGTTTTTATTGCAGTTTGTGTTTGATAACCAACATCATCATTAAAGAGTGTGATTGATGTAAAGCACTGACATGTGTGTGTGACTAGGTGATGGTCAGCAGGTGCTTGGGCCAGTGTTGGATCTGAGGCAGGTGCTTGGTACAGAGCAAGGCAGGGATGATGGAATCTTTTATTGTGGCCTAGTGATGTAGTAGGACATTTTAAAGTCTCATTTGTTTTCAGGAAAAGGCATTAACTGATGTGTTGTAATGTCAGGCACTGATTTGTCCATGCACAATTTGATCATTCATGGTCCACTGTCATAAAGCCGGGATATTGCTGAGCTACAAACAATATACATTACGTCATAATACTGACAAAAAAACCTGGCATTTTATTGGCATTAAGACAATAACAACTTCTATGATTCTTTGGAATGCTGATTCAAGCTACTTTTTGCCCCTTCAGCAAAAATTAATCACTTAATATGGTATCATTAAAAAAGTTTCATGCATTCATGAATAAACTACAGTGTGCTTCATTTACAGTTTTACTGGCTCAAATAGTGATGTGAAGAGCACTAAACCAGAAGCATTGAAGTGTGAACTTAATACATAACAAAGCATACAACTTGATCACCTCTTGTTTGTTACATAGAGCAATGTGTCGATGTTGATATTCAATATAATCACGTTTAGCTTGATAATGGATACGAATCTACGTGAAAACCTCTTAATGCAATAAACAAGAGGTTGATATCAGTGAAGTTTTGTGCTTCATTATTTTCTCACCAACGTCTAAAATGCTGATCAAACAACTAAGTCCATGTTTGCTTGATATATACATACACTGTACAAAAACACTAAGGGGAATTTGTGGAAATAATTTTCAGCAGACTGTCAAAAACCACTGAAATTTGTGTGTGGTTTCTGCAGCCAAAAGACAAGTAACATTACAGTGTACAATATTGTCGGAATTTGAATTCTCATTCCAGGGCTCTGTTGTATAAAACGACCTTAACACTAAGACTGTCGTAAGTTTATGTCAAGGTATGAGAGTTATGCTAACCTTAACATTACGATTGTCGTAAGTCTATGTCAAGGTATGAGAGTTATGCTAATCTTAACACTAAGACTGTCGTAAGTCTATGTCAAGATATGAGAGTTATGCTAACTTAACACTAAGACTGTCGTAAGTCTATGTCAAGGTATGAGAGTTATGCTAACCTTAACACTAAGACTGTCGTAAGTCCATGTCAAGGTATGAGAGTTATGCTAACCTTAACACTAAGACTGTCGTAAGTCTATGTCAAGGTATGAGAGTTATGCTAACCTTAACACTAAGACTGTCGTAAGTCTATGTCAAGGTATGAGAGTTATGCTAACCTTAACACTAAGACTGTCGTAAGTCTATGTCAAGGTATGAGAGTTATGCTAACCTTAACACTAAGACTGTCGTGAAGTCTATGTCAAGGTATGAGAGTTATGCTAACCTTAACACTAAGACTGTCGTGAAGTCTATGTCAAGGTATGAGAGTTATGCTAACCTTAACACTAAGACTGTAAGTAAGTCTATGTCAAGGTATGAGAGTTATGCTAACCTTAACACTAAGACTGTCGTAAGTCTATGTCAAGGTATGAGAGTTATGCTAACCTTAACACTAAGACTGTCGTAAGTCTATGTCAAGGTATGAGAGTTATGCTAACCTTAACACTAAGACTGTCGTAAGTCCATGTCAAGGTATGAGAGTTATGCTAACCTTAACACTAAGACTGTCGTAAGTCTATGTCAAGGTATGAGAGTTATGCTAACCTTAACACTAAGACTGTCGTGAAGTCTATGTCAAGGTATGAGAGTTATGCTAACCTTAACACTAAGACTGTCGTAAGTCCATGTCAAGGTATGAGAGTTATGCTAACCTTAACACTAAGACTGTCGTAAGTCCATGTCAAGGTATGAGAGTTATGCTAACCTTAACACTAAGACTGTCGTGAAGTCCATGTCAAGGTATGAGAGTTATGCTAACCTTAACACTAAGACTGTCAAGTCCATGTCAAGGTATGAGAGTTATGCTAACCTTAACACTAAGACTGTCGTAAGTCTATGTCAAGGTATGAGAGTTATGCTAACCTTAACACTAAGACTGTCGTAAGTCCATGTCAAGGTATGAGAGTTATGCTAACCTTAACACTAAGACTGTCGTAAGTCCATGTCAAGGTATGAGAGTTATGCTAACCTTAACACTAAGACTGTCGTAAGTCTATGTCAAGGTATGAGAGTTATGCTAACCTTAACACTAAGACTGTCGTAAGTCCATGTCAAGGTATGAGAGTTATGCTAACCTTAACACTAAGACTGTCGTAAGTCCATGTCAAGGTATGAGAGTTGTGTTAACCTTAACACTAAGACTGTCGTAAGTCTATGTCAAGGTAGGTGAGAGTTATGCTAACCTTAACACTAAGACTGTCGTAAGTCCATGTCAAGGTATGAGAGTTATGCTAACCTTAACACTAAGACTGTCGTAAGTCTATGTCAAGGTATGAGAGTTATGCTAACCTTAACACTAAGACTGTCGTAAGTCTATGTCAAGGTATGAGAGTTATGCTAACCTTAACACTAAGACTGTCGTAAGTCTATGTCAAGGTATGAGAGTTATGCTAACCTTAACACTAAGACTGTCGTAAGTCTATGTCAAGGTATGAGAGTTATGCTAACCTTAACGCTAAGAATGATTTGTACAACGGCACCCTGGCAAGCTTTTCTTGAAACATTCGTAGCCCCATGAATTTCTTAAACCCATTATTAACACATTGGCTATGATCAAAGTTAAGAATTCATAGGGCTACGACCATTTCGAGAATACAGGCCATTAACTCCAGTAACTTATTAAGAGTGAAAATCCATTATGTGCTTTCAGTGTTTCAGTATAATTACTTTCATTAGAATATTTATCCAGAACTATGTGCATGTATAATGAGCATGTCTAACCAGTTTTGAAGTTTCATCTGCGTGCTTCAGTAATTCTTGTCCAGAACGTTCTGTCTTCACAGACTGATTTACACCATGCTCAAATTGAAGAAGTGTTCACTCCAGTATTGTACAGTAGGTGTTGTAGCTGTAGATATGGTCTGTGTCATGTGCTCGGTAGTGGGACTCTGATAGTCAGTAGTGTTGTCAAAAGAGAACTACTGTGATTGAGATGATATTCAGAAACCTTAGTGCTGGAGTACTGACAGCTGATCAGGTTTTCCTCATGGATATTCTGATTCTACCAAGATGTGGGTACAAATCAAAATAATTTATTTATGATGTGTCTTTCAAACACTTGAATTAAAGATAATAGAAGAAGAACTATATGTTTTCTAATATGTATTTATAACAAAAAATTGTGTTAAATTAAAGCTAAGTTTAGGATGATCCACAAAGAGGAAGACAGTTGAGTTGATTTAACTATAAGATGGTTTTTATACTGATACACACATGATGTAGTTAGCTGATACCAAGTGATGGGTTCCAGTGCAATGGCTTTAGAACGAAATAGTATTTAATCATTTTTACATTATTTTTTTTTTTTCATGTGACCCTCTTTCAACTGAAAACCTACCAGAGCAAATGTAGATAGTTTGCAGGAAATGTGAATTTCAAATACTGTATTTAGCTCCTTTACTGTTTACATACGATATTTAAGCAATTCCTTCTGTAATAAGCCCCCGGGCACTTAAAGATGAACTCTTTGGCAGTTTTCTGTTTAACCACAGACTGCAAGTATGGAATGCTGCTGTTGTGACAGGGACATTGGCTAATGTGACAATGGTATTAGCATTGTGATGTCATAACTGTCAACCATTATGACGTCATACGTCTACCGGTATTACACAATATACACTGCAGTAATAAAATGATGTCATAATGCATTAGGGATCACTGTGACATCATTAGTCGCCATGACATCACTGATCTCTCTTGCACTGAAACTGGATTTGATTTAGGATTAGTCCCCAACAACCAGGGTCCCCATAGATTTTCCATTTTGTAATGTTGATCTAGATTTTTAATTAATTTTGAAATCTCCTTAGCTTAACAATTATACAGGTATTGCGTAATGTTTTTTGCATAAGGTAACGGGATCCCATTAATGTTGTTTTTAAAACCTTGATATTTCCTTTGTATATCAACAGCTTAGAAGTACTAATTGTTTCCTCCTGCATGTAGTAGCACTGTAACCCTCTCCACAGAGGAACCTTGTTGTGTCTGACAGTAGCCCTCAGTGAAACTCTCGGAATGTGTGCTACATGGTCTAGTGGTCAGCAGCCCGTGTCAGCCCATAATTACAATAATAGGCACTACAGTAATGCTCAATATGACTGACATGTTTTTATATGGAAGTAGCACTTGACTCACCACTAACACTGAATGTTTTAGCAGGGTCAGAAGCCGCATCTCACGATGTTCCAGAAACCTGTAGTCATGGGTTCAAATCCCAGTTCTTCAAGGTTATTCAGCTCCTCAGCCGTGCCCATGAGTGTCAGCATGCCCATGAGTGTCAGCCGTGCCAGTGAGTGTCAGCCTGCCCATGAGTGTCAGTGTGCCCATGAGTGTCAGCCGTGCCCATGATTGTCAGTGTGCCAATGAGCATCAGCATGCCCATGAGCGTCAGCGTGCCCATGAGCGTCAGCCATGCCCATGAGTGTCAGTGTGCCAGCGTGCCCATGAGTGTCAGCATGCCCATGAGTGCCCATGAGTGTCAGCGTGCCCATGAGTGTCAGCGTGCCCATGAAGCGTGCCCATGAGTGTCAGCATGCCCATGAGTGCCCATGAGTGTCAGCATGCCCATGAGTGTCAGCGTGCCCATGAGTGTCAGCGTGCCCATGAGTGTCAGCGTGCCCATGAGAGTCAGCGTGCCCATGAGTGTCAGCGTGCCCATGAGTGTCAGCATGCCCATGAGTGTCAGCGTGCCCAGCGTGCCCATGAGTGTCAGCGTGCCCATGAGAGTCAGCGTGCCCATGAGTCAGCGTGCCCATGAGTCAGCGTGCCCATGAGTGTCAGCGTGCCCTTGAGTGTCAGCGTGCCCATGAGTCAGCGTGCCGATGAGAGTCAGCGTGCCGATGAGTGTCAGCGTGCCCATGAGTGTCAGCGTGCCCATGAGAGTCAGCGTGCCAATGAGAGTCAGCATGCCCTTGAGTGTCAGCATGCCCATGAGAGTCAGCATGCCCATGAGCCGTCAGCGCGTGCCCATGGCGTCAGCGTGCCCTTGGCGTCAAGCGTGCCCATGGCGCCAGGGTGCCCTTTGAGCGTCAGCGTGCCCATGGCGTCAAGCGTGCCCCATGAGCGTCAGGGTGCCCATGGCGCCAGCGTGCCCATGAGAGTCAAGCGTGCCCATGAGCGTCAGCGTGCCCATGAGCGTCAGGGTGCCCTTTGAGCGTCAGCGTGCCATGAGCGTCAGCGTGCCCATGAGCTTCAGGGTGCCCATGAGCGTCAAGCGTGCCCATGGCGTCAGCGTGCCCATGACTGTCAGCCGTGCCAGTGAGTGTCAGCCTGCCCATGAGTGTCAGCGTGCCCATGAGTGTCAGCCGTGCCCATGATTGTCAGCGTGCCAATGAGCATCAGCATGCCCATGGCGCCAGCGTGCCATGAGTGTCAGCCATGCCCATGAGTGTCAGCATGCCCATGAGTGCCCATGAGTGTCAGCGTGCCCATGAGTGTCAGCGTGCCCATGAAGCGTGCCCATGAGTGTCAGCATGCCCATGAGTGCCCATGGCGTCCAGCATGCCCATGAGTGTCAGCTTGCCCATGGCGTCAGCGTGCCCATGGCGTCAGGATGCCCATGAGAGTCCAGCGTGCCAGCGTGCCCATGAGCGTCAGCGTGCCCATGAGAGTCAGCGTGCCCATGAGTGTCAGCGTGCCCATGAGTGTCAGCGTGCCCATGAGCGTCAGCGTGCCCATGAGAGTCAGCGTGCCCATGAGAGTCAGCGTGCCCATGAGTGTCAGCGTGCCCATGAGTGTCAGCAAGCGTGGCCCCATGAGTGTCAGCGTGCCCATGAGTGTCAGCGTGCCCATGAGAGTCAGCGTGCCCTTGAGTGTCAGCGTGCCCATGAGTGTCAGCGTGCCCATGAGTGTCAGCATGCCAGTGTGAGCGTGTCAGCGTGCCCATGAGAGTCAGCGTGCCCTTGAGTGTCAGCGTGCCCATGAGTGTCAGCATGCCCATGAGTGTCAGCGTGCCCATGAGAGTCAAGCGTGCCCATGAGAGTCAGCGTGCCCTTGAGTGTCAGCGTCGCCCATGAGTCAGCATGCCCATGAGAGTCAGCATGCCCATGAGAGTCAGCGTGCCTTTGAGTGTCAAGCGTGCCCATGAGCCGTCAAGCGTGCCCATGCGTCAGCATGCCCTTGAGTGTCAGCGTGCCCATGGAGTCGCCAGCTTGCCCATGAGCGTCAGCCCATGAGCATCAGGTCATGCCCTTGAGAGTCAGCGTGCCCATGAGAGTCAGCGTGCCCATGAGAGTCAAGCGTGCCCATGAGAGTCAGCGTGCCCTTGAGTATCGAAAGCGTGGCCATGAGCGTCCAGCGTGGCCATGAGTGTCAGCGTGCCCATGAGAGTCAGTCAGCGTGCCCATGAGTGTCAGCGTGCCCATGAGAGTCAGCGTGCCCATGAGAGAGTCAGCGTGCCCATGAGCGTCAGCGTGCCCATGAGTGTCAGCGTGCCCATGAGTGTCAAGCGTGCCCATGAGTCAGCGTGCCCATGAGTGTCAGCGTGCCCGTGAGAGTCAGCGTGCCCGTGTCAGCGTGCCCATGAGAGTTACCGTGCCCATGAGTGTCAGCGTGCCCATGAGTGTCAGCATGCCCATGAGTGTCAGCATGGAAGTAAACATCTATTCACTCTTAAGCGGCATTAAATATGTACACATCACTTATACTAAACAGTAACCAGAGGTTTCTAGTGCTATGCAATACACTAGTTCCTAAGAAATTCAATTAGAAAACAAAGGTATCAGGAATGTGTAGAAAATGCATTATCATAATTAGGCAATTTTGTTTCATTTAGAGGTTTTGCCGACAGTGCACACTTAAAACGTTTTTTGGTGTTGTCCGATCCCGGTGATGTCGGGCAGTCTCTGTGTGTGTATATATACTCAGATCTCGTGCCAATATCGTTTGATTTTTTATCTCATCTGTATTGACAAGTTTTTCCTAATAAAACTGTTCTATCTCCTCTTCAGTTTGTCTGACAAGTTCTTACTGTGAAGTAATCTCTCTATTACAGTGCAGCCAGAAGATTCACTGTTGGAGGAAGTTTCAAGACATCCAACACATCACCTGAAAATGTTGAAACATGGAGTTTGTGAGAGAGAGAGTGAGTGAGTGAGTGAGTTTAGTTTTACGCCGCACTCAGCGATATTCCAGCTGTATGACGGCGTCTGTAAATAATGGACTCTGGACCAGACAATCCAGTGATCAAGAGCATGATCTGTGCAATTGGGAACTGATTACCAACCAAGTCAGCGAGCCTGACACCTGATCCCGTCAGTTGCCTCATATGACAAGCATGGGTTACTGAAGATCAATATTCTTACCCGGACCTTCACGGGTCAGTTTTTAAGAGAACCACATGAATTACAGCACAATGTATACCTTTTTTAACAAACAATGCCTTTTCTAAACACCACAACAGATTGGTCAATCTTTGAATAACACAAAATGTAAGGAAAGTTTTTGAGTGAAGGAGTTAGGTTTAACACTGCTCAGACAAAATTTTCCAAAACTGAGAAACCAGTCGGAGCAGGATACAAACACAATCAGATTTCTAGTGTGGCAAAAAAAAGAGAACTATGCAAAGTGAATTGCCTCTGCTTAGACAGTTGCAACTCGTGCCTTGAAGGTTTTTTTTAACCTTTCATATTGTTTTACCCATCATAAACATAACCAAATTGTTTGGATGACTTCCTATCCATAAAAGTAGCAAAGCAAATTTGACTGAAGGAAAACCAACCAAGATCTATGGATAGTCAACTTCTTTATTGCAAGTTTCACTTGCTTTATAAGGGTGTTAGTACCTACACCAAAACATCACACTCATTGCAATAAAGGAGTTGACTATCCATAGAACTTGGTTTTCCTTCATCTATACAACTTCTAAACAAGTCGAAGAAGCAAATTTGACTGAACTGAAAAAAAAAATAATTCAAAGTTTTACTGTTGATAGTGATGCTGTTTTCAGAGTGAACAACGTAATAATTGGGTCTGTTGTTTATGGACATCCCTTGTTATTTTGGGATTGAAAATCCTGAAGACCTGTTAATCCACCATCCCCAAATTTAAGGCAGTTCAAAACAAGTAACTGCTGCCTTATCCGTAATGACCTGAAGTTACATAACTTCCAGGAAGCCTTTAGCATTTGTTAAACAAACGAGACTATTTGCTGCAATCTGATTGGATGAAAACACATCACTGGATATATCATACGATGAAAATTGCATCCTAATGTTTTGCATTCCATTGTCAATTCACCAGTTACTCAGCCTCAGAATCAAATGTCACTATCAATCTATATGCAGGAATGGCAACAGGTAAATCTATTTTCACCGAAAAACTTAAAATTGTGATATTGAATGATCAATTTGAAATAAATTAATGGAAATCCGTGGATCACTGAAAAATGCCATTCCTGTATATGTTTTATTAGCTATACTTTTTACTCTCATGACTCGAATAAAGAATTTGAAAGAACAATTTGGGTGATAAATGGAATCTCATCACTGCAAGCCTCTGAGTCTAAATACTGACCAACTGTCATCAGTAAAGTATCTTGCCTGGTTAAACTTCTAAAATGCCAATCAAACACATCAATCCTTGTTTTATCCCCCACTGCAGAGTGCGAGTCAAGGTAACAATAAGTACCATCTTATGGTGTGACTCTGCCGAAGATTCAACCTCCAGACAGACTCCTCCTCACAGCTTGAGTGAATATAGTTTTATGCCGCTTTTAGCAATATTCCAGCAATATCACAGCGGAGGACACCAGAAATGGGCTTCACACATTGTACCCAAGTGGGGAATCAAACCCGGTATTCGGGTGACGAATGAATGCTTTAACCACTAGGCTACTCCACTAGATCACAGAGGTGATCAATACAAGAACAAACAAAGGACATTTGTATAAGGATTTAATACAAAGCATTAACTCTCATTGCTGGTGGTACAATAAAGGTCAACTTGAAACCCTCGGATATCATTTGATTCTTGTTTAACTCAACAATGTTCCAGCTATATGACAGTTGTCTGTAAATATTCTAACCTGGACCACACCAGCCAGCCAATCATACTCCTCATCATTACTGAAGGGTCACCCAGGTGTGTAGGGTATCAAACAAGAACATATCCTTCTTTATTGCAATGAGTGCAACGTTTCAGTGTAGGTACTAATACTGTTATCAAGCAAGTTATCATCACTTGCTTGATAACGGTGTTAGTACCTACACCAAAACGTCACACTCTATGCAATAAAGGAGTTGACTATCCATAGAACTTAATTTTCCTTCATCTTAACAACTTCTAAAATGCCTTTCAAAGAAGTGAACATATCGCAGCAAGTACATGTATCTTTAAGTCTGAGTAGGAGTAAAATAGGATTAACAGTTTAAGAACATGTTTATTACCATGCAACAAAAATTGGACGCTGTTTTGTTTATAAAAAAGAATGAACAATTATTAGAAACGATCAAAAGTGCCAAACTGGATTTTGATATCCCAAAGACACCAGAACACAAGAGGTTTATCCCATGCTGTGCCATGCAATACAAGTACCAGTAGATATAAACTGGTTCATTCCAGATGTAACTGAACTGCATTATTTTTAATACCTTTAACTAAGTGGCCCCTCAATACTGACGTGTTTAGATCTGTTAAAAAACACAATGCCAATATTAGACCATACAGTCCTGAATATGTATTTATATCCCCTCTAATTTGACAAATACCTTGGCCTCATCTGGCACAGTATCACACCCTGGTTAAATATGACCCTATTTACACCCAGCCAATCAGATCATCCCAATGAGCAAGACAAATACTGAGTTGAGTTAGAGATATAGCAACAGCAGCTAATTTGGTTAATAAGTTAACTTGGAAACTTAGGACAACATTTCTGCAGTTTCTGGATGTTTTAATCAATTTGAGACATTATTTACATGTCCGAATAATAATATGCATACTGTCCCTGACCATCCATCTAGGTAATATACTTTTTTATTGGCGGGTAAACACAGCGAGATGCTACAGTCACATATATTCCTGCTGTATAATCCCAGCATGTGATGAGCCAATTCCTGGCCAATCAGAGAGTGAAAGAATGAGTTACAATCGTTACCATTGACAACAAACAAGCGATCAGTCCAGCCACACAGGCAGATCACCCCAAATCCATTTAAGTCCAATGAGAAGAATGAGGTAGTGAGGGAGGACATACCATACTTGCCCCAATAAATGCTCTTGGTGCTTAGAAAACTGACAAATGGGTTGCCTATTAAACTTACTTCAACTGTAAATATAACTAACGTTTCCATAGTTAACACCTATATTCCCTTTCCCCTGACCTGTTTTCTAGGAAGAATCTGCAATAGTACGGTGACTACTGACAGACTGGTTAAGAAGCTAGTCAGTGGGAGCTTATTAGAGCATAGGTATAGCTGGGCTTATTCCCACAATATTAGCATCCAGATATGCCCCTAGCAATGTCAATCTCCATTTGGTACAAGAGAAATGGGCTGCACACACGGTGCCCGAGTTGGGAATTGATCCATGGAATAACAATAACAGGCAACCGCTTTAACCACTGGGCTACCCCATAGCAGCTTATGGTGAAGATACCAGTCAAATGTTAGTGTTACATGTGGATTATAATACAGTTAAAACTTATGAGATACACACCATCTCTTATAGATCATTTGATTTGGTATTTTGTTTGTGGTCCAAACATCATTTTCACAAACACATATTTTCTGTTGACATTGGTTGAGTGGAAACAAATGCAGTAACATGATGATACATTGAGTTGATATCAATATCCTGTAAAACAAGGATGTTCTCACACATGCTCACAAACACACTCACCATTAAAACAAATATCTATTGCTATATTATAGCAACAAAACATGACATTCTCATTTACAGTGATTTTCAGTAAGTCTTCAGAAAAACAAAACAAAACCATGACTTCTAATAAATATCTTCAAAACATCAAACAAATCCCAGGAACAAAACAAAAAAATAATTCTCAAAGTATAAAACTGATTTCAAGTAAACTAAGGTTGAGAGAGAACTATGGGGACACTGTATAATAATTCCTGACAATATTTCTCCATATTGCATTACAAACAATATCACATTGACAATCTCAAGTAGCTGGAGTGAAGATCACATAGTCGCCATGGAGACAGTTACAGTTGCCTCTCCGCCTCCTAGTCAGCACCATCCACTCTTACCTTTAGGCTCGTCACAAACAGGTTTTACTCTCTAGGTTTTAGCTTGTTACAGATCACAGACAGGGGTTACAGACCTTGGACAGAGGTTCCCCCTAGCCCTATCCTATATCCTATGTAACAACAATGAAATACACTTCCCTGGAGAAGACATGAAGTGTACATGTGACAAACTTACTCTTACCCCACTGTCAGAAGAGTCACTAATCTCCCAAGGAGTTTAGTAGTATTGAAGCATAAAGCAGTACTGGAGTATTGAGTATTATTGACGCATACATCAGTATTGAAGCATTGAATAGTACTGATGACAGAAGCAGGCATTAGTATGGAGCAGGCTGTGGTCATCAGACCACTCTACAAGATCCTGTGAGAAAGCAGGCATTAGGATCCCATTAAGGGAAGTATGGAGCAGGCTGTGTCATCAGACCACTCTACAAGATCCTGTGAGAAAGCAGGCATTAGGATCCCACAGTATGGAGCAGGCTGTGGTCATCAGACCACTCTACAAGATCCTGATGAGAAAGCAGGCATTAGGATCCCAGTAGGGAAGTATGGAGCAGGCTGTGATCACCAGACCACTCTACAAGATCCTGTGAGAAAGCAGGCATTAGGATCCAGTAGGGAAGTATGGAGCAGGCTGTGGAGGGAGAGGGGGAGAGGAGGAGGAGGACATTATAGGGATGCCTTCCACTCCTGGAGGATCTTGGCTGCCTTCTCCAGAGTACTGTCCTCCTGAAACACATGGACATTCACAGTCAGTCCACCGCCTCACAGTAACTGAACCAAAATATTTTCCCATTTGCCCAGTCCATTCATTGATGCAAAACCCTTAAATAAAAGCAAGTCTAGATTTTCATCAGGTACATTATTGCCATTCAGTGGGGCTCCTTTATGTTTTAAATGGAGCTCTTTAATTCTGTTAAAAATATCTATTTTCAGAAACGTATCAGTCAAGTATAATAACTGTCCGAAACTTCCATTTTAATTGTAATTTTAAGTTTATTCAAAGGTAGAACGTCCTGTATAAAAATACATGGAAAAAACACACAAATGAACCATATATAAACATGTGGTAATCTTGTACATACTGGTAAGACACATACCTTAATGAAGCAGAACCGTATATATTTCTCTGCCATGAATTTGTGCTCCTTACTATAGAAGGCTGAAGGTGGAATGGCTGCCAATTTCTGTGAACAAATCGAAACATTTCAAAATGCTATTTCAAAGAATAACAAGCATTGTCACGAAGGTGACATAATCCCCCGCATATTATCAAATCAAACACAAAAATATTGTCAAGACTCACTTTGACCTAGACATGAATGTCATGGTGTATGAAATACGCAAAAATAATAATAAAGAAATTGCTTATCAAAAACATTGAAGAGAAGTCTTGAAAGTCTGCTAAGAAAATCCAGTGAACCGTTCTTAGATATCTTGCTGACAATCTTAACATGCAGGTTAACATGCTGAAATCTTCAAAGTGTCACCGTGACCTTGAAAATTAAGTGAAGGTCAACAAAATCAACTGGGCCCTGCGTCTTCCCTAGATGAAGCTTGGTGTCACATATGAAGAAAATCCAGTAAAGGTTCTTGAGATATCTCACTGACAAGGGTAAAAAGTTAAAGTCCCCTTGTGACCTTGAAAGGAAGGTCAAGGTCACCAAACATGACTGGGACCTTTCTTATACTGTGATGGATCTAGGTACCAAATATGAAAAGAATCTAGTCAATGGCTCATAAGATATTCCAATTTTTACTTACGTACGGACGGACGGAGCCTAATACTATATCCCCCGCCGCGCGTTTATAAACACTAGTTCAAACATAATCAACTGCACTTGATATGCAAATTTTCAAAAAGTTGCAGCTGTTGTCTTTAGTTACATAACTCTCACAGATAGTATTAACCTTACAACTAGTCTAAGTCAAGCAAACAAATACAGCTACATAGTTATTCCTGTAACTATTCAAGCAACACCGACGTATCAGTTAGAGAAAAGCAATTCTTGTTTCTAGTCAAAGTGTGTCAACGAAGAGCTTCAACAAAATGTCACTGGAATACAATCACCTTCTCACGTGTCATCCATCGCACGAACTGGAAATCTTTAGGGTCCCCGCTTCCATCATCTGGAGCAGCTGTAAACCAGAGAGAGTGAATGAGTAGAGGTGACTATTGAGGTCTATTGTGACATACTATTGTGATAGACATACTATTGTGAAAGAACTATAGAGATGTCTATTGTGACATATTGTGATAGAGATAGTCTATTGTGATAGGGATAGTCTATTTGCAACATAGAGATACTATTGTGACATACTGACATCAACTATTGCAATATTGCAATAGTTTTTTCTCCTTCAATTGTCTCATTTGAGTCATTTCCCAAATGAGTGTATAGTTTATATGAAATAACAACAAGTTCTAGTTTTAAAAACTGTTTAAATAACTGACAAGAAACCTAGATCAAGTAAACAGTTTGTTTAAGACGTAACAGAGGCAGATAACTCTAAATCAAAGTGAACGAATCTGATACTTCCTGTATTTTGCGCTGCACATTTATCAAAAGAAGTCAATTACTAAACTATCCATAGTCATACATACTATCAATGCATCGATAGTTTTTAATTTCTACCATCGATTAATTGCTATCAGAGACTCAACAATTGCAATCCTTCGATAGCTCGATGCATCGTTACAGCACTACTAAATCATAACACAGCAAGACATATTATTCCAGACAGAGACTGTCCTTGTATCAACATCAGACTGAGAAGGACATTACTCACAGAACTTGGAGACGTCCGTCATGATGAAGTATCCCCCCTCAGGTATGATGGGTGTCATGCCCAGATCCTTCAGAGTCTTCACCAGCATGTCCCGCGTCGGCAACAACTCCGCTGGCAGCGACCGGAAATAGCAGTCAGGTGACTCCAGACGAGATAACTCCTTTTCAAAGCGATATCGCAACAGCTTCCTTGGGGGATAAAAAACAAAGTTCACATATACCCCGTGTCATCTTGATGGGGAGAAAACATGAAGTGATACAAGTCTCAGAATATTACCACTTTGGTGAATCACGGAAGCTGACGCATAGTGCTGTCACACCTAGAAATGAACATCAGATGTTACAAAGAAATTGGGAGAGTCAAGTCTACAAGGAGTGGGGCAGTCAGTCGATCTACACTCACCTGCAGTATAGTGGGGCAGGTGACAGGTGTACACCTGCAAGAGGTAAGGAGGAGAGTCACGTCTACACTCACCAGTTTGGGGCAGGTGTACAAGAGGTAAGGAGAGTCACGCGTCTACACTCCAACCATTGTGGAATTGAACATCAGATGTTGTCCAATTGTCCAGCCCAGTTTCCAACCTGTAGCGCTGAATGTCTTCCCCGCGCTGCCGATTGTCAGAGTGCGCTCCCACATACCTGGGAGGGAGGCTGCAAAACAGGGGAGATAATCATGAAACAATGATGAACAACATTGTCAAAAATATCTAGATACATACAACAACTAGCTTTCCATCAGGGTCTCAAGAGCTGCAGAGCAGTTTATTTCTGGATATAGCACTATATAAGTTTTTCCATAGATAGGTAGATAGATAGATAGATAGATAGATATATAGATATAGATAGATAGATAGATATAGACAGAGAGAGAGAGAGAGATAGTTAGATAGATAGATAGATAGATAGATAGATAGATAGATAGATAGATAGATAGATAGATAGATAGATAGATAGATAGATAGATAGATAGATAGATAGATAGATAGATAGATAGATAGATAGATAGATAAAGAACATCAAAACTACAACTGATTTGGTAAGGATGGGAAAGAATGATTATCATCTATATTTTAGAAAATATATTCTGGCCGGTTACTCAGGTTAGGTAACTCTTGCAACAGCAAATAGATTCTTTGCAGAAGGTGAGGTGAGGTGAAATTGGGTTTAACGTCGTGCTTGAGAATATTTCGCTCATATGACGACGTGCATGCATGTGTATGTGTATGTGAGGCTGCTTGTACTAGCCCAGACTGAAGCTGGTTTTATAGTGCTAGCCCACTGAGACACCATGCCGCAGTGGAGCATGAATACCCCACTCAGACACATTATACTGACTCCGAGCCGACCAGTCCTTGTTGTACCCATTAATGCCGAGCACCAGGCAGGGACCAACAAGTACCATATTTTAACGTCTTTTGGTATGACGCGGTCGGGGGTCGAACCCGCGACCTTCCACTCTCCGGGCGGACGCTCTAACTACTACACCACGGCGTGTTTGCAGAAGACAATCACATGAGTGAGTGAGTTTAGTTTTACGCCGCACTCAGCAGTATTCCAGCTATATGGCGGCGGTCTGTAAATAATCGAGTCTGGATCCAGTGATCAACAGCATGAACATCGATCTGCGCAATTGAGAACTGATGACATGTGTCAACCAAGTCAGCGAGCCTGACCACCTGATCCTTATAGTCGCCTCTTACGTGAAGGTCCGGGTTAGAATTGGTCTTCAGTAACCCATGCTTGTCGTAAGGCGACTGATGGGATCAGGTGTCAGGCTGACTTGGTTGATACATGTCATCATATCCAAATTGAGATTGACGCTCATGCTGTTGATCACTGGATTGTCTGATCCAGACTCAAGTATTTACAGGCTGCTGCAACACAGCTAGAATTTTGCTGAGTGAGGTGTTAAACAACAAACTAACAAAAATAAAAGCAAATCAGGGACTGAGCAGAGACGTGATATGTGGGTCAGGCTGACCTATTTTGATGTGCTGATGTCCTGGGTAGGTCATCCACTCGTACACTTCGTCCGCCACACAGACCACGTTGTACTTCTTACACAGGGCCGCAATCATCTCCAGCTCTTCCCGTAGGAACACCTGTACATTGAACAACGGTCACATTGATCTACTTCGAACATATATCCATCTACTCGTACACGTACTACTCGTAGCTCTTCCCGTAGGAACACCTGTACATTGAACAACGGTCACATTGATCTACTTCTATTGGTTTCAGCTCATTGCTGTTTTCGTTTATTGTGTAACCAACTAAAGAAGTCTGGACCATATTTCTTCCACTTTATTCTGAGCAAGTCCCCCTGTCAACATATACGCATTGACACAGACAGTATGAAGTGCCTTTCCCAGCATTAACATGGGTGACTATTTACATCATTTTCAGGTATCAAATACTCCATAACACCAGCAAGTCTGACAACACATATTCACCGACGTTGCACATAGATGGAACTTGCTGTAATGCCCTTCCTGAAGGTTCTCAAACAGCTGTGCGCGATGGGTTTAGGTGTTCAGGCTAGCTGACGTGGTTGATGCAAGTCATCACCTCATCATTGTGTACATCTTATGCTTTCATCCTGTAACATTTCTTAATTCTGAGATCAAGAAATTGACAAAAGGACAGTTGTTCTCGGACAAGAATTCCATTTAAGTAATTGTAAGTGAGTGAGTGAGTTTAGTTTTACGCGACACTCAGCAGTATTCCAGCTATATGGCAGCGGTCTGTACATAATCGAGTCTGTGACCAGACAATCCAGTGATCAACAGCATGAACAAAGATCTGCGCAATTGGGAACCGATGACATGTGTCAACCAAGTCAGCGAGCCTGACCACCCGATCCCGTTATTCGCCTCTTACGACAAGCATGGGTTACTGAAGATCAATATTCTAACCCGGACCTCCACCAGGGGAGACAAGCATGGGTTACTGAAGATCAATATTCTAACCCGGACCTTCACGGGGGGAGACAAGCATGGGTTACTGAAGATCAATATTCTAACCCGGACCTTCACGGGGGGAGACAAGCATGGGTTACTGAAGATCAATATTCTAACCCGGACCTTCACGGGGGGAGACAAGCATGGGTTACTGAAGATCAATATTCTAACCCGGATCTTCACGAGGGAGACAAGCATGGGTTACTGAAGATCAATATTCTAACCCAGATCTTCACGGGGAGACAAGCATGGGTTACTGAAGATCAATATTCTAACCTGGATCTTCTTCACGGGGAGACAAGCATGGGTTACTGAAGATCAATATTCTAACCCGGATCTTCACGATCATACTTCAAGTCATTTTATGCACTTAAGAAAGCAAACACCTGTTGTCATGGCAACACCTCACCTTCCCAAGTGGGTTGTTGGGTGTATTGACAATGATGATTTTCGTCTTCTCGTTGAACTGACTCTCCAGTTCCTGGGGGTCCAGAGTGAAGTCCCCACTTGATGAGGAGTCGCCAGAACTTTTCTACAATCATATATATTCATCCTCTGTCAAGACTGCATTTCGTAGGTCCATAAAACATGTACTGACTTCATACAGTCTACAATTGTTTTACAGCATAAGATTCAACATATCAGTTTAAGCTACCTACAGTAACCTATGAAGATCACACAAATGGAGACACATCTGGATCAAATCTGGGGAATACCATTTTCTGGTTACTCCCATTCTATTTTCAGTAACTCAAGTCCATACAGCAAAGTACCAGACCTAACATTTAGTCAAACTGCATCTCTGTCAAAAGATGTGTTACTACTTCTAAGCCAATGAATATAGCAGATGTGTAACAAAAGCGTTTCAATATGGTATTAGAGGCAAAACAAGGTCATTAAAATCCAAAAACTTTCCCAAACTCACCGGTCTAAGGGGGACAAATCTTGGCGTTCCTCCAGCCACTCGCACCATGGGCTCATAGCAGTCAAAGAATGGTTCGATGATGACCACCTGTGTTGTACAAACATTGCATGTAATGCAAAACATATCAATCCTTCCTTCCACTTCCACGTGTGAACAGGATTAAAGAAGACTTTAAAATGATCAAGGAAGAATTGAAAAATTAGAACCATCCTTTCACCGATCTATTAATATTCTATACAACCGATGAGGCAATTATCAATCATATCACCATATATACTAAACAGACAGGTAGAGATTGTGAATATTTTTGGGGGAATGTATATCATTTTTAGTATGAAACTATCAGTCTTCACAAAAAATTCAAACCTTTCCCCAAGTTGCAGTTCAGTATACCTCTCTGTGCGTCTGTGTGTGTCTCTGTGTGTGTGTGTGTGTCTCTCTCTCTCTCTCTGTCTGTCTGTGTGTGTCTCTCTCTCTCTCTGTGTGTGTGTGTGTGTGTGTGTGTGTGTGTCTCTCTCTCTCTCTCTCTGTGAGCGAGCGAGTTCAGTTTTACAGCTACATGGCAGCAGTGTGTAAATAATCAAGGCTGGACCAGACAATCCAGTGATCAACAGCATGAGCATTAATCTATGCCAACTAAGATACGATGACATGAGTCAACCAAGTCAGCTAGTCTGACCACCCGATCCCGTTAGTTGTCTGTTATGACAAGCATGGGTTGCTGAAGACCAGTTCAAAACCCGGATCTTTACGGGTAGTATACTTATGAAGTACTTTACATATGAAACGTAAAAATATGACTGAAAACCTTTAATGCAAGTGCACGCTATCTGTGGTCACCTATATTTATGAAAAATCTTCTCATACATCTATGAATCTAACAGAAGAGATAAATCAATCATTGAATCAAGCTGATATTGACCAGTGTAACTTTTTTTTAAAGCAGTTTACCCTTCCTCAAAAGGTTCCAATGTCGTGCAGTCTGAACAAATCAATACCCAGGAGCCTGTATATGAAATATGTGAAATATCTTGATTTCTTTCAAACTCTTTGTCATTTTTGCTCCAAGTATGATTTGTGTTGATAGTTAATTGATATCTAGCTAACAAGATCGACTCTATGATGTTTAGTCACATAACAAGCTTGAATGAGCTGAAAGGGGCGATGCTCCACCCCTGTATGGATCTATCTGTACAGTCAACATATTCCTGTTACACCATGGCAACCTGTAAACAGTCAACCAGGGGTCAATAGCATGAACAATACACACAGTTTGACTTTTTGCTACCCCCTACTTCAAACCAGACAGCTTTAACAGCAAGCATGGTTTATTAAGGCCAATTAAACAATGTGGGAAAGTCAAATATTTCCCGTTCGACAACGCACCTCGTCTCCGGGATTGATCATTCCCTGTATCGCGCTGAACAGTGCTCCGTACGCCCCAACAGACACCAACACCTGGGTCATAGGGTCAATGTTTCGTCCAATCAGTGGTGAGTTGACCTTAGCCAAGGCATTCACGAGTCGAGGGTGACCCTGTAGAAACAATCAACAATCCTGTACAAGTCAGATCATGTGTTTGTGATCATGCTGCATCATTAGATTTATAGATGTACTTACAGGACAATATCAAATATTATTTGGGCTATAGATCACCAGCAACCACAATTGAGGCCACTGCACTAGAGGCCAAGGGTACTTCTAGTATATGTTACCCTTCTTGAGCTCCAAGCAGGATTTACAACATGCCTTTCTTGGCTGGTGGTGTGTTCAAAGCATTTGCTCGTCACACCAAAGTACTGAGTTGGAGTGAGTGAGTATGGTTTTGCGCCACTTTTAGCAATGTTCCAGCAATATCACGGCGGGGGACACCAGAAATGTGCTTCACACATTGTACCCATGTGGGGACTCGAACCCGGGCATTCAGCGTGATGAGCGAAAGCTTTAACAACAAGACTACCCCACCGCCCAATGAGTTGGAAGCACATTATCGGTGTTGGGAGTAGATGCTACTCACGAAGCTGCGTGTGTACTGGCTGAGGGAGAAGCTGCCGCTCGGGCGCAGGTCTCCAGTGCTTCCAGGACATACTCAGGAGGCTTGAAGTCCGGGAACCCCTGCAGACATCATACACACTGCACATCAACACAGAAACTGGGCACAATCAAACTGCTGGTATAACAAGCATGACAACTAGACATGACATACATTATAGGTTGCTCATTGTCACGATGGGGGTATGGGTTGATGTACCCTCTAGGTTTTTTATGTTCCCTGAGACCTTCGGGTTGAAGGGCCCAGGGAACATAAACAAACATAGAGGGTACATCAACCATGAGCCTCGAAGGTATTTATCTTACCAAATACCTCAATGATAAATTTGAACTGTTTAAAGCACGGGTATTGGATCATAATAAGGAGTACCGGAGTTAGGCAACAACCCAAACACTACTAACACGAAGTACCAAAAGAATTCCAACAGTTCGGCATTTCTAGCGGGTAACATTGATTAGCTCAGCCAATCAGAAAACGACATTTATGTGTGAGGTAACATATTAAAGCTTGTCCACTATATGTGGCAGGCCTTTAGGGATGGAGCTAGACCTGCATGTCAGCCTATAGACATGAAGCCACACCTGTACAGCACCCTACAGACCTCAAGCTACCCTTGCCAATTGGCCTGAAGTCCGGGATCCAGGTCTGCTTATCAGCGTGAAGACCTCAAGCCAGATCTGCATATCGGCCTGAGGACCTGGATCCAGGTCTGCTTATCGACCTAAGTCCAGGATCCAGACCTGCATATCAGCCTGAAGACCTGGAACCTAATGATCTCAATTCAGACCTGACTATAGGTCTGTAGATGCAGTATCTAGACCTGAACACTGGCCTACCAACCCCGACCTACATGATTCGGTATTACACGCCTATCCCTTCTCACGGTCATCATCACGTACTGCCATTAGGATGATTTAAGCATTAGTTCCAGCTTGCATACAACAGTTCAGTGGCCATGACAACCGATATTAGAATAACAATTAACATCAACTGATATACATCACAGATCCAAAACCACATAATATATCGGCACAGTTGCACGGTGGCCTAGTTTAACACTGCAGTAAGCACTAACATGAAAATTAGTTAGTGGCTATGAATAACACTAACAGGCGAAATAACTAGTGGATATGTATAACACTAACATGCGAAATAACTAGTGGATATGTATAACACTAACAGGCGAAATAACTAGTGGATATGTATAACACTAACATGCGAAATAACTAGTGGATATGTATAACACTAACAGGCGAAATAACTAGTGGATATGTATAACACTAACATGCGAAATAACTAGTGGTTATGTATAACACTAACATGCGAAATAACTAGTGGATATGTATAACACTAACAGGCGAAATAACTAGTGGATATGTATAACACTAACAGGCGAAATAACTAGTGGATATGTATAACACTAACAGGCGAAATAACTAGTGGATATGTATAACACTAACAGGCGAAATAACTAGTGGTTATGTATAACACTAACAGGCTGAAATAACTAGTGGTTATGTATAACACTAACAGGCTTGAAATAACTAGTGGTTATGTATAACACTAACAGGCGAAATAACTAGTGGTTATGTATAACACTAACAGGCGAAATAACTAGTGGATATGTATAACACTAACAGGCGAAATAACTAGTGGATATGTATAACACTAACATGCGAAATAACTAGTGGATATGTATAACACTAACATGCGAAATAACTAGTGGTTATGTATAACACTAACATGCAAAATAACTAGTGGAATGAAGGTGTTGAAGTAACTGGACTTACCTGACCCAGGTTGAGAGCTTTACATTCTGTTGCTAGTTTCCCGAACTCCACCCTGGAAGACACATTAGATGAGTGGTAAGTAGATTTATTACCCACGTGGTCAACGTATGGGTAGTTGCATACTAATCTCGTACGTCACACGAGTGTCGTATCGCGTTGACCTGTGTCATAACGACTTGATCTGAGATTATAACGATTTGATTGGATAACCGATGACCTCTCAGTTAGGTCACATTCTGACGTAACTATTTTTTCATTCTTAACAAACACGTGAATTTATTCATTCTACAACTTAAATGCATTGTGGGAATGTAAATATTGCGAACGTTGCCGTGTGGCTGTTTAATTGTGAGTTGAACTGAGACATTATATCCGTTGGAAAACATAAACGCAGGAGGCTGTACGAGGCGATGACAACTGACATGCATCGTGACGTCGGTTACCAAGGCAGTGACGTCATTACAGTGTGACGTCATGCAAATATTGTACTACAGTACAAAACTCTTCCACAACCTCTTTATGAAACGGGTTTGGTTTGAAGCCAAAAAATAACAAAAATACGCTATTTTGTCAATTTAATGCATGTAAGAAGTGGGTAATAAATAAAATACCACACTCGGTCTCATTACATACAAATTATACGAAACTCGTGACCTCCCTATGTTATCTGACCTCGCTTTCGCTCGGTCAGATACCATAGGAAGGACACTTGTTTCGTATAATTCGTATGTAATGAGACCGAGAGTGTAGTATTGTCTATATATACTAACAAAAAGAAGTAAATTTTCAATTTTAAAGTATTTAATAGTTCATATAATGATCCATATAATACATAAACATTGAAAATTGGTGTGGTTTGTATGTGTACGTGTGTGTGCGAGAGAAAGAGAGAACATGTGTGTCTGTTGATGACTGAATGTTCACGTTTGAATCTGCTGATGTATGTAAGAGTAGGTGTGTGTGTGAGCTGATGTTAGGGGTGTGTGTGTGTGAGCTGATGTTGGGTGTGTGTGTGTGTGTGTGTGAGCTGTGTGTGTGTGTGTGTGAGCTGAGTGTGTGAGCTGATGTTAGGTGTGTGTGTGATATTAGTGTGAGCTGATGTTAGGTGTGTGTGTGAGCTGATGTTAGGTGTGTGTGTGCTGAGCTGATGTTAGGTGTGTGTGTGTGTGAGAGAGAGAGTGAGCTGATGTTATGTGTGTGTGTGTGTGTGTGTGTGTGAGCTGATGTGATGTTATGTGTGTGTGAGCTGATGTTAGGTGTGTGTGTGTGTGTGATGTTGTGTGAGCTGATGTTAGGTGTGTGTGTATATGTGAGTCTTGCGGTCAATGTGTTCATGAGTTGTGTGAATGTATGTGTTTGTGTAGTGTGTGAGTTGATGTTAGTAATGTGAGTGTGAGCATGTCCATGTGTGTGTGTGGAAGTGAGGTGTGAGCATGTGAGTGTGTGAGCATGCATGAGTGAAATGTGTGTGCACACATGTGTGTTGATGATTGAGTGTTGATGTGTTTGAGTCAGTTGATGTGTGTAGAAGTAGATGTGTGTGAGCTGGGGGGTGTGTGTTGATGTGTTTGAGTCAGTTGATGTATGTAGAAGTAGATGTGTGTGAGCTGGGAGGGGTGTGTGTTGATGTGTTTGAGTCAGTTGATGTATGTAGAAGTAGATGTGTGTGAGCTGGGAGGGTGTGTGTTGATGTGTTTGAGTCAGTTGATGTATGTAGAAGTAGATGTGTGTGTGTGAGTGTGTGTTCATGTGTGGCATGTTGATGTGTGTGTGATGTGTGTGAGCTGTGTGTGTGTTGATGTGTTTGAGTCAGTTGATGTGTGTAGAAGTAGATGTGTGTGAGCTGTGAGGAGGGTGTGTGTTGATGTGTTTGAGTCAGTTGATGTATGTAGAAGTAGATGTGTGTGAGCTGATGTGAGGGTGTGTGTTGATGTGTTTTGAGTCAGTTGATGTATGTAGAAGTAGATGTATGTATGAGGTGTGAGGGGTGTGTGTGTTGATGTGTTTGAGTCAGTTGATGTATGTAGAAGTAGATGTGTGTGAGCTGGGAGGTGTGTGTGTTGATGTGTTTGAGTCAGTTGATGTATGTAGAAGTAGATGTGTGTGAGCTGTGTGTGGGGTGTGTGTTGATGTGTGTTTGTGAGTCAGCTGATGTGTATGTGATGTGTAGGTGTGTGTGTGATGTGATGTGAGTGTTGGTGTGTGTGAGGTGTGTGTTGATGTGTGTTGATGTGTGTGTTGATGTGTGTAAGAGATGTGTGTTGTGTTGCTGGGAGAGGTGTGTGTTGATGTGTTTGAGTGTGTGTTGATGTTAGGTGTAGTTGTGTGTGTAGAAGTAGATGTGTGTGTGAGCTGTGAGTGTGTGTGTGTTGATGTGTTTGAGTCAGTTGAGCTGATGTATGTAGAAGTAGATGTGTGTGTGCTGCTGATGTGTGTTGATGTGTGTTTGAGTCAGTTGATGTATGTAGAATGATGTAGATGTGTGTGAGCTGGGAGTGTGTGTGTGTTGATGTGTTTGAGTCAGTTGATGTATGTAGAAGTAGATGTGTGTGAGCTGGAGGGTGTGTGTTGATGTGTTTGAGTCAGTTGATGTATGTAGAAGTAGATGTGTATGTGTGTGTGAGGGTGTGTGTTGATGTGTTTGAGTCAGTTGATGTATGTAGAAGTAGATGTGTGTGAGCTGGGAGGGTGTGTGTTGATGTGTTTGGAGTCAGTTGATGTATGTAGAAGTAGATGTGTGTGAGCTGTGAGGGGTGTGTTGATGTGTTTGGAGTCAGTTGATGTATGTAGAAAGTAGATGTGTGTGAGCTGCTGAGAGGGGTGTGTGTTGATGTGTTTAGAGTCAGTTGATGTATGTAGAAGTAGATGTATGTGAGGTGGGAGGGGTGTGTGTTGATGTGTTTTGAGTCAGTTGATGTATGTAGAAGTAGATGTGTGTGAGCTGGGAGGGGTGTGTGTTGATGTGTTTGAGTCAGTTGATGTATGTAGAAGTAGATGTGTGTGAGCTGGGAGGGTGTGTGTTGATGTGTTTGAGTCAGTTGATGTATGTAGAAGTAGATGTGTGAGCTGGGGAGGGTGTGTGTTGATGTGTTTGAGTCAGTTGATGTATGTGAAGAAGTAGATGTGTGTGAGCTTGGGAGGGTGTGTGTTGATGTGTTTTGAGTCAGTTGATGTATGTAGAAGTAGATGTGTGTGTGAGTGTGTGAGGGGGTGTGTGTTGATGTGTTTGAGTCAGTTGATGTGTGTAGAAGTAGATGTGTGTGAGCTGGGAGGGTGTGTGTTGATGTGTTTGAGTCAGTTGATGTATGTAGAAGTAGATGTGTGTGAGCTGGGAGGGTGTGTGTTGATGTGTTTGAGTCAGTTGATGTATGTAGAAGTAGATGTGTGTGAGCTGGGAGGGGTGTGTGTTGATGTGTTTGAGTCAGTTGATGTATGTAGAAGTAGATGTGCGTGAGCTGGGAGGGGTGTGTGTTTCTGTGTGAGAATGTGGTCAGTTCATGCATGTATGAGTTAATGTTAATGATACTATTACATTAATCATATTAATATTAACATCACACATCGGGGTAATATTTCAGCATTATCACAGCATCGGATACACCGAATGCGCTTCTCACATTACACATACGTGGGGATCAAAACCTGGGTCTTTGGTGAGAACAACAGAACACTTTAACCACTGGGCTATCCCACCAGCCCATGTCAAGGCAGTACATAGCAAATATCACATAATTAAGCAATGATCCTTGCATCGGATGTTTTGAATGAATAATTTCTCAATTCAACATATACAAGCTGCTTCATGTTACCAGCAGACATAAAACACGGCATGCTTCACCGGACACACAACATTGTTATTGTGATTGTTTGATCATGTCAATTACATAGAGTTGGGATATAAACAAAATAAACTGAATAAGAGATCATATAAACAAACAATTTCTTTCCCTGTTATCTATGAAAAGGTGACACCTGAAAGCAGCTGACCATGTTTACCACATTATAAGGTCATGTGACGGTTGTTCCTTGCCGATACAAGATAAGCTCTTCCTTCCTCGTACAGGGAACATTTCAAAGACTAGATAATACATCCCTAATCAGTTAGTTTAAACAACAGCTGTCTTACCAGTATTTCTATAACCTATACTACAGAGTGAGTGAGTGGTTCATTCATAATTCAGCATAACAACTATAACAAGAAAAAATTGTGTCCAGGGACACGGATGCCCCCGCTGACATTCATAAGACATATATAGATCAATAATTGAACAAAATTCACGAACAAGTTCAATAAACATCTATGCAACTATGACATGCACACCTTTCAAGTCTCAATGAAACACATGTATAAGCTTAATCAATTCTGTTGAGCAGTTTTTGTGGAGAAGGGGATAGACTTAATCCCCTATTTCACTATCATCAGAGAGAAATTCAGGAAAATTTATCTAAGTTCAAAATTCTCTAAACATACAAAAAATTATAAAATCTGAAAACAAAATATGAGATGCACACCTTTAGAGTCTCTAAAAAGACATATGTAAGCTAAATGAGTTTTGTGTAGTGGTTTTGAGGAGAAGTGGATAAAAAGTACACCCCTGTTGTATGGAATGAACAAAATGAATAGAGCTAATTCAAGTTCAAACATCTGTAGAAGTGACAAAATTAAGAAATTGGATGAACAAGGTATGAGACGCACACCTTTAGAGTCCCAATGAAACACACATAGAAGGCCAATTCTGTTGAGCAGCTTTTGTGGAGAAGTTGATAGACTTCATCCCCTATAACACTATATTCAGAGAGAAATTCAACAAAATTTATCTAAGTTCAAACGGCATTAAAATTGGAAAAATAAATAAAATACAAAATCAAAATATGAGATGCACGCCTTTAGACTCCCTATAAAGCACATGTGTAATCTAAATGAATTCCATAAAGTAGTTTTTGAGGAGAAGTGGATAACGTACACCCCCTGTTGGATGGAACGAACACTGGCTGAATAGAACGAGATTCAACTAAGTTCAAACATCTGTAAAAGTGACAAAATTAAGAAATTGCATAAAAACATTATGAAATGCACACCTTTAGAGTCCCTACAAAAGACATGTAGAAGTTCATTCAATTCTGTTGAGCAGTTTTTGTGGAGAAGTGGATAGACTTCATCCCCTATTACACTATCATCATAGAGAAATTCAGTTCAAATGTCTCTAAACTTACCAAAAAAAACAACAATAAAATAAAAAAACAAAATATGAGATGCACACCATTAGAGTCCCAAGAAAGCCCATGTATAAGTTCATTGAATTCCACAGAGCGGTTATGGTGGAGAAGTGGATAGAATACATTCCCTGTTTCATATGGACGGACGGACACCGAGGGTAACCCTATATGCCCCTGCCATATATGGCGGGGGCATAAAAATATGCTATAATGACCTTTCTGATTTTGATATGGTCCCTATCCCAATCAGCTAGTTTAAACAACAGCTGTCTAACCAGTATTTCTCTAACCTGTACTAGAGTGAGTGAGTGGTTCATTCATAATTCAGCAAAACAACTAAAATGACTTTTCTGAATTTGATACAGTCCCTATCCCAATCAGCTAGTTTAAAAAATAGCTGTCCAACCAGTATTTGTCTAACCTATACTACAGAGTGAGTGAGTGGTTCATTCATATCAGCAAAACAACTAATATGAATTTTCTGAATTTGATACGGTCCCTACCCTACATTATCTGGGATGATAATGTGGAAACATGCTCAACCTGCGACCTGAACTCCACCTTGGATCAGTCATGCAAATGTTCACAACAATATCAAAAGTACTCACCATATATTTTTTTCAGTTCCAATGAGCTTTTTCGAGAGCCCAAACTTTTTGGATGACATGTTCTGTGGAGAAAGAGAGTAGAGTAAAAGCCGTGTGTGAGTGTGCGGCCAATGTGTGACAACAACAGGTTGACACGAGGAGCTGTGTGTATATATAACCCTGCAGTACCGTGTATGCCTGCATAAACTCCCACCTGTTTCATCACTAACAAACCATAGTTTACCTTGCATTCGTATTCACAAGGCATTGGAAAATGATTCTAATGAACTAATGATAATATCTTAAATCAAATTTAAAATGCACATATTTAACAATAAAGTTAAATCTACTGAAGTCTGCTAGATGGTTGGTTTGTTGTTTAATGCCACACTCAGCAATATTCCAGCTATATGGCGGCGGTGAAAGAGTCTGCTAGAATACCTTGTTCCAGTGCCCCAACCAATCTACTTCAGTCTGTTAGAATACCTTGTTCCAGTGCCCCAACCAATCTACTTCAGTCTGTTAGAATACCTTGTTCTAGTGCCCCAACCAATCTACTTCAGTCTGTTAGAATACCTTGTTCCAGTGCCCCAACCAATCTACTTCAGTCTGTTAGAATACCTTGTTCCAGTGCCCCAACCAATCTACTTCAGTCTGTTAGAATACCTTGTTCCAGTGCCCCAACCAATCTACTTCAGTCTGTTAGAATACCTTGTTCCAGTGCCCCAACCTGTCTACTTCAGTCTGTTAGAATACCTTGTTCCAGTGCCCCAACCTGTCTACTTCAGTCTGTTAGAATACCTTGTTCCAGTGCCCCAACCTGTCTACTTCAGTCTGTTAGAATACCTTGTTCCAGTGCCCAGTCTGTTAGAAACCTGTCTACTTCAGTCTGTTAGAATACCTTGTTCCAGTGCCCCAACCTGTCTACTTCAGTCTGTTAGAATACCTTGTTCCAGTGCCCCAACCTGTCTACTTCAGTCTGTTAGAATACCTTGTTCCAGTGCCCCAACCAATCTACTTCAGTCTGTTAGAATACCTTGTTCCAGTGCCCCAACCAATCTACTTCAGTCTGTTAGAATACCTTGTTCCAGTGCCCCAACCAATCTACTTCAGTCTGTTAGAATACCTTGTTCTTAGTGCCCCAACCAATCTACTTCAGTCTGTTAGAATACCTTGTTCCAGTGCCCCAACCGATCTACTTCAGTCTGTTAGAATACCTTGTTCCAGTGCCCCAACCGATCTACTTCAGTCTGTTAGAATACCTTGTTCCAGTGCCCCAACCAATCTACTTCAGTCTGTTAGAATACCTTGTTCCAGTGCCCCAACCAATCTACTTCAGTCTGTTAGAATACCTTGTTCATCTACTTCAGTCTGCTAGAATACCTTGTTCCAGTGAATCTACTTCAGTCTGTTAGAATACCTTGTTCCAGTGCCCCAACCGATCTACTTCAGTCTGTTAGAATACCTTGTTCCAGTGCCCCAACCAATCTACTTCAGTCTGCTAGAATACCTTGTTCCAGTGCCCCAACCAATCTACTTCAGTCTGTTGAAGGAACATGACTACATGCACAAACTTAACATGTTTGATTGTTTGTTTGTTGTTTTACACCAGCATATAATACAGGCAGTCTGTAAATAAAACAGTCTGACCCAAACAATCCAGTGATTGACATCATAAGAATCAGTCGTCACAACTGGGATATGTCATGGATCAATTAACATGATTAAGTTAGCGACTCTGGCCACCCGATCCTGTCAGTTGCCTGTTATAGCAAGCCATGGGTACAATGTGTGAAGCCCATTTATGGTGTCTCCAGCTGTGCTATTGCTGGAATATTGCTAAAAGTGGCATAAAACTATACGCACTCACTCTTATAGCAAGCAGGTGTAGCTGAAGACCCATCTTAACCCAGATCTTCATTGGTTTGCTACCATGTACATAACATAAAACAATCCACTCAAGTCTGTGAAAAGAAGGCTACCATTTACACGAAACGAAACAATCTACTAAAATCTTCCAAAGGGCTGTGACAATGTGCACAAATGTAACTACCAAAGTCGGATGTGTCAGGATCTTTGTATTGTCGACACAAAGAAACAATTCACGCAAAGGAAACAAAACAAAGAGGCACTTCACAGATACTCCACAGCTGCCTCAAGACATATTACAGGTAAATCACAAGTGAGTTTGCAATTGTACAGTTAGATTACAAAGAACTGGGCAAGACATATTACAGTAAGATATTATTAGTTCACAGCAGTGTCAGAAAATGTAACAGTAACATTAAGTCAACTACATACATGTCTGATCAAACAAAGCCATGTCAGCAATTACACCACAACTGTGTTACAGCCAAATCAGCAACATAGCAGTTACACCACAGCCAAGTCATCAACATAACAGTTACACCACAGCCAAGTCAGCACTATAACAGTTACACCACAGCCAAGTCAGCAACATTAACAGTTATACCACAGCCAAGTCTGCAATATAACAGTTACACCACAGCCAAGTCAGCAATACAACAGTTATACCACAGCCAAGTCAGCAATACAACAGTTATACCACAGCCAAGTCAGCAACATAATAGTTATACCACAGCCAAGTCAGCAACATAACAGTTACACCACAGCCAAGTCAGCAATATAATAGTTATACCACAGCCAAATCAGCAACATAACTGGAACACCACAACCAAGTCAGCAGTATAACAGTTATACCACAGCCAAGTCTGCAATACAACAGTTACACCACAGCAAAGTCAGCAATACAACAAATACAACAGTTATACCACAGCCAAGTCAGCAATACAACAGTTATACCACAGCCAAGTCAGCAATATAACAGTCACACCACAGCCAAGTCATCAACATAACAGTTACACCACAGCCAAGTCATCAACATAACAGTTACACCACAGCCAAGTCGGCAATGTCACAGTTACATCACAGCCAAGTCAGCAACGTTACAGTTACACCACAGCCAAGTCAGCACTATAACAGTTATACCACAGCCAAGTCAGCAACATAACAGTTATACCACAGCCAAGTCAGCACTATAACAGTTATACCACAGCCAAGTCAGCAACATAACAGTTATACCACAGCCAAGTCTGCACTATAACAGTTACATCACAGCCAAGTCATCAACGTAACAGTTACACCACAGCCAAGTCAGCACTATAACAGTTATACCACAGCCAAGTCAGCAACAAAACAGTTATACCACAGCCAAGTCAGCAATGTAACAGTTATACCACAGCCAAGTCAGCAATAGAACAGTTACACCACAGCCAAGTCAGCAACATAACAGTTATACCACAGCCAAGTCAGCACTATAACAGTTATACCACAGCCAAGTCAGCAACATAACAGTTATACCACAGCCAAATCAGCAATATAACAGTAACACCAATGCTAGTCAGCAATGTAACACTTCCATCACAAGTCTTGTCAGCAACATAACAGTTATACCACAGCCAAATCAGCAATATAACAGTAACACCAATGCTAGTCAGCAATGTAACACTTCCATAACAAGTCTTGTCAGCAACATAACAGTTATACCACAGCCAAATCAGCAATATAACAGTAACACCAATGCTAGTCAGCAATGTAACACTTCCATCATAAGTCTAGTCAGCAACATAACCTTTAGTCATCACAGTAAGTGGAACATATTACAGCCATATCACCCCAGTTGGATCTGTTTTGTGCCAGCTTGTTTACTGTGGTATGTACAGCACATACAGAGTGTGATCATGACTTGACACATCTAGCTGGTAGTTATACATAAACACACCTCACATGATGGTCATTACTGACCTGTACATACGATATCATCACAGCCAACAGCTGACCGCTTCATGGAAGGATTACATTTTGGATGTGTGAGCTTAGGTGATAGTACATACAGGTCTGATACAATGCAAAAATAGATGTGCATCAGTAACTTCTGTATGTTGTTTTAGTAATATTTCGGCAATAATACGACAGGGGACACCGAAAACGGGTTGAACACATTGTACCCAAGCGGGGAATCGAACCCTGGTCTTCAGTGTCAATGAATGCTTTAACCACTCAGCTACCCAACTGTCCCTATCAAGATTATAACATCAGTGACAGTGTTCTTGTCTGATTCCAACTAGTTCTTTCCAGATCCATCATGGTATTGTATAACTGAAGTATAACACACCCTCACTCACTGACCTGAAACATTAACTGTGTCATATCTCAGGGTCTACAAATCCATATATCCCTGGGAGTACTAGATCACATATTATTAGATCACATATTGATGAGAGTGATGCCTGGTTATAACTGCCTTATTGTCTGCAAGTGATCGAGTGAGTACTTTGGTTAGAAACATGGTTTGGGTGACCCAGGATTTGAACCCAGTGAGTGAGTGAGTTTAGTTCACACCACAACACATTGTACCCATGTGGGGAATAGAACCCGGGTCTTCGGTGTGACGAGTGAACACTCTAACCACAAGGCTACCCCACCACCCTCTTGAACCCAGGTTCACAGGTTCCTGGAAGCCAATTCTTGGCTGGAATGGCCTCCAAGTAACAATTTAACTGCCAACTTTACAAATCAGCAAAATGTGTACGTACAATGTAATCTGTCAGAACTGGAATGCCTACCATATGTAGGTCATGACTTTACTACCACCAAGTAGTATCTACCTAATCTGAGCTTATTCACTGTAGATTTCAGAGAAATTGTTTGACAAAAAGACAACTGATAATGTAATTTACCTTATCTCTCTTTAACAAATATTGCAGCGATCTCACCAGAAATGGGACTCACACATTGTACCCATGTAAGGAATCAAACCCAGGTCTTCGACATGACGAGCAAACGCTTTAACCACTAGGCTACCCCACCACCCCATTTACCGTCTCTAATCTGGCTTAACTTTTGAAATAAATCTGTACCAGGCTATTCTCTTCAATAGACAATGTCTTTACATTTAAAAAGGTAAGTGCCGAGAATGGCTTTGACAAAGCTACAATAAAGTTTTGGTGACAGAAAAGCACACACCAATCTCTCCTTACTCCAGAGTCACATGCATCACTGACATCCACTCTGTAACGTGATGGTTACATGACAACTAAACATTAGAAACAGAAATCTTTTACACATATTTTTAATCTGTACTGCCAGATTCCGCTGCTAACCAAAACATATGTCACTCTCTCGTATGATGTCCACAAACACCCATACACACAATTACAAAGCACGAAGAAGTATGTTATGAATAATCTAGACTACAGGTAAGCAAAAAGTGAAGTGAAAATGTAAATGCAAAAAAAAGTAACACAATGGTACTATATTCTCCACACAACTTACTTTGCAGATTAAAAGACTTGTAACTGGTGCATGTTTTATAAGTCTGACCTCTGATAGCCCCGCTGACCAATGCACTGGTCTGACCACTCTAGTCAGGCTCCTAAACATCTCACTGCAAGCTGGAGCAGAAACATTGAAGCAGGTGACTTAAGCCAAAACACAAACAACAAATAAAAAGTCACTGACAATTTTAAGATTGAGTCCACTTAGCTTGGGATTCTAAATTCACCTCTGTCTTGGCAAAGTACAAATGACAACAGAATGTCACTAACTATTTCAAGATTGAATGCACTTACTTGACTTAGCCAGGCATTTCAGAAAAAATATTTTCTGTCCTGGAAAAATACAAATGACATGCTAATGTTGGTGAATATTTCAAACATGTGTAGACTCAGCAGTGATTAATAACCAGGACCAATCAGTTTCACAACTACATCATGTCATGCTTTTAATAACATGTTCCAACTAAAGTCATCAATAACCCCTGCAATGGTAAATAGTTTTCTTGAAAACATCAGCTAGTTATATAATGACTTCTTGTCAAATGTTATGGTATTTGTTGATTAATTTTCTTCTACAACAAAAGAACTATAAAAACATAATTACTGACAAACCTCATTATTTCTGCACAATATTTTCAATCTTCATTTCCTATGTATTCAATTAAGGTACTGGTTTTAGACCTAACAATTTTTGTAATATACTTTACTTCGTGTTTTCGTTGTTTTGCCTTAGCTTGAGAGTAGCGGGAGAGTGATGACAGGCTTAATGTGTGTTCATGATGGGTGTAATGGCTTTGCATATGAGTACAGGGATTGGGAAAGGCAGGGGCCATGGGCCATTTTGCACATTAGAATAAAAATTAGCCCATTAAAATTTTGAAGTTGACCATTGATACAAGGGCAGTGGCCCATTCTAAATTCAGAAAATGGCTAAAAATCCTGAAAATGGCCCATTGTCAAAGTTCTGTATCCCAATCCCTGTGAGTATTATCACACATACTGTTTTACAGCAAATTTTGCCAGCCCAGCCCAGCCCAGCCCAGCCCAGCCCCAGCCCCAGCCCCAGCCCCAGCCAAGGAGAAAGATAAATATGAAGCTAAAGAGCAGTACCACAGTTTCCACACTAAGTCAAAGTTGTTGGCATACAAACTCCAAAATCGTATTTTTTTATAAATCCCAAACAATGAGAAAAAGTCTATAGTTCACCACTAAACCTACCTATGCGTAAGATCTGCTCCATAATGGTGAGCACTACCACAGTTTCCAGCCATGTCAAAGTTGTTACCAAAGAAACTCACAAAATATATTTTGAAAAAGTCCCTAAGGTGAAGAAATATTGTACGGTTTTCAAGGTGTACTCCAGACAGCTGCTGCATTATGAATATCAGGAGACTCATTAACAGATCCAAAAAGCTTTTAGATTATTTTCAACGTAGTTTATTTTTGATAGCACAAGCTGCATTGAGTAAAATACACAAAACAAAATCACTTTGTACAGAAGTTGTATTCCTGTTTTATATGTGGGGAATATGTTGGCTAGTCTTTGATGTCATAAAACAACATTAAAAAATATGGATCTAAGGAGTGATTAAATCGAAGGGGGAATTGACGGGTTTTATGTCTTCTGCTACGGTATCTGAAGTATTTAACTGAGAACATTAGAGTTACGACAAAGCCTAGTTGACTGTCATGCTTACTGGTCATGCAGAGATAAATTATATAACAAGTACCAGAATACTCAGTGCTTAAAGAATATGACAATAAAACCTTAAAAGCAGATAAATATATTCTATTCAATTTTGATGTCTCTTATCTTTCCATGACACACAAACCTGATTCTCATGTTAGGAGAAGCAATGACTCAGCATATCCCCCTTCTTTCAGATTTTATTACCACCTATAAATTCTTATCATTAAAACAGAAGTGGTTGCAATGTGAAAAGAACGACGTATATCAGTGCTCCAGATAAGGGTCGTATCGGCATATGTACGGATAAAAGATATGCACAATACGGTAGCAAATAATTTAGAAATCGTAGCAGGTACGCACCACAGCAATAGTGTACGGTCTTAGGATCATTTACAGACGTATTTATCTGAAGAAAAATAATGGTTTATTGTTTATTGACCTGTTAACACAAGACTATCAATGCTGTGGTGCATATATACTCATGCCAATAATGGTTGTAACCCCTTCAATTTTTTTATTGGAGAGGGGTGTGGGGTGTGGGTGTGGGGTTGGGGTGGGGAGGGGGTGACAACCATTATTGGCATGAGTATATGAAACTAAACAATAATGTACTCTAAGGTTTTCCAGTACTCCTGTAGTAAAAAAATATGGAGTACTTACTCCTGATGTTGAAAACTTATCTGGAGCCCTGGTCTCTAAAATACCACACAATAACGTGTTTGACTGAGTTGTATGCAGAGTAACTGCAAAGTATTTTCTTCTTAAACGTATGTATATTTGTTATTCTATAAACTGAAGTTTATTGTAAAAGAACAAAATTGCTATAGTGAGTGAGTGAGTTTAGTTTTACGCTGCTTTTAGCAATATAAATACCGAACATAAATGGGCTTCACACATTGTACCCATGTGGGGAATCGAACGTGGGTCTTCAGCGTGACAAGTGAATGCTTTAACCACTAGGCTACCCCACCGCCCCCCAAATTGCAATACAAAGTGATACTTACACCTGCGTAACATTGATTCGTGGCTATAAGGGAAGTGAGGCGAAAATCATATTTTAAATGCATGATTTCATTTTGTATACTCACTGATTAATTATTCACTGATACAGCAAATTGAAAATGCCTAAAATTCCACTCGTGAATGAAGCCATTCGCAATCATCACCCATTTGTGTGCCCACAAAATGCGATGTCACATTTTTTCGTGGATTACGTAGTCGGTTACTTTATACCACTATGTACGACAGAACCATTGCAGTAAGTATTGACACCTAGGAAAGCAGACGGCAAGATGTGAGAAGGTTGGTGCTAATGGTATCTTTTTCACTTGACATTTTGTAAAACTAACATTTGGTATTGGTGGCATTAGTGATCTTGAGCTATTTATCTCAGTGCTGAACAATCAGATTTAGTCTACTTACGTGTAATGCAGAGGTTCGGAACATTTTTTGTCAGTGAAGCGTGGCATTGTATGTACACCAAAAGAACCGCTTTGTGACGTCAGTCAAGCCATAATTTACAAGATAGCATGATAATTACCGCAATCCAGTGGACCACGAATCAAGGTTATCCACAAATTTAGGTTAAGGTTCTGTAATGGTTATAAATATGAACAAATGTGTAAGGAATACAAATATATCCAAAATACATGTCACTTATGGTTGATGTTTCATAGAAAAAGGAACAAGTGTAAGTCAATCATTAAAATAAGTTAAGTGGAGATAACTCTGTAATGTGTCTTTCTGAAAGAGTGAGTGAGTGAGTGAGTTTAGTTTTACGCTGCACTCTCTTTCTGAAAGAAGCAAATAAATTCAGTCAGTAAGCACATTTAGTGAGACCCTTTGTATAATGTGTAATAAATGACCCACAGGCCACCATAAGAAACACATGCAAGGGTTAAGCATTCCTCATTCAGCAACATTGTCTGGACTGTCCAAATTACAAGTTTTCTTCTGAAAGAAACTAGTTCATATGATATTATTGTTAATCCTTTAATAGTCCTTTGCTATAACTCCTGTAATAGTTCATTAACAAGTTGATTATGACCACTCTTATACACACTTCTTGTATTCTGAATATAAGGGTTACACTCTTCACCAGTGTCGGAGTCACTCTCATCATCAAATCACTCAGACTCTTTATTTCGTAGATGATGGCCTGTAAAGCCTAGAGTGCAATTACATAAATACTTGTAGATCAAACATTGTGGTTTGTTATACAAGCACAAGGTTTGCATTACGGACATCAAACATTTTAGTTACATAGTTTGCTAGATTTTTTAAATTAGTATTATTATGGCTGGACAGTTATTGAATGAGTTTTTGTTTAGATGGAAACTTATGGTAATATAGTGGTATATACTTATCTCTTACATGTGTGTATATAATTATCATCATCAAATGGTATGCGATCATTCTAATCTATATTCATTAGGGCTGCTTTGAATCCAGAATGAGGCAAATATGATACATATCACTAACACGAATATTGGTTAAAGAATACAATTACAAGTCCGCAGTTAATGTATTATTCAGTATATTCAGTGAAACAATAACAAAATACATTATTTGACCTGATTTACCATCACAAGGACCAGTGGCCATGTTATTGTCCAACTAAATATATAAGAGTGTTGACTGATGCTGATTGGCATAGATAATTTCCATTTCATTTCATCTCGATTTGATAAATCACACTAACATTTAAATAGAAAACACTCCTTTTTCAACAATTCCGAAATTTTCTAGTGATCACGAATAACTAATTGAATTTATGATCAAGGGATACAGCTTGACTCGCCAAATACGAAAATGACTCGTAGCAAATATCCATGAAACTGACAAGCTTTATACATGTGGCATTGAGTTGCAAAAAGCGTTTGACACGTTTTCTCTCTCACGCATACAAACATACACACAAAAGAAATTAATAAATCAAATATCAGAATCAATGGCAGACCCTACCGTGAACATCACTATTATAGATTAAAACTACAGTTTTCTATATATTAGACTGAAAGTTCAACATATTTCCAGCATAACACAGGAGGAGAAAATGAACCAAAGTAATTGAAATATGTCGGTCAATTCACATAAATGAAGATGATATTTGACTAATGTGGTTGTTAAGTTCCATGCATTATGTGTACAATCTCTTGACAATAGCAAGCTGACATGAAATATGAACATTCAGATCACTGTGGAGAATGAGGTGTCTGACTGCTACACTTTGCCTGTGTGATAGTAGTGGTCCAATTAATTGAAATAATCGAAGATTGGTCGTAGTGACTAAACGACCAAGCAATCGATCACAATTTCTCATAATCGAACACAAACAATTCTGGAACACTTGTTTTCATTAACAATATTTTTCACAAGGTTGGTTTTGTCTGTTACATTTCGTAAGCACTACAAGCTCGTTTCAAGT